AGAGAACTTTTCCCAAAAATCTGAACAAACTCCAAATTTTTTTACTTCCCAAATTAGCAATTTTAATAATAATTCTTCCCAAAATCAGGAGGCTAAGGCCTTTTTCAAATTTAGTGAAAAAAACCACTGCAAAACTTAAACCAGAAAATTTTAAAAAGGGATATAACTCAGTCCTAATCCTTGCTAAATTTAAGTGCATTGGATAGTGATCTCCAGTTATGACCTTGTTATGTGAAGTTTTGAGTAACATTTAACCTTCACATGCTGATTGATGAAATAAGATGTACATGTAGTTGCACGCAAAATTTCACTCACTGTTACACAAATTATCAGGCTTATATTTCCTAATAAAGTTGAAATGAGTTGGTAAAAGTAAATGCATTGTTATTGTGACTGTAGACAGTAGTCAATGTTGAAAAATTTAATAACTGTTATCCGCATATGGCTGATTTAAACTTTTCAACATTTTTGTTTCCTACCATAATCAGCCATATTGAAACTATATATGTTGGTGCAGTACAATTTATGCATCAGCATTAGATCTTTTTCTCTGAAAGTGATCATTATACATTTATGCCCTATACAAATATGTTTACAAGTTGTTTTAGTATTTTAAAATAAAAGAGTATTTTTTATTAAGCAATGATAACAAGTACATCGCTGCCTAGGTGGATTACATGGCAGTGGTGACATATAAATGGACATGTATGTAAGGTGACAAATTTAATTTCAGTTAGTGTTAGCATGTTCATTTTGCATTAATCTTTCATTGGCAATTCTATTTCTTTCAAATCATTACTAATTAAATTGATTAAATGCATAAGATCTAAAACTACACATTTTTGAAGTCATCTGAAAAATGTAAAATATCAGAACAATCATAATGAAGGATAAACATGAAATAGGTTTTCGTATAAGTCTTATAATTAGGACTAACCAACTGTCAGCCATTTTACATATGATTTATATGATATGCAACTGATAAGAATACATGTAGGCAGTGGCTTGTTGGTTCGGACACTGCATATTGGAGTAAACTTTAGGGTCAAGCATTGTTCCTGGGCAGGCTGTCAAGCAGTTTACCAGTACTAGTTGCCTTCACTTTCGCAAGGAACTGAAACTTCTGTACATGCCAGAGCACAGGTACAGTGCGAATGACTGTAGAAAGGATTTCATGATCAATCACAACGAAAGTGACCTGAGCTGCGCTGTCTGGGAATCGAACCAGTGTCGTCTGATTCACAGTCCAACGCTCTACCTATTGAGCTCAAAAATATGAAAATCAAGAAGAATATGCATATATAATTATATCTTACATCTTATAAATCATTCATCACTGAGTCATTGGTATTTTTTTACTTTTTAAATTATTCTCTGTTAATGTTATCAGTTTTTATTTTTTATCTTTGGTAGAATAAAACAATCTAAAGTAAACATTAACAAAGTCTGTATAAATTTCAATAAATAAAAGAATGTTATCAATCACTTTCTGAACCAATATAACTAATTTAAATGAAATATATACTCGTTTAAGGTTCGTAAATAAATAAATATTTACTTTCGATTTCCTACTCACTGAACGCTTGAACGTTATCTGTATAGCGTCTGGGTGCAAAATAGGTTTGAAGCTATTTTCCGTACCATAACCGTACGCATCTTTAGGTTGCAGAGAACTAAATATAAATATAGAACAGTTAACACGTACTGTTCATTGATAGTTTAAACACATATTACACTGCCAATTTGACAAAGTAAACTATGTAAAAGTCATTAGTACTTTGTTTGCAGATATTGGTTCATTTTGAGACACTTCACCTCCTAGGAAAGGCGATGTTAATAATGTCGATTCAGGGCTTTTCTTTACAATATGTTTTTAGCAAAATATTGTATTTCTGTATTAAACAAACTTAATTTCGTTGTACATTTCTAAAAACCGAGCATTCAATTTTCTCAACATATTAGTTTAATAGATCAAACACTAAAATAAGCTATATATTGCTTTTAAAAATGAATTCATACTCGTGCTTATACCTCTAATCTAACAGTAATGTATCTTAAATTTAGTTCATGAATACTTGTCATAAACATAGTATGTATAGTAAGAAAGCAAGAACAAGTCGATATGATATGTATAGTTTAGTTTAGATATTTATATTTTGTTACCATTTATTTGAAATTTGTTAAATACTGATTACTGCAGTACGGAGAAAGTTTTCAATAAAAAGCTTTACAAGCTTCCTACTCAATCCGTAAATTTTATTTCATGTACTTTATTATGTAAATGTATGAATTATAAATAAAATATAGTTTAAACTAAAAACCGATTCGGATTTAAGGCTGCAGAGTATTCAATAATTGGCAACGCATTTATCTTAAATCCATTTTATTATTTATTGCACGGGAACGGATATTTACGATAGAATGTTATTTCATACAAATTGCCACAGATATATTTAGCTCCATGAAATTACTAATACCTCTGCAGCGATTTTTATTACACCTCTATGATTGTACATTACATTAAGTCATGTAAAAACACCACCAATTAATGTCAAAATGAAAAATATACACACAAAATCTTAAAAACGTACCTGCATTCTGTAGCATATTAATATGTCATTAGATAGCCAACAACCACGTCATTGGCTAAGCTAAAAACATTTGAGCCGCGTCTCGACAAAATCAATATAATGCGTATAATCCGCGCAGTCTGATCAGGATCCATGCTGTTCGCTATCATTTTCACTACATTGTACTTCATTTACTTGTTATAGGGTTTGTAAGCGAACAGCATGGATCCTGATCAGACTGCGCGGATGCGCAGGCTGGTCTGGATCCATGCTGGTCGCAAACGCATTATGTTAGTTTTGTCATGACGCAGCTCATTTGAAGAGGTTTGAGATTAGGTCTTTTTAATAAGAGACCAATTATACAAAAACTGCTATTTGCAAGATGGATATGGAGGTTTTTTAATTGTTTTATCTCAACAGAATTTGACAGAGTTTTTTTTTCTTTTTAAATAGATTAAAGTATACATGTAAACATGTTTATAAAGATAATTTTTCTACCGATACTTAAAGGCTTCTTGAATGTCGACGACAAAAGATGTAAAAACACAAAATTAGAAATTGTAAGCAATTTTTCGTCATTTTTGAATTATATGTAAAAAGTAAAGCGTGTGATATTATCTATTTTGAATTCATTTTATAACCACGACTAAAAATACAAATACTGTCCTTTTTTAATGTTTGATAACATTTGTCCAATTTAAAAGTTATCTAAAATTTGAAGTCTCAGTTAATTTTATGATTCATAACGTTTACATTAATTATCATGTTAGTAAAATGTTTATAAGTTCAAAACCAAACTGTATTTGTTTGATGACTGAGCTAGTTTATCAACTACATAGACATTGTCTGGACCTTAGAATTGGCTGTCTTGACATTGATCGGAAAATAAAAGGGAAGAAAAAGACAATATCCCAAGAAGTGATTGACTCTACAAAGTCTGTAATGAGAACAATGACGAAGGTCAACATTATTTCTAACTTATATGTGGCTTGCTATTGGGTATGAGGGATGTTGCTCTTTTTCATCATTCCTGGTGTGCAGACTTCATCAATCCTAGTCTGCAATTTCATGTAATTTTGCTGTGATTAATGCGTCTGAAGGATCACTTTTCTTCCAGATTTTTATGGTGATTTACCCAATAATCACCTACATTTGAAGTTTTTAAGTATAAGGATTTACTAGTAAGCAGGCGCGGTTGCACGAACGTTTACCATGCAGAGGTGTAGCAAAGTTTCGGCAAAGGGTAATGCACCCCGCCCCTACTTTTTGTTCTACAGAAGTCGGTTACATGAAGAAAAAAAATCGAATTTCAAAATCTTTAAATCTTCTATTTATGATCAAAAAGACAGATTTTTATTTAGGGGAACAGGTTGGTTTGTTTAAAAGTAGATGATTTTGTTAATTTGATATTATCAAAAGGTCAAGGAGCTTCAATGTTTAAAATAGAACTGTTTACAAACAAACCGTGTTTGACCTCCTGATAATTTAGTAGTTTTTGCCTAAAGTGTCTTAGAAGTGAAGAGCCAATTGGTTAAAGCGTCACCAATGCCATATAGCCTTTATCTTCTCATGTTTCGCATTACTTGGGTGTCTTTTGTAGAAATGACTGAAAATGCACAGGCGGTATACCTGTCAATAGAAGGGAAAAAATGTAAAAACGGAAGAGTTGCTTCCCTTCCATTAATAAAACTTTTTTAGAATTTCTTTTCAATTATGAAATTCATTGCTGACATATTGAAAGATATTATCTTTACTGAGTCTATAGGTTAATATGTTAAATTCCGTAGGATTTTCATAAACCGTTCAGTAAGCTGGTTAAAAGAGTAAACAGTGGAAGAATGTCCTATACTTTACCGCAAGATGTTAATAGAGGTGGATTTCTTTTTCCCCCGTTATAATTATGGTGATGTTTGTAATGTCTTTATATGTGCTTTCAAAGATGAAATGCTGATTCCTATAAAATCTCATTAGAGTCTAAGAATTTCTGACTGCAGGAAACATTTGAACTTGAACTGTATTCTAAAGGGTGGATTAACCCTTAACGCAATGGGACTTTTCCATGTCGAATTTTAGTACTGTCCTTTATCAATTTGGGGGATATCAATATGAAAACTTACAGCTATGTCAACCAACTGTCTAGAGCTTAGTAAAACTGCTCAGAAGTTCGGGCTTGGCTGTTCTTAGTTATCCGCTTTCCGTTCTAGCTTTGTAGGTTTTAATCTTCGTCACACATTAAGCTTTTAACTATTTCTTTACGCCGAACTTTTTATAATTAAAAGACCTTATACATGCGAGAACTTAACCGTGGAGTGTTAAATGTAAACAATGTATTCTAAATAAGAACATGCTAATGTGCTTGACACATGTTCATGCTGACATAAAAAGAAAAACTGCATCTTGAATAAACTTCCTTGGTACGGTGAGTTTATTTCATAATAACAGAAAAAAAACAATAGTGATAACTTTCAACATAAATTTTATTAATAAACTACTTATATATTTTTCATAACCGGTTAAACTTCTTTAGTAAAATGTTGAACTGTTCCAGTTAAATGTTTTCATTGCTTCTGCTATACATTCTGGAAATATAATAATAGAAAAACAAATATATTTAATGCTTAAGTACGTATTATTTTTTTTTCGAAAAGTTTGACATATCATGCTTGCTTTCCGAAAGAAAAATTAGATTTACAGTATACAAAATTTATATACAGAAAGATTTGGAAGTCTTTCTTTTATTAGAATTAAAATTTCTTTGTAAAACAGGTAATTGTTATACAGGCGGCCACTTTATACAGGTATGTTGTTTTAGTTAGCATATTATCAAAACGCTATAGGAATAAAGCACGTACATTTGTAGATTATTGTAATGTAACATTTTAATTATATTTGTTTATATTCCTGTATACTATGCTTCTAAAAAAATTCATGTTTACATGTATTTTTCTATCATTTTTAATTTGCAATAAGTATGTGTTTACTTAATTGCAATAAACGTTTGAATTGAATTGAATTGATTATCATATCGAATATATATTCTATTCCAGGAACATCTTTTTTCATCAAATGACATTGTTAAACTTATTAGATAATCAAATGAATGTACATGTATTGATAATTTAAATGGGTCTTATATTATTCACATTTTCAATGGGTATATTATTTGGAAGCGATTTCATGCACGGGAGTCTCGAGGGTTTTGTTGACTCTATTAATAAATCGCAGTTGCTGTTTGGCCTGGATGATCCTGAAACACAAGAATAAATGTTTTATATTGACTTTATTACAATACATTTCTTTCACACAAAACCATTCATGGTGGAAAAAGTTATCTCTTTGTTTGTTTACTTTCCAGATAGTCCGGTGAATCTTTTTTTAGTGAAAGTATTGCATTTGAAAATATTTTCTGGTCATTGACTATGATGACTACCAATGTTTGAAGAAAGAAATAAGTAAGAAATGTTCTTTATTTACTGGAATTCTACCTTGTTATACATTTATTAGCATAACGTTTACACCCATCTGTTCACTTTTTAAGTCATGATAGAGTCATAGATATGTTAAACATTTACATGATTTGTGTATGTTTAAACAAAACTTCACCCACCTGAATTTCTGCTTGATAGTTGAGCTCTGACCGTTCTAGGACTGTCCCTGCTTTTCTTGATGGGAATGACAGGAAATCGTTTGGCTTTCTTTGCAGCTTGCGTGTACACATCATTTGTGAGACAAGTATCTGAAGTATATATAGACAAATCAATGGACAGTCATTACCTGCTGGTACCGAACATGTTGAGCATTTGTAATATTCAGCAAATCCATCCGTTCTGTCTGACCAGTCTCTAAACTGATGCTGGGAGCTCTTTTTATCGTATTTTGATATTGAAATCCCTTAAAATTTTAAATGACTCTTTCAAATGAAAAGTATCGTTGATCCAATACATAAGTTTAGTCGGTTAATACATAGCTCTAAGTATGACTTCTGTTTTATGTTTTATTGTTAAAGAGAGTTTTTCCGCCAATACACCATTGATCGATCCACGAAAACGCGCCAACCTGTGCAATATGACCGGGCCCTATATTATGATGCTTTATTTGAAATTATTGCATTGCATTTATAAGGTAATATCTATAACCAAGAGCGGATTATAACAAAATCATTAAAACAGAAAATGCCGACGATATGCTCAGCTAAGCTTGGTATTGATCATTCCTGTAAAATTTGGATGGAATTGCAACATTTGTTTCTGAGGAGTAGTCCCGACAAGCCTCTGTGTAGCTGGCAAGACAAAAAAAACAGCTTTTTATTCAAGGACCATAATTCGGCCAAAAGTCATTCAAGCCGAAAACGTGTGTAATATTGTACAACTTACACTTACTTACTTAGGTAAGGGTTAGATATAGATACTGTTTGGTGGAAAAATATCATATCAAAAATAATTTACACACATGTTTTACTAGGTAATCTATAAGTACTTCTGCTTACTCCCTCACAGGTCAAATCCTACAGACAAAATTGATCATTGTCACGTTGGGTGAAAATTGCCAAACGTTTAGTTTGTTACTTTACTAAGGTCAGCAAAACATTTGTTCAATCACATTAAACAGGCTCGTAGACCTAGAAATCTCGTATGTGTTAATAGGACTGACGAAAAGTGTTTACTACGTGATAAAAGCAATAAAAGGCTACCTAAATAAAAAGTATCACAACATACCAGAGAGAAATTCAGTAGTTTCGCAGAGTGCCTCCTGTCTCTTTGCTATTTTGTCTGCTTTTATCTTGCAGTAATCAAGATATGGTGATGATGCAGGTGTCTGGGGGGTGGTTTCCTCTCGATCGCTTGCATTGCGCCTTAAACGGTCTTTATAAATTCTTGTTTCTGTAGCGACAGGACACTGTAAACGGTCTTTCCCTGACGGAGTAGATAAATTATTTAGCCACTTGTTGGTTTTGTTCCCCTCATTATCCTCATTACTTTCTACAGAGACATCACACTGAAATCTAAATTTTATACTCTTGTTCATAAAATTGATTGACATTTCTTCGCTTTTTTGCTGTGTTCTCGGCGAAATCACCAATGACGTTTTAGATGGCATGCTTTCGTTCTGCGAAATATCACGAGCGCGTTTCCATGAATGCTTTTCAATATCCTTTGAAGACGCTTCCAAACTGTGAGAACGCCCTTTGTCCAGTTTCCACTTATCCTTTATCAATGTTTTACAACATATTTTTTCGTCGACTTTGGTTTTGGCGGCATTTTTCTTTCTCTTCGACTTCTGTTTCTGCTTCCCCTTTGTATCGTCTTGAGATTCCGAAATACCTCCACATGAAGTGCATACCTTGTGAAGAAGGGGTAAGGGCTTTGCTTTAAGCTGAAGTAGCTGCGGGTCACCTTTATTAAACATGTAATGTGATGAACAAGTTGCAGCTCGCACAGCTGCCCCTTTGTTAAAGGTATTCTTATCTTCTTCTTGAATCTTTGTAAGCTTATTATTATTTTCAAGCGGAATCTTGTTAGGGAGTGATGTCACCGAAATATTGGGAAATGATTCAGATTCAGAGTCGTGCTCAATAACAATGTGCCCTTGCTGTCCCGGTATAATTTGTCCCAATTCATTTCTTGAGTGATCATGGTTTTTGGACACGCTACCTGCACTGTCTGAACTAACCTTTTGAGTTTTAGGTCCGTCGACATCTAAAGAACTAGCACTTTGTGGCAGAAAAAGAGAGGATTTAGTTTTCGGCTTTACATTTTGACTTTGGTCTGTAGATACCTTTGGGCTATTCTCCCGATGTCTAGAAATGGATGCCTTAGGGTTACTGCTCAAATCCTTGAGATTCTGAGCTAATTTATCTGATAGGTTGATATTTGTGGTAAGCATGGTGCTGGATTTCAAATTCTGGCCGATACTATAGTTAGCACAATAAGAAAGTGGCACGTTCGCAAACGATTTGTCCAATAGGGTTGATGCCTTGCCACCTGCAGTGTCATTAGACTTGGTTAGTCTTAGTTTGACAAGTTTAGCCGCCTTCTTGTAATCACCCATGACTCCAAGTTGTTTTGGTTTGGAGGTATTTCTCACTTTATCTTCATTACCACTAAGGTTATTTTCGTGGTCAGATGATTTTGATGGGGGTCCATTTGCACAAGCTGGAGTCTAGAACAATTGGAAACACATCTATATTATCCATAGAAGTGGTAAGAACAACAACAGCAAACTTTAATGGTCTCTACAATGCAGGTTCGTGATTGAAATATAGTAGAAGGAGCTTTAAATCAGTATGTCATACCGTAATTAGTCAAAAAGACTATTTAAGGTTTGATAGAAAAATAAAAAGCAAGTAACATTAACTGCAAACTTTTTCAATGGTCCCTTAGGCTTCTGAAAGGTGACATTATGTACATTTTTTAACGTACATGTAGATTCTGTGAAAGTTTCCAAATTTTAATCATTTCGCGTAGTGCGAAAGTAAGACATATTTTAGTCATTGATAAATGGAGAACTGAAGAGATATATTTTATGACGAGGCAACACATTTGTTTTCTAATTAAAACCATTAAATTATCACGCAATGAAATCATGTGTTAGCCAAACCGACAAAAAATCCAAACCTGTTTGCCAATAGTAGGCAATTGTGGCGGTGGTGTCCACAATGGCGATCCGAGTTTTTCAAAGGATTCGACTGGATGTAGCACCTCTGACAATGACACCTGGACGCCCTCTTGATCAAAAGACACTTTACTTTTCGTTGTCCAACCGTCTAAGTCAAATGGAATGATCGTACCTGAAATACAAAATGAATATTGTATTTCAATTGGTCATTTTCAACGATTCTAAGTCAATTGCGTTATAATCTGAACGTTTCCGAAAGTGACAATCGAATCTTTTGCCGATACTCTTTCAGTATACAAAGTTTTCATACCCATTAATTTGCAGATTTATTAAATGTTTTGAAGTGCGTTTTCTTCTTAAAATGTTTTATTAAAAATTTCGTTGACAAATATGAAATATTTACCTTAAGCACGCAAACACATATATATATCTATATATCAGCTTAATTAAAAAAATGAATGTCTAACGTCGTGTTTTACAGTAAAAGACAAATGCGACATTTACTTTTCAATTCCACTTTTGGAATATTTGTTTTACTTTCTTCTAAATCACTGTTGAATTTCCGGCCGCCATCTTGCTTGTAACCACTGGTTAACAGCCGGGCTTTAATCATGCTGACGTAAGTATCCTCGAGGGCTTGAGTGAAAAATACGCTGTGCTCCAATTTCTTCTTTGCAAGCTGAATCAATTTCTTGTCCTCATCAGTTAGGTGGTTTGTATCAACTACCCTGTACTTGTTCACATTTACACTCTTCTCTTTCATACTCGGAGTAAGTTTGGCTCTACTCGATGTAGAGTTAAGTTCTTTGTTGCTATAGCGGTCTAGAAAATAAAAAAATATCATTGTGTCTCCTTGCTAGCTTATTTTAAAAAAGACACGAAAACTGTGAGAATAGTTTTTTCCCTTTAGTTGACCAATGCGTAACTAAAAGGCGTTTTCTAAAGACCAATGTACAACTTAAAGGGCATTTTCTAGCCTTATTTATAGCTAAATGATTCTTTCACAGACCAAGTAACTATAGGTATCTTTAAAAGACTAACGTGCTCCTTAAAGTGTCTAACTTAGACCAACATGTAACATTATAATAACCTTTAAAGCATGATTTTCTCATGTCATGTAGCGTCTTATGACCAACTTCCGTTTCCTATATACCAGAGCCCTTACAGGGGTCTATAACGTAAAATAAACTTATAAACTTCACTCAACTACTAGACGTATAAGTGTATTTAACATGTCATGTATGGACTTTCGAAAAGGTCTCTGGATTTGCTAATGGAGCAGTAGTTGTATATTGAAAACCATTAAAACAAAAGGCCTTATGGCAATATAGCTAACGATTCATTAAAAGAGTTGAGGCTGTTCAATAACTGGTGTGTTCTATTCTGTATAATATTGTAAACATTACCTGCATTTTCTGTGGAATCTTTTTTTAATGACGTGACAACTTTTGTGTTGTCGTTAGTGTTGCGAACACGCCTCAGCTTTTTGCCCCGGTTACCACAATTCATCTTCATCATTTTCTTTCTTTTCATCTCTTTTTGTTCTTGTTCTAGCCTGGAAGAAAACAACAGTAACATAGCTGAAAAGAATGCGGCAATGGTACTTTGTTAGGTTGTTACATGATACTGATTGAAACAAATCATTTTATCGAACACTAAAATCTGTATACAGATTTACCTTGCTTTAAATTCAGAACTTGGCCAGACATTGGCATAAAAACAACAGAAAAACAAACAAACAAAGAGCATGTAGTCATAATTCTTTTTGCATGAGTATAGAACAATGTCAGTCTGCATATACGTGCTGTCTGAATCAGGTTTTACACTGTTGGCAGGTCAATTTTGTAATTTGATATTGGAATCTCTTAAATTTTGAATGAAGTATTCCTAATTTAAACTTGGCCAAATCCATTATACAAATTCAGAAGGTAAAAAGGATTAAGAAAACCTGTCTGTTGTTGTAACTAAGGAAGAATACATTTTACTTCGATATCATTGTTTCGCCATTTACTAACTGAGATTCATATAAAATCTAGCGACAATATCTTGAAAATACTTTATCCTAGTAATATATTTCTGACTATTAATTATTCTACGTAGAAAACATTGTTAATGTATACATGGTACATGGTACATGGTACATGTATATGTTATTTTGTTCCGAAGGAAAGAAAAGCAATCGAACTCATTGTTGACATAATGGACGTATTCTGTTTTGAATATATGAATTTCTCATTTCAGAAATGTCAAAGTAATAAAGAATCAAAGAATACTGAGTATGACCAAACTATAAAGAGAAGCATGATGGTCTGGGTATATTATAGGTGGGACAATGCCCTCAATGATGATTTCTAGCCAAATAAGCATGCATTAAAGTTGCTTAATTAAAGATTACATTCGGCTGGCTAAAAGTGAATCTTTAAGTTTATTAAGTTCTCATGAAAGCAGGTTTAAAAGAAACTCCATGCTTATAGGTCCAAAAGTCCTAAAAACATAACATTTAAGTTTCTTACATAAATTTAGATCAACTATCGTACAACATGAATTAGTTTTATCCGGGCCATTTGAAATTTGACAATCTTTTCCAATAGAGTAAATTGACCTTCAATTCTATTGGGAAAACAGAACAATTATTGTTATCGGTTGTGACATGTTATTACTTTTCAGATTTAGATTAAAGTCTTGAGTAACATAACTTCAAAGTGGGTGATTTATCATGTCTTATAGTGAAAATAAGATTTAATTCCGCCGCTGGTAGCATTTAAAAGGTTTTAAAAATTATTTGGGCACTCCTTGAAATTGGAGTTATAAAACTCTTACATAAACAAGGTCGATCAAATTTAGTTGAAAATCAAAGATGCTATTATAAAGGGACATTTACCTGCGAACGTTTTCCCATTCTCGTAGTGACAGGTGTGTAACATCTTGTTTACTACATATCAGATCTCTATAACCTGCCATACATTTGGCGGCATTATCCTCGAATTCAGATCCCTGTACGATTTTCTCGCATTTCCTAGCTCTGTTTTGATTATCTGTTTGTCGCATGCCTTCAATAAATCCACACAAAAAGGCGTGTTCCGAGTCCATGTCATTTTGGCATTTAGACAGGCTGAAAACATTAAAAGAAACTCATGCACCACAAAGACACCATCGATAAAGTTTATAGCTTTGCAATTTTCTTAAATAGTTGTCCTTTGACTGTCTCTTTCTTGTTTTAGTATGAATGGAATGCAACCAAACATTTTGAAGATGCTGTAGTGAATGAAAAAGTCATTTTTTCATTTATCTTCTAATCCTTTTACGTTAACGAAACTAGTACAGTATGTGGAATAGAAAATCGAATGATGTTTATCCACAGCCTGTCGGCAGCAACTAATTCTACCCTTGCGATCAGTGCAGACCAAAATCAGTCGGTCTGAATTGTTACCTACTAAATAAGTTAATATTCTTTGTAATGTCCCATAAACAGTTGAATGGTTATGTCTAGATAAAATGTTGAATGGTTATGACACTTATGTCTAGAATGAAAGAAAGGTCTGTCCAAAAATAATGATAGAAGTTAAAGTCTATATGAAATATCAAATTCAACATAATATGGAATGATACTGCATTGAAGGTAAATCTTACATATTTTCTTGTTCATTCTCACTGAGAGATGGAAAATCACTGAAATGTTTCTTCGTAACACTGTCGCATTCTTCCATATAATTTTCAAACAGTGCAGCCAGTTCGGGATCGTAATCATCAGTGTTACAGAAGTCACCATACAGAATATCCTCTGCAGATTTATGCTTGTCCAGTGGGTTGTATCTAGGACCAGTGTACTTTTTACATCTGAAAATATACACATATCAATAGTAACGCATCACGCATCATCAGAGGAACGCACATGATCTTCTTCACGAGATGTTACTGTATCGTTGTGACTAAAATTACATTAAAGTTTCAAGTTATCGGAATTTACATATCCTATTAAACTGCTGATTTATCTGATTTCGGAAAAAAATAATCTTGAAGCCATTTTAAAACATGATTGGCACTGATTACCATTCCACTAGAAAGTTTGCTTTATTATCGTAACAACCGCTTTATTAATAATGTAACCTTTTCGGAATAAAGAAAAACATGTAACCTGTATTCGACATGTCTTTCTCCATCCGCGTTATTTGGACTTGCACCCAGCTTAAGATTCAGTTTGTTCAGCTGAGTTTTGATATCTTGGGAACCAAGGTTCAAATTATTTCTCCGTGACCTCCAGTTACCATGATGTATACATCCGGCTAAAAATCTTGAAAGAAGCAAACGAAACAGAAACGATGTCTATAAAGTAATAAAAATGTATCTTTTAGGTCTTGAAGGTTCCACAATATATAATGTTCTCTTTTGTAATAAAAACAACGGGGTGTGTAAACATAAATGTTAACGGCTTTTCTGGGCACACACGTAACAATTATTAAAAAAAAATCAAAAATTTGTAGACCTATTATAATATCAACGTGTTTCAGATTTTTTTATGTTTTTCTCGTTGTTGTGTTTCGTCTTAAAAGCAGAGCACAACTTGTCTTTATACTGAGAAGGATTGGTCGCCATTTAAGCCTTATGATGTTTACGTTTTTGAGCTAAAATCATTTTCATGACCAATTCCACTTTGACCTTAACCTAAAAACTTAGACAAGACAAACTGCATACTATTATTGGCTAAGTACGTACAACTGAACGTTATATCATTGGTGTGTCTGTGATTACCATGGGAAGTTTTAGATATATCATTGCTGATTGCTGTTTTTTATCAAACACTTTATCATCGATAAAAACGCTTCGGAAAAGGTCCCTTCAGTGCATTAAACAATAATATCCAGACGTACTTCTTTGTAAAAGTTGTCTAGCAAGTCAACGAAATGTTTATCTTTGATGAGTAAATCTCATATATCAGGTATAGTAGCTCTAATGTTTATTTAACCTTGATTTGTCTTTTATCTCCACCCATGACCTTATATAAAGTTTCCAACTGTTTATATAAACCCGACTAAAATCTTGTACTAAAGTCAACCTAATAAACTTGATTTTATGCCTTACGAAAATTCTTAAATTGACGTTTTTCAAAAACAGGAAGCCTGAGTGTATTGCTATTGCATATTAAGTTTTCTTTTAGTTTGCTTGACCATAATCTATGCGGGATTTGATAAAGTTATGAATGAAGAAATTCTAATTTTTAAGTTTTTTGGGGACCTGGCCTGATAATTTTGTTTAGGTTATTTCTCTCGTTCCTCGCGCATTGGGCAAGTAATATAGAAATAATCTTAAATCAAGTGATTCGAGTACCGTTCAACATTTTCTATTGATGTCTTGGGACTAAGTATTCATTGGTTATAGTGTTAAAGTAATGGAATTCTGACAGCGTTCTATGAAGGGTCTTAACTTATATCTTTATGTATGAGATGAATTCAATTGATATAATTTCTTTTAAAGACGAGTTAACAAAGCTAAAATACAGTATATTTTAACGTAACGTCACTTATTCTTAAAGGCCCATTTATGCCTAAGAAATGCTGTTATTCTTTATTTCTTAACAGCTTTTTTAATTCTTATCCTGTCAGAGTGTCTAAAGGGTTACTCATTTGCTAAATACCTGAATCATAGTTGGCTTCTGTTGCCTTTTGGCAATTAGTACAGTTATAGTAATTTAAGTATTTTGTATAAAAGTCAAATACTACTTTGTTAACATTTTACTCCTACATTGTATAATGATAAACAATTTCACATCCAGTGCTACTATCTACAGATGATAAGCATATAACATGCTGTAAAATAATTATTCAAACGTTATATAACTCACATTTGCATATCTAACATAAGGAAAAAAAAACTCGTTTCTAAAGCATAATGTGCCTTAAACATAAAAAAATAGCATGAACTTTTTTCAGTCGTGTTATTCTTTTCATTATTTTTATCTTTATGATATGATGTGATAATCAGTCTTATATACTTTGATAAACAGTCTTGTATACTTTGTCACAGAAATGATAGAAATATAAATGAGCCGCGTCATGACAAAACCAACGTAATGCGTTTGCGACCAGCATGGATCCAGACCAGTCTGCGCATCCGTGCAGTCTGATCAGGATCCATGATGTTCGCTTACAATACCTATTACAAGTAGAGAAACTGATAGCGAACAGCATGGATCTTGATCAGGCTGGTCTGGATCCATGCTGGTCGCAAACGCATTACGTTGGTTTTGTCGTGGCGCGGCTCAAATCGTTCTCATGGCTCTGTCTAACACTCATTTTATAGAAGTATACTTGTATATGAAATGGCAACTCACTTTACTTTATCATATAAACATTTATTATGAAATCAAAAAGTTAGAAAATCTTTGGTACTCATTACACTACCTTGGTAAGTCTTGAATCTCACTGTTGATGTATTTTTGTTTGAGCACCTCTACATCTTCTAACTTACGACCAGAACACGCCTCGATCACAGTTGACTCTAACTTGGCCGACGGATAATCATCTTCACTCACACACGGAGCGCCAACCGACTCGCTCCTATACAAAGAATGTTTTGACAAATTAGTTCAAATAAGTTAAAGGGAGCATATGCCTGGAATGAGATAAGCTTAAAGCAATGATTAGATAGCGGTAATTCTTATGAAGCATATGATTGGAATGATATAGGTTTAATGTAGCAATGACTGGAATGAGATAAGTTAAAGGGAGCAATGACTGGAATGAGATAAGTTAAAGGAAGCAATGACTGCAATGAGATAAGTTAAAGGGAGCAATGACTGGAATGAGATAGGTTTAAAAGAGCATATGACTGGAAATGAGATAAGTTTAAGGGGAACATATGATGCGAATGAGATAAGCTTAACTGAGCAATGATTGGCAAGGGATAGGTTTAAGGGAGTATATGACGGAAATGAGATAAGTATTATGGAACACAAGACTGAAATGAGATATGCTTAAGGGAGCATATGACAGAAATGAGACACATTTTAAAGAGCGGATCCTTAGTTAAGTGGTAACGCGCTAGACTTGTAAACATAGACTCGATCCCCCGCTCATCCATTAACAATACTAATGATATTTTAGATGGATGATACCAATAAAACGAGATATCCGTTTTATATGTTGGGCATTCAAAAGAACCTTGGTCGACTCTAGGATGGCGCAACAACTGTTTTATGCTTTCCTTGAAAATAACAACGTACTATGCAGGGCGTTGCTATATGGGCAGCCTCGAGTGACTGTAAATAAAGAGAATTATATCAATATAACCTGTGGCGCTAGCCGAGGATAATACCTATTTATAAGGCTATACATTTGTAATTCTTAAATTCCCAATTGCCCCCTTAAAACCTGTAAATGGTATAAGTCGTGCGTTTAAGTACAATTCGGAAATTCTCGAAGTTACTGCATGTTGCAGTGACAATGAAAATAAGTATTTTCAGAAAACACGTTTATTTTTTTTCTCCTAAATACATATATATCATTATGTGATGATATCAAAATTCGTTATCAGTAGGAAGCTTTTGGAAGGCTTAGCGTTTATTTTTCAGAAAATCAAGTCGCACACTTGCATGTTTAAGATTATTCTCAATAAATAAATAAATAAGTAAATATATTAACAAACAAGAAGAAACGTAAATAATATCATTATAAGCACAGGAAATATCCTAATTGTAAAAAAAAGTCATAGAACTGATTAAACGATTAGCTTATGTGTATGTTTAAATCAAAGAAAAAAAATAGAAATAAAAATTACTCCTTGATTTCGTAACTGGATTTCTATTATAGTCTGAGATGTTTCAAGATATAACCCAAAATAGCGCTAATTACTTGTTGGCTTATATGTACTTTACCGTTTACGTGTAATAGCATTTTAAGAAACGTCAGTCTGAACATATGATTACTTATTGCTTATATTTCCAATAACACCGACATAGCTTTTTGCCATTTGGCAGAATGCGCATGCGCGAAACATTACTTCCGTTGATATTTTAATATCGTAGAGTAAAAAGGTCATAACTAATTAGGGTAAACAGATTTAGAATATTCTTTGTTTCTGAAGTTTTTTTTTTGTTATTACACTATAAATTTCATCAGTCACATATATTTTATAGCATTTCTGTGATTGTAAATGGTCAAGGTTTTTACCGATTTCACTCAGCAGTGAATTCAGAGAAGTTCGATATTTGAAAAATGACAAGATTCACTTTTTTGCCCTTGACGAACTTTATGAATTAAAAATAAAAAAGTACCCATGTTCACTAACACCTACATGACATGTGAAAAATTGAGTACAAAAAAGATAATCAAAGTGCGGGTAACCTCTTATCTTTTCAATGAATTAGATTTTTTTTGTATTTCCGTGAAAGGTAAAATATAAAGTCAATAACTTTTACCCTACGAGATTTTATTCAAATATAATAGTACACTGAAATACCTTTTTTCTTGCTATCAAATTTATTTACAATACTTGAAACTTCTTACAACTAATCTGAAAGCTCGACGATTAAAGTTTATCAACTGATACTAGCTACGGTAAAAACTGTTTCATCTAATCTAACATTGTATATTTTGTCTTCCTATATAAAAATCAGTATGCTAATTCAGCACCAATAAGATTTAAAATTTCTTATCTATCCATAAACATAAAAGGTATAAAAGGTATAAAAAAAACACGATGAGTCATTTAATAGTGCGGCTTCAGACAGATTTTAACAAAACCAAAACGCGGAATGTATTCTTGCTAACTCCACTTATGCTAATTGAACGAAATGAGTGTGGTTATGCCGAGGAAGCATTTTTGATTTGCAAGATGAACATAGGTGACTGCGAGATATAAGGTCGAATATATAACTTTTAAAAATTGTAAAGCATTCAAACTTTATGCCCACTCTCAGCCGAATCGCATAAAAAATAGAGAAAAAAAAACGAAAATAAAAACGAACAGACCCAAAATATAATAGTTCCCGCTCGGTCACTACACTATTTTTTCAGGCCGCTGAATTATGTGCTACATGTATTTAAAAGCCTACTTATATAGTTAAAAAAAGAACACATTAATTCAAGATATTATGTATACAAATACAAAACTTAGAATGCATGTTACAATTTTGTTGTAAATCATAACGGACACTTTACTTACCATGATGTGGTTGACAAGTCTTTAGGAATTACTGATGAGTTGTTAATTTCTGCGATTAAGGAATCTGTTTGACAAAAAAGTCAAATATAATTGCACGTCTTATTTTCTAGATTATACATTTAGAAAATACAGAATAGAAAATAGTTAAACAAATAATTGTATGTAAATAAATCTTACAATTGTATACAATTATTTAGAGGAATCCTTATATATAAGCGCATGCAATCCGCTTGCTGCAGATTTACGCAGACGACAATAAATTGACTACATAAGCAATCAATGTTTGTTACCCGACTTTACTGGGAGATGTTGTGTCTCCTCCTCGGACTCAAGTATAGGTGACAGAAACAACGGCCGAAATCGGAGATACCTATATCCCAACGGGAGCATGTGGAATAGAGCTATCTACCTCACCATTAAACTGAAAATTGAAAGTAAGCCCTTTATCAATATATCTTCCAAAAACGACAAACCCCTTACGGTGACGTCTATATTACATGCGCGGGTTCGTAGATGATGAATTGGTATAAAAAAATCTATAACCAAACAAAAACTGATTTTCGGGCTACTGCTTTAGATTTTAAATATAGTTCACTAATGAAAGCCGCTATATTTACATTTTAATAATAATTCAACAACACAAGTAATCTGAAATAATAACTGGCTTCTAAAACTATTTGTAAAAAAAGAAAGAAATCAAAATTCTTACTTCAAATGTTAAAAAGCTGCCACGTCTTTGTGTTGCTACAATTACGACCGGAAGTTGAGCATAATTTCCGCCATGACGACGACGTCAATGACACCACGTGACGTACAATAGCGTCTTTAGACTTTTGTGACGGAAGAACGTCACGATTTTATTTGATTGACTCTTATGTTCTTGCTGAATGATATTAACTGTAGATTTTCTACAATTTGTGACTTCAGATTCAATATTTTTTGAATTTATATATTTAATTAAAAAAAAAGACCGCTAAAAAACGAAAAAAAAACAACAACAAAAAAAAACAACAAAAAAACAAGTAGATATAAGAAACAAATTTATCAATTTTTATCATTATTTACTTATTTAAGTTTACTCTGTTACAACACAGTTATCTTCAAATATCAATTTGCATGCAAATTTGGAGCTTTGTTCATCGTTATAAGTTATCTATCATTTGAAAAAAAAAAAGAATTCAGTTCGTTACGCAAAAGTTTAATTGAAAAAAAGACAATTGAATGATAAAGTTGTCTGTGATGTTTTAATTTGTGCTGTTCTGAGAAGTATTTCTTTGGCATAAAAAAATGTGTTATAAATCAAGTTTAAAATAAGTTAAGATGTTTTACGAATTTGCTGTGCAACTAACACTGGATTGCAAAATTCATGCTACGTTATTCAACACTGTTTCGACACGTTTCATGCCGACTAATTTATGCATTGTAACATACGCCAGACATGCAAATTCCTGAAATGTTTTCTCTGCCACACAGGTTAATTTATATATGGGCAAAAAAACTAAAATAAGCAATATTGGGCATTATTGCTTTGAGAGTTAAGAACACCGTGTTGCTACAATTGAAATCAAGGATTTTTTGTTTTTGTTTTTTCATGTGTTAATAGAACTGATGCACGAGGGTTGACGTAAAATGCATGTTTCTTATCTAATCTACAGAAAACTCAACATTTAACACGATTTACCTAATAAATATGCAATCTGAAGTGCTTGCCGCACCAATTCTATGCAAAGACATCAATATGTGATTAGGCAAGTTGATCGGTATTGTGATATACACACAGAATTATTGATATAGGTAATTTTTGGCATTTTGTAAGATTACCAATTGCCGTACCATTCAAAAATCACAAATAAACAAACAACAAATTTTAAACAGACTGAAAGGCTAATAGAATTTTGATTATCTTAAATATTTTACGCAAAAACGTAAGTACGGGAAAATGAAATAAATGAAATTATTCATTATAACAGCCAATGTTTTTTTTACTAAGATGTTGTGTATAACAGTGCAAGTATTTATGTCTTCAGTACCAATGTCATTTTATTTTTCACGCATCTTTTTATATTTATCTATTTTTCTCGACTGATTAATGGAAACACGGTACTTTTGCTGTATATGGACAAAGTTATTGTCTATTGTCTATTACTATATTCGGATTTCGATTATTCGAACCTATCGATTTTTCCTGGGATATACGATAACTTATCGTATGTCCCAGATTATTCAAAGTAAATTTTCAGTCCCCAGCAATTCTAATAATTGAGGTTGGACTGTAAATGCTTTTAATATGTGTATGTGTCATATACAGGTTACATGTGCTATTGCTTTTTATGTATATGATAATAAAACAAGTATAGACCTTTTTACAATACGATTTTCCATAACAACGAATGTTGCATTTCGCGCATGCGCATTCTGCGTTGGGCAAAAAGCAATAACGATGTCTACAGCTTATCATACTTTAAGGCTTTAATAGATGCGATTTCATGTTATGTCACCCAAAAATATTAATTTTGGGATGATTTAAGGCGGTAAGTACTGAAATGTTTATTTTTTAACAGATCTACGAAAATGTGCGGGAGTAATAATTCAATGGTCAAAACGGGCGCACACACATGTCTTTGTTTAAGGTATCATTAGACGACTTTTCCATCAGTAATTTAAATTGAAACAGCAGGGTGTTAAAGATAAAATTTTATTACCCCTGTATTACATAATATTACACAATTTGTATTGTACACTTCCTTTGAATAACTGGATTGGTCAGTCGGCTAGTGTCAAACAGATTGGCACGCGAACGTTTGTTCATTCAACCGGGACGTTTAAATATCATGATATAGTTAATCAGTTACGCTTATTAAAATGGTAATTTATGTAACTTTTAAATATACCGATCAATGTTTATGGATTTTGAGAAGAGAAAAATTGTGTGACGTGCATTATCAAAAATAACTTGTATTACGAAGAAGCAGATAAAATGTGTGTTATATCTTTTCCAAACAACCCATCTTAATAACTCCTCAAGATTTTGAAAAAAATAATTAATTATTCTAAATCTATTGATGTGACTTAAAATTTTCTGTTTGCATCACAGGCAAATCGGATAAAGGATATAATCAGGTATATTGAACACTAAAAATGCATTATCACCTGTTCTGATATTTTTTCTGAATGATAATTAATCTCGATTTCATGTTATATAATTTCTTTTGTTTTTAAATGAACTATTTCAACAGCAAATAAGATGACTTTTCATTTGCTAATATTTCCACATCTTCTTTAAAAAAATGATCCCAGTGTCAGATCCGTGATCGTAAATTCTTTTACAAGTACCTTTTCCATGCCTTTTTATTTCACTCTTCGCCACAAAGCTATAAAGTCATCTTTTCTATATTTGTTGAAAGCTATTTTAAATAATTTTCTACCGTTTACCTTGAACTAACTCGGAATTGTCTATGAACTTCTACTATATTTCTATGTAGGGCGAAGCATTTTTTTGCCCTACGCAGAATGCGCATGCGCGAGAAAATTCTAATTCCGATCGATTTTTCATAGCAACGGACCGCGTCGTAAAAAGGTCTATACATTCTAAACTGCTAAAAGGACGAACAGTTGGTAAAGTTCTCAGGAATTGTTTTCCAAACCCTTTTATAGTTGTAACTATGTGTAAAAAAGAACTGTATGCAAAGAGAATGATATCATTAAGCTTTAAAATAAAATACCAAAGGCTTTTTGTTCTGCTCGTTTACTTCATATACCAAATCTATAGTAATAAGTCCACAACGATAGCTACTTGGTCAAATCATGCATCGGTATAGGACTAATATTTGAGCCGCGTCACGACTAAACCTACATAATGGGTTTGCGACCAGCATGGATCCAGACCAGCCTGCGCATCCGCGCAGTCTGATCAGGATCTATCCTGTTCGCTATCAGTTTCTCTATAGCTACTTGTAATAGGGTTTGTAAGCGAACAGCATGGATCCTGATCAGACTGCGCGGATGCGCAGGCTGGTCTGGATCCATGCTGGTCGCAAACGCACTATATTGGTTTTGTCATGACGCGGCTCATTTGTCCTTGAGTGTGACTGCGTTGATAGAACTGACATCATGAGACCGCTATGAATCTCAATAACCGCATTAACAAGTCCAAAAACAAAGGAGAAGCGGAAAAAGGTAAAGTGACTTTTGAAACAACCCCTGAATAAATTACTAGTTAAATCTGAACATATTTATCAAAACAGTTATAAAGAACATAAAATAGCATGAGTTAATTAACTGATTTCGAAAAAACATCAACAATGTGGTAAAAGTTGTAAACAAGATTAATGTTTTAGCATATTTTTCAAAAGCTTTATAAATTATCTGTTTAACTTTTCTTTACTTGCTCACTTACGCAGGACATGACAATATATTGTTGCACGTTGCTAATGTTTTACTCGTTGTCATAGTTTGTATATTGAAAATTTATATAACACATTTATGTAAAATGATCGTAGGGTCGGTGTATAGGAAAAATAATAATATAACGTGCGTTTACGCTAGTAAAACCTTGCTTGAAGCATCATGATTTGCCAAGAACGAATTTACAAAATATTTTTTTAACTTCTGTAATAAGCAATACTTCATGGAAATACTGAACATTTATTTTTGAAGAAAGCAGAGTTAATGTCATCCAGGTATTAATTGGACCTTATTACAACACTTGTTCAAGTTGACATTAACACGGTTAAAAACAACAACAATAAAACAACAATAAAACAACAACAACAAGAAACAAACATACCAAAAAGAAGAAGAAGAAGAATTAAAAGAAAACTGAAACTAGAAACGATCAGATAGTAACGGTTATTTATTTACGATTCGTTCATACATGGTTTTGTTTGGACATTTATTACATATTTGTTATCAATAATAGCATGCAGTACTTAGTATACCTTCTCCGCTCACATATATCAGAACTGTTATTGTATACATACAATAGACAATGTGTTTGTTATCCTCGTGGATCACATTGGTTAACTGGAATATTTTATATATTAGAAATAGAAATAATAGACGATATGTTTTCGTTTTAGTGAAATATGGAATATATTTTCACGAACTATGATAAAATTCTATATATTTTCAATCTAACGAAAAAATTTCCTTTTAATATTCTAAATTCTTATATATTCAGTTATAAACAAATCATTTTTTTTTCAATTTATTTATACATGTATTACTGATAATTCAAAACAATTTAAAATCTAACTAATACTTTTTTACCTTAGAGAGCTATAAATCTGGCCTTTGAGAGTCAATATTTTTTTTAACATTGCCTTATTTTACAATTATGGACTGGGACTTCTTGACGATTATGTTAATATTCTTGTTACCTTAAATATGCCTATTCTCTAACAATGAGAGTCATATTGGTAAAGAAATGTCGAGTAAATTATTGTATTAATTAATTTCGAATACCATTCAGTTCAAATGTGTTTTATAGCACGAGATCTTGAACAAGGATGACTGTTGCGAGACTTGTCCTCTTTGTATCCTGTAAGTGTCGTCTGCGTGAAACGGATTGATGCAGACGAAAGTGGCGGCCTTGCCGAGTGGTTTACGCGTCGGACTAGTAATCAAGCCGTTGTCTCCTTGAACTTTACATTCATAACTTAGCAATGGTTGGTTTTAGGAAAGGACTCGAGAGTGTTTCAATAAGCTTTTAGCTTCAGACACATTCGTACTAAAATAATGAACGGCTGTGACACTTTTTCTCCGTCTGCGGAACGTTGTTTATTGTCTGCAGTAAAAATTTTGGAAATGGCAATTTTATTTGATTTTTCTCACCTAGAAATTGTTTTCAGCTTCTGTTTGAATATACATGTAACAGATCGAAGAATGTTGTCTAACATAATAAATTATCGAGATAATCTGCACCTCTGTCGTTTAACATTTAAACCGTAAAACGCAATTTCTGTTTATGATATAATGGCACGCAGACGACAAATTATATCAATTTTGGAAGCTCTTTATGCCTTTTATAAAGAATGAGAAATACATTACCAATGCCGAGCGCAATTTATGCACCAAATATAGTTAATGTAAGAAATTTTTTTTTTGCTTTTTGTTGTTATTTTTTTTTATTCATTAATTTTGAAAACTTTGGTCTAGACAAAAATGGCAACTTCATTGTTTCTTCTTTTTTGTTGCATATCGTATCAACAATTTGTTTACCTCACTGATACAAGATAAAAATCTGTTAGGCAATTACCAAAAGAAGGAATATCATTTAAATCCTCGGGTCAGTTCAATATTTTGCAGCTTTTAGCGATAATCCGTTGGATTTATACATACAATGCCTTTAGTAAGGTGTATTTTTCAAAATTCTTCCGTTTCCACAACTAATGTAATAAGTTTTTAGGGATAGGTCACGAAAGCTGACGATTTAAGACAAAATTGAATCTTCAACCGTCTATGGATTATATTAAATTTTAGAATAAACAATGGTTACAAAAGCGAAAACCAATTTATCAATGACCGATGAATGGTATAGCACTGCGTCTGTAGATAGTGCGTCCTGATTCGGTACAGGGATAAAAGCGATCTCTGTACCTCCTCGCACTTCTTTAGAAAAAGTCAGTCAGGACATTTGTTAAGATTTGACAAACTCGGCACAAAAAATCCATTCAGATAGAAAGTCGAATCATGATATGTAAATTATTTTGATCACGTGACTGGTTTGTCAATGCTATAAATACGGTGGGTCCTCGACCGATTCCTAACAGAGGCTCCAAAAGCCGAATAGTGTATAGAGTTTTTATTTTCGAATGTTTTAGCCTCCAATTTTATTTTGTTAAAGAGTTTACATAACATTTTCGTAGAAATAGGAGTTTGTTTGAAAAAGAAGAGGCGTTTTATAGAGAATGGCACCACGTGCCTACAACATGAAGGTGGCGTGCATTGCGCTGCTTTGTTGCGCCGCTCTTGTTGAATCAAGGTAACAATTTTCATTAATTAATTACACAAATTAAATCATTACGTATGATTTGTTACTTTTTCCCAAGAAGTTGTATACGAAATATTTATTGTAAATGTCTTTGTATCAGACACAAAGCCTTTAGTCTTCAGATTGTCCATTGACACAAAATGTGTTATTCATAAATGAAACCGAGATAAAAGTAATTTATTTATGAGTTTTATTGCATAACTTTAAATACAAGATTTTCTTTAAATAATAAAAGTATGTTACATATTAAGAATAATTCTTGTACTTATTATATCTATATTTTGATTGGTATTGTCTGACGTGCTTTATGCTTACGTTCTTCACATACTACAATTTTACTTATGTTCTTATGTAAGATGTTACGAAAGAGCTAGTCCATTTATTTAAAATTCTTGATAGTCTAAGACATTTTGTATTACATAAAATTTTGCACTAGTAGTAAAAACAGGATGTTTTTGTTATAATTGTTTTGTTTCATACGAAATTTATTTATACAATTCTTTTGATACGACATATGTTTACAATTATTAACAATTTTTACATTTTTATTTCAGAGCTGCAAGACGGAAACGACAAATTGGTATGTTAACTTTTTTCTCGTATATTAATTGTATTATATTAAATATATTAACATCAATTAATGAGTAGGTAATATTTCTTCATGTATGAACGTAAGTTAATGAGTTGGTGATATTTCTTCAACTATGTCTACGAGAATAAATTGACATCTATTGGAGTGAAAACATTGACATTTTTTTTTGTATACATGTTTAAAGTCTGAATCTTCAGACGAATGTTTCGTTAATTGTTCTTTTTGTTAATAAAGTTTGTATTTCCATATTTTTATTGCCGGCTAATATCATTTTGAAGTTTTAAATCTGATATTGCTTTGGCTATTCTGTATAGTCTCTTTTTTTCTACATTTGTATTTTCCTTTAATGTTCCAATTACTAACATGTTTACTTAGATGAAATAATGAGGTTCTCAAAAGTTGTTCAAGTTGAACTTAGTTATTTTGCAAACTTTAACATTAATTCATATTTTTAATTTAGTTTAATTTTATATTTGATAATAATATTTATTTTATATATATTCTTACCACTGGGAAACATTTGATTTATGTTGGCTCCTACTATTGTAAAGGATGTTGAAGTTTCCAAGTTGTTTAAATGATCTTTTAGAAAAAAATACGGGAAACATGTATTCAAAGAAATGTTTAATTCACATATTTTAAAGAAAGTCATTTTGTCTTTTACATTTTATGGCATCGACCACTGATAATTAAATTCCCATCTTTTAAAGTTTTGATATTTCAGAAATTAATATAAAAAGGAAAAAAAAATCACATCTAATAATTTTACATAAACTCTGCTTTAAACAAAATCGGTGAGAAAAGAATTAATTTTCTTTTCTTATCAGTGTTATTAGTTTAACCAAAGATATCACTTGTTTACAAATAAAAACCAAAGGTGTTTATATGAAAAGAAAATTCGGGTCAACTGTAAAAGTTATTGATTCAACGTAATAAATAAATACAGTGGACATAAGCCAGCCATGTGGTCTAATTTGATACAATTTGCTTAGACTGATATTTGATTGAAAGAAAGTTCACTATCAAAGATAACATAGTAAATTTGACCTGTAAAAAGTTATAAATTGTGTCGATAGTGAGGTATAGTTACAAAACGCGTGGGTTTGTTCTTACACTATAAGAACGCCGACAAAATAAATAAATAAATAAATAAATAAATAAATAAATAAATAAATAAATAAATAAATAAAGACTCGACAGACCTATATTTAACCTATTTACAAACGTTTTTTTTCCTTACAATTTTTCTCGCAAAATATTTAATATGTAACCGAATGTCTCAAATTCATATCTTTTTTCTGAAAGCGTCCAGATATTTTTTTTCTGATTTGATATCATTTGATTCCAAAATCTTAAGTTTAAAAGTGTAAAAATCCATTGGTTTATACTGTCATATCTGAAATCTGCAGACTTTTTGAGAGTACCAGTACCTTGAACATTATATAACTATATATAGTAATAAAACTGGCAAAAAAATAGATACAGTTTTAATTTTTTTATTCAGTTTAATGGCATATTTCGCATCTGCCATATACTTAAAGCACCTAAAGCAATAATAAGGTTTCATTTCTGTAATGTTCTACGTTGTTTCACTTTCTTTTATCTTTTTTACGGTTAAAGCAGCACGCCTCAAGATTCGTGTTTATTTTCATGAAAATTTTGAAAATGCATTAAAAAGTAAAATATTTGTGAAGTGAACAAAGAAAACATTTTTTACGTTGCAAACAGCATGAACAATCCATGTAAAATCCAAAATATGCAAAAATAGCCATAATTGCGTTAGTAACGCAGTAGAAATATGGGAAAATACTGCAAAATCGGTCATAAATCGCTCATAACATTTACATTTTTACTTTTATCTTGAATCTAATTACCTTTCTTAAAATCTCAGTACTTTTTACTCAAGTTTTATATTCTTGAAACATTTTAGCTCATCTGGAGGCCAGTAGATTTAAACTATCATTGACATTAATACTTAACTCTTTATTTTGTATAATATTACTGCTTAACAAAGTGTGTATAAGTATTACTCTTATAATCTAAGTTAAATTACATTAAAAATTGATACAGAATTTGATTAAAAAAAAAAAAAAAAAAAAAAAAAAATAAATATGAAAAAGAAAAAAAAAATTGTGAATTTGGAACTGCGCGAAAGCTTATTTCACAAGATAATATTATTTTTTTTTTATTTAGAAGAGCCAATTGCAGTTATTCTATCATTTGGAAGAGCAATTTTAGATATTTTATTGTTTTGAAGAGTCATTTTATTATTTGGAAGGGCAATTTTCAGCAATTTTGTTCTTTATTTCAGACTCAAACCTAGTCGGACAGAACGGAGGCTCAAGTAAGTATTTTGATTAAGATGCTATATAAGTTTATAAAAGTTAATAAAATTTAAATAATAACTAAGTAACCTTAGCAGAGTTTTAATTATTATTTTTTTTGTAAAAGATTCAAATAAGCCTTGCAGCTGTTTTCCCAAAAGGGGGAGCAATCTTAAATTAAATTCTTAAAGGGTCGCGAAACTTTCTTACATAAAATCATTTAATCAACATATGATCAGGGGCCAATATCATCACATAATACGTTTCATGAATGAGATATTTTTGATATTTTTTACCCCGCTCCCGCATGCCGAATGTACTTTGATAAAATTTCAATATCATCATAAGAATGACGAATTACCCGGGTTTCGCGAGTGTGATAAATTAATGTCGAACATCTGAAGTAGAATTAAAGGTATTTAGCATCGTGCGGGTAGATAAGGGTGTTAATGAAACGCTATCAAAATACCCAACATAATAAAGATTTGTCCGTTGCACCCAATTAACCGCGGAACAGTTATTTTATCTTACGAAAAGTCATTCTGGTTCTCGCTCTTATCAGCGCCAAATGATAGGAAACATCTAGAAAGTGAAGAATAACATGTCGTTTTATCAATAAAAGTCTTAAAACACTATCAGTTCTCTTTGTAACACAATGATTTTTTGTATTTAAATCTCAATTTTATACATGTTATAGTGTAACAAAACTGTAGCAGAAAATGGTAATTCATCATAAAAGCGCTGCATGCACTTTCTATAATTCCCCTTATTACGTCAATGGCGTGACATCAACACTTCGTTTTTTGAATGATTAAAATTTCGCAAAAAAAATATTTTCTTATCGGCATAAGTATAAAAAACAAGTGTGCTCTTTTAATGCGCTAAAACTAAAAAAAAATCTGGCATATTTTGTTAATGGCTCGTAAATCCCAATACGCTACTTAAATGGATTATCAGAGATGCACATTAATCTATTCGACTTCCTCAATCTGTTGAAATTCACAGAGTGATATGCATTCTACTGCCCCACCGTGGGTTTTAAGCCGATTTTGTGGCGAAAAGGTGCATATTCGTGTAATAACGGATTAAGATACGCATTGGAACATCATATTTGGGATTATCCCTAGACCTTAGCAGCGGGGGAATTCTGAGCTTCTCGTTTTTCAAGAATCAATATGGACGAAATATCGGTAGTCTTTTTTGTGTATCTGACTTTGAATTTATCCTTTGTATAGGAAAAACTAAGTTTTTTACCATTAGCCTTCTTTCACAAATTTTCAAGGGATTATTAAACTAAAGATAAATGTAATTCCAATGCAAGTCATGCAAACCTTGCCTTTCCTTGAATGCCAATATAACATATTTTTTGCGCATGTTTTTCACTTCATTGTTTTTTATCTATATGTATTTTTATATATCTTTTTTTGTCTATGCTGTATGTAATAACACTATATCTCTAAAGGCGTTTATAACTTAAGACCTTAACATTTTTTTCTTTTATTTTCAGGCACCAATCTTTGTCAACCTTTACCAGCACCCGGTCACGGTACCATAGCTTGCGGAGCCGGCTTCCCATTCTAGTAAGTTCATATTTAGTAAATTCACTGACAACGATGCTCTTCTTACAAAAATTTGTTGTTGTTATTAGATATGTAAATCTTATATTGGAATAAAAAAGTGTTTTCTATACACATTTCAAAAAGTGCATCACCTTGCGGAGAAAATTATATTGATATCTTAACAAAACTTAATACAAAACAGCCTTTTGCATGTTAGAGAGATTGATCGAATCTTCGAGGCTAATAATTCTGCAATCGTTCTAACGTAATCTTTTGTTGTTGTAGTTGTTTCACTGTTGTTTTGCTTCAAATATCTAGTACTTATTGAATTTTGTTTCGAGTTCTTGCACAGCGTCATGTTTTGTTGTTGTTTTGCTGTTGTTATTGTTGTTTTCTTCAAATATGTAGTACTTAGTGAAGTTTGTTTCCAGTTCCTGCACAGCGTCATGCGATGCCGGATACCAGTTCCCATCTGGAATGTCGTCAGACAAACGGGAATGCGATCAGATGTTCGGGGAATGGTTCGATCCTCCCGGCAAGGACATCGCCGACTGTGTCCGTAAGTTGATCTTTATAGTACTTTATGCAACAATACGTAGGTGTTGAGCTATTTATAGTTACACATAGAACCCTTATTGTGTTTTTTATGTATTGACGTCAAATAAGTTTCAAATTAGAAAGAATACAGTGCAAATCGATTTGAATTATTTTCCAACAGTTCAAATTTATTATTTCTTTATATTTGTTGACATATTTATTGCTTGTTTTACTTCTAGCCGTTTGCAAACCGGACTGTCAAAATGGTGGGAAATGTATTTTACCCAATACCTGCACCTGTACGGGCGGTTTTATGGGTAAACAGTGCCAGTACCGTAAGTATTTATACCTTATTTCAGTACATACCATAAAATAACTTTTTATTATAATTAAAAAATATACATGAGTTATTTACATTTTATTATCACACTTGTATCATAAATTGGTTAATAGATATTTACAATAATAATGGAACAAGTCCTTTGAAGAAAAAATGTTCTAATTAGATAACAATAATATGATTAACTGCTATACGAAATCAATCTGATTAAAATCTGCTCCTAATTAACGCTACACATACCAAAAATAACTTTAGTAGATATGAATTTTAGTGAGATTGTTACGAATCACGATTCAGTCTATTTAATTTCAAATGTGTGCATTTTTTTCACAGCTGCGAGTAACTGTGCAGCACCACCACAGCCACAGAACGGCAAGCTAACGTGTCAACAGGATACTTCCGGTGCCAGATGTTCTGTCACATGTAACCAGGGTTTCAAACCTGCATGGACTATCTCCCCGTCCTACGATTGCTCGCCGGATGGAACATGGTCTCCACCAAAGTCAGAGATACCCAGATGCGTTTCAGGTTAATATAGTTTCATATTCTCATTGCATATACATATAATTTTCAGACAGATGGAATGGTTTAGCAGATGGGATGTTTCTTTTTTGATATTGCATAACGTATTTTTAATGCGATTGGCAGATTTACGTTTTTGTTAGGATTAAGATTGGTCCGGTTGATTTTTAGATATCAGTTATGTTATAATAGAATAAGAGAGTATATTAATATTCATATGTCTCCAGGGGATCAATAGGCTTTGATTTATCAATAATGATCCTAGTTCAATTTGAAATAAACTATTATGTTACATTTAACATTGCAGAATCGACAGTCATAAACAACACACACGTTGCGACAAGCACCAATCATCCAAGTACCGGAAGTGCTCGTTGCGTCGCCTGGGGTCAGGATCACTACAGAACATTTGACAATAAGGTGTACCACTACAAAGGCTCGTGCTCGTACGTGCTCGTCAAGGACGCTGTGTCCAACAGATTCCACATCCACGTGCAGAATGACAAACACTGTCAGGCCGGTCACAGGTGCAAGAGAGAGATGGAAATATACATGGGAAATGAGGTCATCACCCTAAAACGTGACGCAAGTGGTCCAAGCATAAAATGGAATGGCGCTGAAATTTCTATCCCTAGCAATAAAGGGGGCGTGATCTTTGAAAAGGTCAGCCACTACATCATTATCCGAAGCAATATCGGGTTCCAGGTCCGCTGGGACGGCTACGAGATGATATTTGTAACTGTAACAGACGAGCTCCGAGGAAAGACGCAAGGTCTTTGCGGTATCTATGACGGTGATCAAACCAATGATTTCACCACAGACAGCGGAAGTGTCGTCACAGAGCCGGCTAGCTTCGTCAGTACATGGAAACGATCCCTTGCAGGAGGTAAAGATATTTAGAGTTTTTTTCAGCCTAAATTAAAATCATGATATCTATGAAAATTAAATACTTTTATTGATAACGAATACAGAGTCATTATAAGAAATAGGTGGGAACAAATCTTAACAAGGATAATACGAAACAACTAAATAAATACCACTTAGAAAACGCATTTGACCAATTTTGGTGATATCGCTTGATTTAATATATTTGGTTATTACAGAGACATGCGCAGATCAACCTCAGACCGGATGTAGTTCAGCAGATGCTCAAGTTGTGTCTGCATCAAACTCCGCGTGCCAAGCTCTCATGGGTAGTGAATTCGCCCTCTGCCATCACGTATGTATTATATGTCTTATTTGAAATACTTGTAAAGTTAATTTTAACTGTCTTTCTTTAAATTGTATCTACACGGTGCTTTTCTTTCCCTGTAACTTACTGAATATTTTACAACATTGTTTCCTTTTATATTAATATATCCTAAAATACCCAGAAAATTGAAAGAAAATAATTCTTAGTGTGAAAATGCATTTAATTTATCAACCATAGTTTTTAGAAAAATATAAATCTTCAAATCCATTTCAATACTCATAGAAAATATCGATTGTAAAATCAATTCTTCAAAACAATGTAATTGGACAAATACTTTTACAGGCTGTGGACCCAGCAAGATATGTTGCAGCTTGTAAAGAGGATTGTTGTGCTAGCGGGGGTACCGACTGTGTGTGTAGCAGCATGGAAGCATATGCCAGTGAATGTCTCAACATTAATATCAAACTTGACTGGAGATCGGACAAACGCTGTCGTAAGTTTTTGTTGTTGTTTTCTAATTCTATATGACACAACTACATATTTTAGTCCGAAAGGTTTAATCAATAGCCATTGATGCTTTGTATGTTATCAAAACTTTCGACACAAAAAAAAACGCGGCAAATGCAAAGAAAAATTAAATATATTTTTTTATTAAATGCGCGGAAAACTCATGTAAGGAAGTCCTAGTAAGCCCATTTGTTTGCTAAATAGTTGTTTAAGTCGCTTCATAACATTTTTTTTACATATGATTTTTTTAATTTTCTACAGCCGTACAGTGCCCTGGGAATCAGATTCATAAAGAATGTGGCAGTATGTGCCAGAAAACTTGCCAGTCACCGGCAGCGGCATGCGAAGACCATTCCTGTATTGACGGCTGCTTTTGTCCCGACGGCATGGTACTCCTTAATGATATGTGTGTCCAACAAAGTCAATGTCCATGCGTTCTCAACGGTAAAGAGTACAAGAGCGGTGATGTAGTTCCCAAAGAATGTAATAAATGGTGAGTGTACAAAATGATAATGATTGTTTTTCCCACAATTGAATGTTTTCTCACATATCACGTACGGGATCACCTAAAACAGTTGGCAATATCTGAATCAGTGAGTGACGTCCGTGAAGATTTAAATCATGTAACATGCACATTCGTTATGTTATTGTCACATCTGATCACTAACGTTGTCAACATATCATAAGTAGATACATGAAGGGCTAGTTATAAGCTATACTGCAAATTTCTGTCACTGTGTTCCTTCACATTTACAAGAGAAACTATACAAAAGCTGGTTATTACTTAGCAGTATGTTGGGTTTTTTCTATTTTTTGTTTTATTTTACAGTACATGTATGAACGGAGGTTGGCAGTGTACCAAGAAACGGTGTGAAGCTACCTGCTCAGCAATTGGTGACCCCCATTACATGACATTTGACGGTAAACGCTACGATTTCATGGGACAATGTTCCTATTACTTGATCTACGACCCCTCTTTTGACGTCATTGCTGACAACATCAAATGCGGTCATGGAAGCGCCTCTTGTACCAAGAGTATTACAATCCACTTTAATGGGCATCAGATCAAAATGGACCACAACCATCAGCTCTTCATTGACGGAAACGAGATCACATCCCTACCATACGACAACAATGGTATCAAAATTTTCATGGTGTCGTCACTCTTTATGAAGGCAGAGCTCGCCAATGGTATCACAATCCTTTGGGACGGAAGGACTCGAGCCTACATTACTGCTCCACCATCTTTCATCAACAAAACAAAAGGTTTGTAAGCAATAAAGTTGATTACATAAGTACATTTTTAACGTATTTACCCTACATCCTGCTGCTCTACCTATGCAACCAGTTCAACCCGGATTAACCGGCAAAAATGTAACATCAGTAAATGCTTTGAAACTTTTACATAAGATTGATGACTGGCTTTGTTCAAATCGAAAGATGGACACGTTCTTTAGGAACTTAAGTGTGATTAAGACTTAGATTGTGTGCATTGTCCGGTTTCATGCAGATACGCGCATACTCGTAATTCAGTTTTACTAGGAAAAATCATTTTTAATCCATGAATATGAATATTACAGGTCTTTGTGGAACTTACGATTTCAACCAGAAGAACGACTTCAAGACGATGCAAGGGGATATTGAAACAAATATCAACGCCTTTGGCAATCGCTGGAAGACTGTGCCCACGTGTCAAAACGTTCCATTGAACGCTACCGGAAATCCATGTGACGAGAACATTAACAGGAAAAACCAGTCTGCTCAGTATTGTAACTACCTGAAGAGTGACATTTTCAAAGGTATGCGAAATACACAAAACAGATAATGAAACGAACGAAAAGAGCTTCAGATGACAATGAATTTAACTAAATGTGAAATAAAAACATCATGCTCTAATTTTAGCTCTACTTTTACATAAATTCAAATAGACTGAAAGAATATTGAGCGTTTTTTTGTAATGTAAATAATATCACATGTGTACACAATATATGCTTTTATTTTATTGATTATTTTTACAAATCATTGTAATAAAACACAAGAAAACAATAGACGGAAAAAAACTCGGATGTAGTATTTATTTGAAACGCTATGTCACATACATGTAATAAAATTCGTAAATTTTAGCCTGCCGTGACCTTGTTGACCCTGATGATTTCTACAAGAGCTGTATGTATGACATGTGTGCATGTACAGAGAACTTGAGAGAATGTTTGTGCCCAATGTTGGGTGAATACGCCTCCCAGTGTTCGGCTGCTGGCGTCGACATCCGCTGGAGATTGGAAATAGACGAGTGCCGTAAGTCAAATCCTTCTTGGTATTACTTTTTCTTTGCAAAGTCATATCATATACTTCAGGCTTTTGTAAAACCTCATGTAGATAACATGGTGTTTATTATTATTTTATATGAATTAAATTCATTAAAAGAAGGCAAGCGTCAAATTCTGTTACATTTATGTCAAAACTCAAGTTAAATTCCTCTCGAACCATAAGCGATGGCAATTAGTGGGAACAACAGGGTACAGCCAAACCAACCACGTTTTAACAAATAAAGTAATACTGTTCTTATTAGTTGGATCGTAGCATCGGTACAATTATCCAAATTAAAATCAGGATAAGTGTACATGTATAATCACTAAATGTGTTTAGGAATGTTGAAATGAACACTATGGAAAACAAATCGGTCATGATATTTCAGACATACCATGTACCGGCGGTCAAGAATACCAAGTTTGTCCCAACGAATGTACTCGAACCTGTAACAACCTTGCCAACGACCCGAACTGTATCCAGTCGTCAGTCTGCGCAGAAGGTTGTGGCTGCCCGGTAAATCAGACGTTGGACGATAACGGAAATTGTATCACAATTGACAGTTGTCCATGCAAATTCTCGGGTCAAGAGTTCAAGGCCGGCGCTGTTGTTGAACGAGGAGATCAGATTTGGTCAGTTTCCAAAACATAACATACAAAAGGTTTTTTAAACAAAAGAAACGGCAAAACCAAATACATAAATACATGTATATATTAATGTATTTCCAATAAAATAATCTTTCATATTTTGATAGGATATTATAGATGAAACTGTTCAATAATCCATGGAGTAGATCATTTCAGTAAATGAAAAGATCTTTAATCATTTTTTTCTTATGTTATTACTCGTATATATATATATATATTTCCATTTCATAACAAAACAAATTTTTATGGTTTACAGATTGTTAGTTCAGAATGATAATGAAAACAATTTTTCTTTTATCAGTACCTGTTTGAACGGTCGTTTTACATGCGCTGCTAAGCCAGTTGGTTCCCAAATTAGTGGTTTATCAAAGATCTGCAAAGCAAACGAGGAATACTCCCAGTGTATATCTGGGTGTCCCATGACATGTCTCAACATGCACGACCCAACTGCCATGACGTGCAACACCACTGTTTGTAACGATGGCTGTGTTTGTAAACCGGGATATGTCAGAGAAGGTTAGTTTTATGAAATATATCTCGTAAAATGTTGAAATTTTACTAGTATAGCTGGGCCTGGTTATTCATTTAACTGCAACCCGCATATTTATCGACCGTACGGAAAACATGATTCACGAGAATTTATTTAGTTTAATTAATTAGTTGGTATATGATAGGATCTAAATTGATAAGTACGGTCAAGAGGTTATAAATACACATTTATATATCAAACATAGCATACATTTATACTTAACCATTATATTTTAAACAATTATGCATCTATCAATAGGTAACGAGTGCTTGTTGAAGGACGACTGTCCATGCTACCATGGCGGCCTGGCTTATAAGGAGGGCGAGAAATTCACAATGGATTGCAACGAATGGTAAGATACTGAAATAGATGTATCCATTACAAATCTTTACTTCTGAACACTTTATAAAAAACATAGACATAAATATGTTAGCAGGAAAATGTGTAATAAAAGTTACAGAGATAATACCTATACAGGCAGCAAGCCTTATATTCGAAGATTTGACTTCATTTATAAAGTTCGTTATTACTTTATATGGATAAGACATTGTTTTCTCTTTTTTAAATTAAAAATAGCACGTGCAGAAGCCGATTGTGGGTATGTGAGGACAAAGACTGCCCGGCTGTATGCAGCGCCTACGGTGACTCACATTATACAACGTTTGACGGTAAAGGGTACGAGTTCCAAGGCAGCTGTGACTACGTGTTTGCCAAGTCTACAGATAGCAACCCGATCAAGTTTGAGATAACCACAGAAAATATCCCGTGCGGAACCACCGGAGTTACGTGCACACGATCTATATCATTCAGTATCGGAGAACAAGGTATGCAATGGAGATGTTCTAAGGGGTGTCTCAACTAATTTTCTCAAAATAAATAATTAAATAAAATAAGCACATATAAATATATTAATAATACATACATAAATCGATATGTGTTGAAGAATACTTGAAACAAATGTACATTCACAGGTAAGCTCTCAAAAGGCACAAATAATATAAAGGTGATTTCCTAGATGTAAATATGGATAAGGCGCTTTATTAAAATCTCTCTGAAGTACAAAGGAAATATTTGAAAAATTCTAGCTTTTCACATAAATCTAGCTATAAATACATTATTTTTGGTAATTGTTTTCCGTCTGCCATCTGTGTTGTATAAACTGAATTAAGTGTCCGTCATTTTAAGCTTACCATATGTTGACCACCCTCTTTGACTGTGCATTTCAGGTACCGCTAATTTTTACCGTATCCAGCTCGTGAAAGGTAAACCAGTCGTTCCTGAAGCTGGTTCCCCGTTTGAAGTGCGCGAAGTTGGCAACTTTATCATCATTACAACGCCGCAAGGAATAACGCTTGAGTGGGACAAGGGAACCAGATTGTACCTTAAGTTAAGAACCGAACACAAAGGACAGGTGGGTAGCTCTAATTCATTATTGTAGAATACTAAAGTGAATGATACAGCTATGAAATATATTTCTATTGGGTAAAATTTCAAGTTTATATTATCTTGAAAAATAAGAAGCACGTCATGTCGTTTTTTGACGTTGTTTGTTTTAATTATTACTTTATCATAATCATGTGCTTGGGTCCTCGTGTTCTTGCATTTTTTTACATATACATTCTTCTAATTTTCAATTTTATGAAACACAGGTTCAAGGTTTATGCGGAAACTTTGACGGTGACCAGAAGAATGATTTCTCAACACCACAAGGTGGACCATCTGCATCCAGGTCAACAACATTCGCTGATAGCTGGAAGGTACTGACTCATGTTATTTGAATCTTGAAATACAATTGATACATTCCTTTGAACATGATATTGTAATTATCTGCAATTGTTATAGTATTCTAATGATTGTAGAAAAGAACTAAGGACAAAAATTACTTACGTCAAAAATAAACTTGAAACTAGAGCCTTCGATTTCTAGGTAAAGATACTTTATCAATTGGGCTATATAACACATATCCGTTCTGTTCAAGCAAATTACCCTTCATAACATTAAAGTCATCGTCATTTTATCCAAGATGAAGTTTCTATAACATCATAGAATAGAGAGAATGAACAACAATATGAATAAAAATGCTTAAAAACTACCCGAGAAGACGTTTGCATTCTGTTGCTAATTCCAGGTCCACGGATTTTGCGCCAACTCCAAGGTGATTACCGATACATGTGAAGCAAATACTGAACGACGACCATGGGCGCAACAGAGGTGTAATATTATATCTAGCAAGGTGTTCCAGAAATGTCACAGTGTTGTACCATATCAAGAATACTTAGACAAGTAAGTATCTTCTAAATAAAATTTAAACTGCATGGAAAACTGGCAGTATTTAACTTATTTTATGGCTTCAACGCCAAGAAAATATAGAATATTGCATGGAAGACAGTATAGGTCAACGAAAGGGTTTGATATAGTGTAGTCAAAATATTCCTACGCTCGCATTGTTTTAAATACTGATTAAACTGTTTTACTGGCAGAGAAAGAAAGTTTACAAGATATTTGACATTGTAAATTTCCATAATTTGTACATCATTTTCTTTTCTTTTTTCTATCAGATGTATATTTGACGCATGCGCATGTGACACGGGTGGCGACTGTGAATGTTTGTGTACAGCTGTTGCCGCATACGCCCACCAGTGTGCCATGAACGGTGTACCAATCAGCTGGCGAACTGAAGAACTGTGTCGTAAGTTGACTTTTTGTGTTCTACACAAGTTTATACGTTTGTTACTGTTTGACCAAACCATGCAAACTGTCTTTAAAGGGAGAAGTCACTTCTTACATCGGAGCCACTTTATGTATTTAAACAAAATAAAAAAACTTAATCACGTAAACATATATAACATAAATAAGAACATAATGTATGTCCTTTAAAAGAACACAGATATGCAGTTTCCCGATTCTGTATTACTTTTTTCTCGATAATAATCGTCTAATAAGAATAAACATTTATCAATCTTATTTCTGAAAAATAAAGATTAAAAAAAAACCAAAAAACTTTATTTTTGGTACATGTTTGTTTAACTGTATAATGCATTTATGCCTATTTCAGCAATCATGTGTGAAAACTGCGAGACATACAACCCTTGTATCAGCATTTGCCCGAAGAAAACATGTGACAATCGCCTTGTGTACGATACTCTTACAACAAACTGTGGACAGGAAGTCTGCGTCGAAGGTTGCGACATCAAGCCATGCCCGGCAGGTTAGTAACTTATCTACTTCCTGTAACGCATGCGCATTGCAATTTTCAACTGCACGTGTCTAACTATACCTCTCTTAATTAATCTCCGTATTAATTAATCCCGAAAAATCCAGTCTTAAATGAAAATAATTTTCATTGTAGGTCAAGTGTACGAAAGTGACAAGGAGCCATTCAAGTGTATACCGGAAGCCTTCTGTAACACGACTTGTCTTACCATTAATGGAAAAGAGTACAAAGAAGGGGAAAGAATTTTGGACGAAACTGTTTGCAGAATGGATTGCGAAGTCTGGTAAGCGCCATTACATTAATTTACCGTTGTACGTCATCAACAAAAACGAAAGAGTCAGATGTTTATTATTTAGAAATGGATACACGATGTATAACTTCTAAAAGTATTTTTTTCCAGTCTACAAAACGACTTCATACTATTTTGATATAGGCATATTAAGGAAGCAACATGCGTGCTGTGTTTTAGATCTGGCTTTATCAAAAAGTGTTGTTTTTTTCTTTCTTACGTAAAAAAATAGGGAAAAAAAACATCACGATATTTTATTTCTAACAATGTCAACTCGAATTTGTAAGGAAGTTTTAATTTTATATTTTGTCCACACCTTTTCAGTTTCTGTGACAATAACGCCATTCAGAGAAGTGGTGTCTGTACGGGCACTCCACCTCCCGTCCATCTTCCCTCAGTCAGCCCAATGATGATGACCGGGTCTCCAACTATACCACCCTCAACTCTTACACCATTGTGCGTGCGTACCGGACCTACAGCCTGGATGAGCGTAGGAACACCAACCCCCTACAATCAGGGAGACATCGAGTCTATCGCCGCCCTTAGACAACAATATACTTTCTGCGAGGCCAGTCAGATGACAGCGATTGAATGCAGAGTCGTCGGCACACAGACGTCGTCTGCGGCGTCAAAACAGCGAGTTTTCTGTGATTTGAGAAATGGACTTAAATGTTACCATAGCGACCAGAAAAACGGTGAACAGTGTCTTAATTACGAAGTGAGAATCACATGTGAATGCGGTAAGTAAAGTGGGCTATGGTCAAACGCTAAGAAAATAATGATTAAGTAAAAAGACACGTGTAAATAACCTTATTTAGAAAGTGTGAAAATATATAACCTGGATTTTTTATTATACTTGCTAGTATTGACAAACATTGAATAGTTAAAACCAGACTTGTGGAATCTATTTGGTGACAATTTGAAATTTCAATTTCAGTTACATACTACTGTAAGAAAATGTTTTCAAAAAACCCACAGTATTATGTTCAAAAACCAATCAGACGTGATATTACAAAATAACTTATCTATAATCAAAGATAATTATGATATTGATGACTTGATATTTTTTTCCTTTTTCTATTTCATTCTTCCGTTTGTTTTATTTTCATGAAAATCTCTACCTCAATACAATTTGCATTTCAAATCTAAATAAGTCAGCCGCCGTTTGACTTACTCTGTTTTATTTCTGGCATTCATATCAATGGCATTATTTGCTAACCGATTGTTGTTTTGTAGACATACATATTCAGTTTAAGTGCGATATTATTATACAATAGGCTATAAAATAGATATTATTTGTAACCCATGTGATTATCTTTTGGCTATAATTCTGTTTTTTTTGTATTTTACATCCATGTATAAAACTAGTATACTAAGAAAAATAACTACCTCGGGAATTTGTTTAGGTAATTTTTCTATCTGTTCTCACATTAAAATGTTTCATAACCCTATTATCCTATAATCAGGTCCGTTGCAATTCAAAAATTTATTTCCGGCTTTATTCATTCAAAATGTAAAATAATTTGATCATGCATTGTACTCTTTTTATATAACATAAATAACAATTTCATTTTATATACATCATATGCAAGTTTGAAAAAACAAAACAAAAAAACAACAGTACTGTAAAAATTGTATATTTCTAATCCATGGTAAAATTTTCGAAAGAAAAAAATTAAATAAGGGGTCGAACCACTAGATGTTTACTTAAGTATACAAACATTTTTACTTTTCATGTTAATCTTGCTTTGAATTTGTACAAAAAGCACCCCAAAAAACTATAATTAAACTCTATTTTGCGTTAGTACATTGTAATCAAATCAGGTGATAAGAAAATGCGAATCAAATTAGTTTTTTAGCAGTCATTACATACATTTATATAGCCAGAGAGTGATATACATGTATATATCTATATATTTACTTTTGTACGTTTTACTTTGTTGTTGTTGTTTTTAATACATTTTTTTTTATAAACTGTGAAACGTCTGAGAAAGAATCCATGAAGACGTTTACATTGATCTGTTTTGTTTGTGGTTTACTTGTCAACTTAAATTTTATGGTTTTGTTTTCAATGGTTTTCTGACGTGTTATAAATTTTGAAATAAATTCTTGATAAAAATCTGCAAAATTGGTTAATTAATAATGGCTATTAACTTGGTTGGCGATTTAAAAATTGAATATTTATCATTTCCATACAACAGTTTTGGATTTTGTGATCTACAATATATATCAGAAAACCAGTGTTGACATATTTATGTCTTTGTGTCCGTGTGTGTGTTTTTAATGTTTTTTTTATAAATATATTATATACATGTATAGAGATCTTTATGTATTTTTCTACTCTTAGAATTGTCATATACACAGATTTGATGTGAAATAAAATAAGGTTGTTAAAACTTAAAGTGCTTGTTGGCTTTCATTTTCTTCCCAGGGCAACCTTCAGTATATACATGTATACATACCAGAAATTGTTTTTATACACTTCAAATCATGCACAGGATTTCCCCAAACCGTGTACAACATATGGAGGTTCCCCTGGTATGATAATGAATAAATCTATCGCTAAATAAAAAAAAACTACCTCTAAAAAAGTTAAGTTTAAATATCATTTTTAAAGGAATAATATATTTGTAAATGTGCACATCTTCTGTTGGTCACAGTAAAGATGTTTCGATCTTCAAGTTAGGCTCCTTATCTAAAAAAAATTGGAAAATTTACAAATGTTATTATGCTAACTTCAGTAAGTATATTTACGAGTCCGTTCTTATCACTGTTTTAGAATCATAAAGATAATTAGACATAACACTGTATTTTCAGACTTACCAATAACAACTACAATTGCTCCAAACCTGATACCAGGGGGATCTCCTACAATCCGACCACCACTAGCTAATACGGCCACACCAACAATGATTGTTCCTCCGCCAACACGTGATTCATTAGGACTATACGCTTGCAAAGAACCCGGATGGACAAACTGGATGAACTATGACAAACCCACCGATAATGACGACATAGAATTCTTGCCAAGTCTAATAAAAGCATATGCATTCTGTCGCGAGGACCAGGTAGCCTATATTATGTGCCGCCAGGTGTCTAATGGCGCTAGTTTTGACGTAGCTGATGACGTCATGACCGTCTGTAACACAAAAGCTGGGTTCGCATGCTATGGCTCGAAGCAACCAGATGGTACCTGTGAAGATTATGAGATCAGCGTATATTGCCAATGCTCTGCATCTAGTAAGTTGACACGGCAATTTAAAAAACATGTATTAATACACATGTATCCAAACACTATCGCTTTGCCTTTCTTTATAAAGAATGATACAGTTATCTTGAACCTGTGCTCATATTTCTAAGAATCTGCCAGATGTAAGAGTTAAAAGAATACCTATCTATATCAATCAATATCATATAAACCTCACAGAGCTTTTATAATTTTATAAGTGTTAAGTCTTAATATATCACCAAATCATAAATACTCGTATCTATAATATATTTTAAAATGCTAAACGTTTGTGTTTATAATACTGCACGTTTGTAACGTCGCTTTTCGTTGGATTATCGTGACGTTCATATAAATTTTAAATACTGCTTCTGTAAAACATAAAGTATATTTTATTTTTTTCCTCTATAAAAAGGAAGTTTGCTGTATTTTAACTTCGTTTTAAAGACTTTTAACAGGTTGTATGGCCGTATATAAACGTTTATTTGCAATGTAATCATCGCCTTCCTCCTCGGGTTATATTTACAAATATATAGAGGATATTGAATGAGTGTTAGTTCAATACTGAATTTATTGCACGAGTTGAATAAAATTATATTATGCGAGCCTCTGGCGAGCATAATATTATTTTATTCAACGAGTTCAATAAATTCAGTAATGGACTTACACGAATTTAATATTCTTTTTATCACATACCCAAAATAAAGACTGTTTAAAGTGAAAAAAGAGTCATTTTTCATTGACGCGCCTATAGTATAACGCTAACATTTAGCGCGTCTTTACACTATGTTTGTATAACGCTAATGACGTCACGTCAAAATATATGCACGGCCGTGCAATACCATTTTTACGGAGTCGCAAAATCGGCACGGGTGTGTGATAAATGTTTATATTATTAGTTATAAAGATTGTTGACAGGTTATATGGCTCTATTTAAACGACTATTTGTAAATATGACCCGAACCGCTAGGCGAGGGTTATATTGCAAACAGCCGTTTATATACGGTCATGTAACCTGTCAACAATCTTTATAACGAATTTATAATACAGCAAGCATCATCTTTTAGAAAAAAAGTAAGATTTCTTCATCAATCGACAGCAGCCGTGTATATAAAATTATATAAACGTCACGATTATCCAATGAAAAGCGACGTTACAAACGTGCAGTATTATAAAGAGCCATATAACCAGTCAAATAACTAATGATGTATAAGATGACAAAGAATGAGTTAACTGTCTAAAATACAGATTATATGTACTGACAGGTTGTAAATTTGGATGTTTGGTTGGTTTTCTAAGAAATTGAAAACAAAGGTGTTTTCTAACCAACAAAGACACTGTCAACACAAATTAAAGAAATTAACTGAATCGTCCAATTCATTGGTGTCAGTCTTAATTCTCGATTCATGGAAATTTGTTTTGATAAAAAGCGTTAACTTAGATCCAGTAACCATTTTATTAAACACAACGTTAATAAATGAATGTAAAATTAACAAATCAATGAATTTATATTGAAAGATAGCATTTATATTCTGTGAACAGTGTGCGACAAACCCATGATAAGCGATGTCCGCTCCGTGCCCGACGACAAGATAACAGCGTCGTCATCTGCTGCCGGTATTTCACCTGCCGACGCTCGTCTGTATACCATGGGTGGATGGGAGTCCAAGAGCGGTGATAATTCACCATGGATACAAGTAGACTTTGAAGTACCCGTAAATGTAACAGGCATAATGACTCAAGGAATAAAGGTACGACAAATATACCTATAAGTATATAATCTTAGGAAACAACTGATACGGGGTATTTAGTTTTTTTTGTAATTTTTTATAATCTATGAACGTAAACGAGAACGTGACAAGCTTGTATGCAGTATTTGTATGCTTATAATATTTTATATTTCTAACATTCATTTCATGAATATAGATGGAAAAGTCAGTTGTACAAATTAATTTGAGGGGCAAAGTATTCTTATCAAGATGATGACACGTAATGTTTAATATTAGCGGATAGAATTTTTATTTGCCACAGCGCGTTATAAATTGCTAACAAATCACATATTAAATCAGACTTTACAATAATATGTTTTTAAGATTAGGAAAAACAGACCAATTCCGTGAACAATATGTTACCTTTTAAACATTTTTAAATGTTGTCTTCACACAATTATGCCGGTGTATCATATGATGTATAAAAACGTTACAATAAAGATTCACATTTCAGGGAACACCGAAATTCACCAAACACTACACCATATCCTACAGCGATAACTGCATCAGTTTCCAGAATCTAACAGGACGTGACAATAAACCAGAGGTAAAACATTTTATCCATTTGGTTAAACCCCTAACCTTCCGGATCTGAAAAATGGATTCTCCATGTTTTAATTTTGGAATATTCCATTTGAAAGTCAAGGATATCAATATCGAAATACGAAAAACAAAATGAGCTAACAATATCCATGAAGTATGGTCATACTCTTAGCCGGTGGCAAAGGCTAGTTGCGTTTTTTTACACTAGGTCAAAGTATGGAGCTTTTATTCCCTTTTTTATGGGACTCTATAATCATTCAAAAATTTTACAAGTTTAAACGCCGCCGGATTACTTCTGTTAAAGGATTTAAAGCGATATTGGATTGTCTGTTATCTCGATTAGTCAACTAAATTGAACGATATTCAAATCGTGTGGCGCATGCGCAAACATTTTGATATAGCAGTGTAAAATTTTGTTATCTGTTCTCATATAATTAATGGGCGTTTATAGTTTTTGAAAACAATCCTTTACGAATGACCATAAATAGAAAATGCGTATTTGTCTGTAAATATTTAACATAACAGAACTAGAAATTAATATATTTACATATATATATACTGCAGTTAAGTAAGTCTTCTGTTTGATAGTTGCGTTTGACCCTAAATATATATATATTACTCTTTGCACCAGCACAATAGAGGTCATAAAATGGCGAATTGTCCAGCTTTGCTGGCGGAGGAAGACCTCAGATGTCCATGCGTGCATTATCAGACACAACATAACACCTGAGCAGAACCATCAACGTTTCGTTAGCTAGTTGGATAGCTTCCTCACATATAAGAATCCAAATTCCCTGAAGGGACTCGAACCTTAAACAGGTGTGCCACAGACACACTATATTTGAGCCGCGCCATGACAAAACCAACATAATGGGTTTGCGACCAGCATGGATCCAGACCAGCCTGCGCATCAGCGCAGTCTGATCAGGATCCATGCTGTTCGCTTACAAATCCTATTGCAAGTAGAGAAACTGATAGCGAACATCATGGATCCTGATCAGACTGCGCAGCATGGATCCTGATAAGACTGCGCGGATGCGCAGACTGGTCTGGATCCGTGCTGGTCGCAAACCCACTATGTCGGTTTTGTCGTGACGCGGCTCATATATTTTTTACGACTGTTTTCAGATTTTCGAAGGCAACACAGACTCGGACACGGCCATCAAACATACGTTCATCAAAGAAAAACAGTTTACCGCACAGTGTGTCCGTATTCATCCAACAGATTACGATATTGCCCCGGGCTTACGGTTTGAGCTTCTTGGATGCAGATATTATCGTAATGTTTTATTCTTTACTGTATACTTCATATCATAAATTATATTTTCTGATAACTGTAACACTTTGCTAAACCTAGCCTGGGAATAAATTCTTTGAATACAAAATTTTACATCCAATGTTTAATATTTTAGTTTCAATTTTAAAAAGTTATACATTTAAGAAATCAAAGAGCAAATACAATACGCTGTTTTTTTGAGATTTTTGTCAATAATGACCACTATTAAATTTCCATCTCCTTATTTACCACTTTAACAGTGATTGTTAATGTTCTGTCGCGGTGTCATTGACGCTCCTTTGAACTGCAATGTATTACTTTCTAAGCTTTAACAATAATTCATCAAATGCACGGATGTAAAGATTTGACGAGTATGAACGATATATATAAGTAAAAAATCGTTAAAATATAAAAGAGATTATATTCTGATTTTAGTTACCATGAAAACAACAACGGAGCTTCCACCTCCGGGAACACTAACGAAAGCACCTGGTTTGGGTCCAAATGAAACACCAACCGCTCAACCGGGCTTACACTCAGGAGAAACACCATCCGCAAAACCAGGTCTTCAACCAGGACAATCTCCAACAGCACAGCCTGGTCTTATTTCTGGACAAACACCGACTGCCGAACCTGGTCTTATTTCAGGACAAACACCATCCGCAAAACCAGGTCTTCAGCCAGGACAATCTCCAACAGCACAACCTGGCCTTATTTCTGGACAAACACCAACTGCCGAACCTGGTCTTATTTCAGGACAAACGCCATCCGCAAAACCAGGTCTTCAGCCAGGACAATCGCCAACAGCTCAACCTGGTCTGGTTTCTGGACAAACAGCGACCGCAAAGCCGGGTCTTCAACCTGGAGAGACACCAACTGCGCAACCTAGTCTCATTTCCGGACAGAAACCAACCATTGTATCTAGTAGTCAGACTACCGTTTCTCCATATACTTGCAAGCAAGGCTGGTCGGATTTTATGAACATAGACAGTCCAACGATTACAAAACCATCCGAAACAAATGGACCTGGTGATATTGAATCAATTGCCGAGTTGAGAAAATACCACAGTTTCTGTGCGAAGCCGACAGGAATCAAATGCCAGTCAGCCACTACAGGGGCATCTTACATAATGAGTATGGACGTAGATGTGACATGTGACCTCACCTCTGGTCTGGAATGTCTCAACTCAAAACAGGGAGGTTATGATTGCGACGACTATGAAGTCAGTGTGTTTTGCGAATGCGCCCGTAAGTTTATTTTTTAGTCCTTTGAAAACAAACAGTACAAAGAAAAATGTATAGCATGAATTAAAGCCAAATATAAAAATACGATATTTTATGTGTCAATCAATTGACATACTTTTAATTGTATATCCTATATCATTATAATTTTATTAAAATTGAGGGAGATTGAAATTTCGGTCTTACGAACTTAGGTTATTGTATGTATCCATTTATATGCAAAAGTGATGTTCGATTGTTTGTTTGTTTTGTTTTGTTTTGAGTTTTACGTCACATCGACACAGTATAGGTCATATCGCGACGTTCCAGCTTTACTGGTGGAGGAAGACCTCAGGTGCCCTTCCGTGCATTATTTCAGGCACGAACGGGCACCTGGGTAGAACCACCGACGTTCCGTAAGCTAGCTGGATAGCTTCCTCACATGAAAGAATCCAAAGGTCCTGTCGGGATTCGAACCCACAGCGGTGAGGGGCAAATGTTCGATTGTGTTTTACAATGAAACCAATGAACTGTGTCAGTTTATTAGATTATTTCAAGTATATTTGATGAATGTTTCAATTTGATTTATTTCCAGCAACTCCAGCACCTACAAGTATACCTGGTATATCTGGAACCCCTGTCCCACCGAAACCAGCGTGTGAGTGGACGCCATTCATGAACAGTTACAAGAGAACTTCATCCAGCACAGGGGATTATGAAACTATTCATAACTTACGAATGTTGTATGAGTTCTGTGAATTCCCATCTCAGATACAGTGCCGAGATGCTACAACAAAACAAGACTTTATGCAGGCTGGCCAAGCTGGCGTGACATGTGATACTAACCATGGTTTAGTATGTGAGGACAAGGGACAAAACGGTGAACTATGTAAAGATTACGAAGTTCGAGTTTACTGTACTGACGCATGTGCATCTACACTAGCACCTGGTCTTCACCCTGGTGAAACACCAACAGCCCAACCAGGTTTGATATCTGGACAATCCCCAACAGCACAACCAGGACTTGCCTCAGGTCAATCACCTTCTGCCAAACCAGGTTTACAGCCAGGAGAAACACCCACAGCTGAGCCAGGTTTTGTCTCGGGTCAGTCACCTACCGCTCAACCAGGACTTATATCTGGACAGTCACCAACAGCACAACCAGGACTTATTTCCGGACAGTCACCATCAGCTAAACCAGGTCTACAACCAGGAGAAACACCAACAGCTCAGCCAGGTCAGATTTCAGGCCAATCACCAACAGCTCAACCAGGACTTGTTTCAGGACAGTCTCCATCTGCCAAACCAGGTCTTCAACCTGGAGAGACACCAACAGCTCAACCAGGTCAGATTTCAGGCCAATCTCCAACAGCTCAACCAGGACTTGTTTCCGGACAATCACCATCTGCTAAACCGGGTTTACAGCCAGGAGAAACACCAACAGCTCAGCCAGGTCAGATTTCAGGCCAATCACCAACAGCTCAACCAGGACTTATATCTGGACAGTCACCAACAGCACAACCAGGACTTATTTCCGGACAATCACCATCTGCTAAACCGGGTTTACAGCCAGGAGAAACACCAACAGCTCAGCCAGGTCAGATTTCAGGCCAATCACCAACAGCTCAACCAGGACTTGTTTCTGGACAGTCTCCATCTGCCAAACCAGGTCTTCAACCTGGAGAGACACCAACAGCCCAACCAGGACTTGTATCAGGTCAATCACCATCTGTCAAACCAGGGTTACAACCTGGAGAAACACCAACAGCTCAACCAGGTCAAATTTCAGGACAATCTCCAACGGCCCAACCAGGGCTTGTATCTGGACAATCACCATCAGCAAAACCAGGGCTACAACCTGGAGAAACACCAACAGCTAAACCAGGTCAAATTTCAGGACAATCTCCAACAGCCCAGCCAGGACTTGTATCAGGGCAATCACCATCTGCCAAACCAGGTTTACAGCCAGGAGAAACACCAACAGCTCAGCCAGGTCAGATTTCAGGCCAATCACCAACAGCTCAACCAGGACTTGTTTCTGGACAGTCTCCATCTGCCAAACCAGGGCTACAACCTGGAGAAACACCAACAGCTCAACCAGGTCAGATTTCAGGCCAATCACCAACAGCTCAACCAGGACTTATTTCCGGACAATCACCATCTGCTAAACCAGGTTTACAGCCAGGAGAAACACCAACAGCTCAGCCAGGTCAGATTTCAGGCCAATCACCAACAGCTCAACCAGGACTTGTTTCTGGACAGTCTCCATCTGCCAAACCAGGGCTACAACCTGGAGAAACACCAACAGCTCAGCCAGGTCAGATTTCAGGCCAATCACCAACAGCTCAACCAGGACTTGTTTCTGGACAGTCTCCATCTGCCAAACCAGGGCTTCAGCCTGGAGAAACACCAACAGCTCAGCCAGGTCAGATTTCAGGCCAATCACCAACAGCTCAACCAGGACTTGTTTCTGGACAGTCTCCATCTGCCAAACCAGGGCTACAACCTGGAGAAACACCAACAGCTCAGCCAGGTCAGATTTCAGGCCAATCTCCAACAGCTCAACCAGGTCTTATTTCTGGACAATCTCCAACAGCCGAGCCAGGTCTTGTATCAGGGCAATCACCATCTGCTAAACCAGGGTTACAACCTGGTGAAACACCAACAGCTCAACCAGGTCAAATTTCAGGACAATCTCCAACAGCCCACCCAGGTCTTGTATCAGGTCAATCACCATCAGCAAAACCAGGGCTACAACCTGGAGAAACACCAACAGCCCAGCCAGGTCTTGTCTCTGGCCAATCACCATCCGCTCAGCCAGGGCTTGTTTCCGGACAGACCCCCTCTGCTAAACCAGGTTTACAACCAGGAGAAACACCAACTGCTAAACCAGGACATGTATCCGGACAATCCCCAACTGCCGCCCCTGAGTTTTGCAGGGAAGGTTGGACAGATTGGATAAATACAGGAAATCCATCTACATTAGAGGGAGATTTTGAGTCTTACAGAAGTATTCAAGGTAAGGATAAAAATCATTTATATGATACGTTGAAGATATGTAAAGTCTTTGAATGGCATATGAATTTAAAAAAATCCTAACGAAACATTTAATGTGATCTAATACAAATCGTTTTAATATATTTCACTTCAAACACTATTCGTGACACGTTTGTGTCATTGAGCATGATGTAACCTATTCTTTTACATATTTGAAAAATATTTTTATGTTTAACTCTATGATCATTGAAAAGATGATTATTATTGAAAGATCATGTTTTTAATCACAACATGTCGACTCCTAATAACGCAAAGACTGTTGAGCACTACAAATATTATTTGAATATGTTGCGTAAAAAAAGAAACAACATTTTTTTTGTTTATATTATAAGGATATCCAATGACATGTGACGAAGTTGTCACAGCAATGTGCGCCATAGCGTCAACTGGACAACCGTATACTTACTCCGGTCAAGATGTCCGATGTGACAGTGATGGACTTGAGTGTGTTGATGGACCATTTCAGAAATGTCTGGATTACAAGATCAAGTTCTACTGTTCATGTAAGGCAAACGTTGCAATTTTATCTTCTTTTTTGTCGTAATTAAATATGCTCTTTTTACATCTGCAAATAGACCAAAATGAATAACTCAAATTGTAAAGTGTTGCAAATTAATCAATAACGAGTTAAGAAAAATTATCTAGCTTTTGTTTGCATTCTTCGTCCAAGAATAATTACTTACTTACTTTTGCGAAAATGTATAATGTTGTACTAGCACTATCAAAATAGGTATTTTGAAACTAACATCTGAAAGTTAAGGACACTATGAATCTTTTATTTATAATTGTGCAAAATAATAATTGTATCTCCAGCCGTTTTAACCGCGTTATGTTCAATTCTCTCCTATTGAGAAAACCAATTATAAACGCTTTTTATATTAATTTTCGTCTTGAAAGAAACAATGATACGGATTGATATATTGATTCACCTGGTATATATGTTCTAGTTTATATGCTGTTTCATAACAAAACATTATTTTTCAATCCAGGCCATCCAAGTTTATCAACTGCCAAGTCGGGGCAAACGCCAACAGCACAGCCAGGTTTTAACCCAGGAGAAACTCCTACAGCTCAACCTGGTCTTTTACCGGGACAGTCTCCAACTGCTCACCCAGGTCTTTTACCAGGACAAACACCAACTGCTGAACCAGTATTTCTACCAGGACAGTCACCAACAGCTCAACCAGGTCTTCAGCCTGGGCAATCACCTACAGCTAAACCAGGTCTTATTTCAGGACAAACACCAACTGCTCAACCAGGTTTTCTCCCAGGACAGTCACCAACAGCTCAACCAGGTTTTCAACCAGGACAGTCACCAACAGCCCAACCCGGTCTTCAGCCAGGACAGTCACCAACTGCTCAACCAGGTTTTCAACCGGGTCAATCACCAACTGCTCAACCCGGTCTTCAGCCAGGAGAGACCCCGACTGCACAACCAGGTCTTCTGCCTGGACAGTCACCAACAGCGCATCCAGGACTTCAGCCAGGTCAGTCGCCAACTGCTCAACCAGGTTCAATTTCCGGACAGTCACCAACAGCTCAACCAGGACTTCAGCCAGGTCAATCACCAACAGCTCAACCAGGTCTTCAGCCAGGAGAGACCCCGACTGCACAACCAGGTCTTCTGCCTGGACAGTCACCAACAGCGCATCCAGGACTTCAGCCAGGTCAGTCGCAACCAGGACTTCAGCCAGGTCAATCACCAACAGCTCAACCAGGTCTTCAGCCAGGAGAAACCCCGACTGCACAACCAGGTCTTCTGCCTGGATCAGTCACCAACAGCGCATCCAGGACTTCAGCCAGGTCAATCACCAACTGCTCAACCAGGACTATTGCCCGGACAGTCACCAACTGCTCAACCAGGTATGATATCAGGACAGTCACCAACAGCTCAACCAGGTCTTCAGTCTGGTCAATCACCAACAGCTAAACCAGGTCTTATATCAGGACAAACACCAACAGCTCAACCTGGTATGCATTCAGGTGGAACACCAACTGTTCACCCACCATACGTTAGTGGACAATCTCCAGGTATTAATGTCACACCTGGATACCAGCAATACGAGTGTGCTCATGGCTGGACTGAGGCAATGAGTGTTAGCACACCTTCTATTACCGGAGATGATCTGGAGCCTATAGCGGAACTCAGAAAGAAATATGACTTTTGTAACGAAAGTCACATTGTTGCCATAAGGTGCACAGGTCTTATCACGGAGAAGAAGGGAGAAGAAATGGGTGAAACGGTCAAATGTGATCAAAAAACTGGATTTTCCTGTTATGGACGAGATCAAACTGATAAAAAATGTGAAGATTACGCCGTCCAGTTTTATTGTGACTGCAGAATCAGTAAGTATTTTTCTTTGAACATTGTCAGTCTTGTATTAAATTCAAATACATGTATTACAAAAATCCTGTTATTTTGTGAAAAGTTACTTTTAGGACTATTTAATGATGTAAGCAACTATTACCACATTTTTTAAAATCATTTATTCTGATCAATTCTTCTGTATATTATGAAAGAATAACAAGGGTACTATTAGCCCAAAGGATAAGAAAACTGTATAAAATATTTTGTAATAGGATTTATCTTCAACAAATACAAAATTATTTACAATTTAAATAATCATTGTCCTTTATATAGCGACACCAAATCCAGAATTAACAACAACCATTGCCCCACCATTCTTACCAGGAGGAACGCCTACAATACGCCCGCCAAACTTCTCTCCAGTTACACCAACAGCTAGACCTCCTTTGTTCCAAGGCGAAACTCCAACGCCCCGCCCTTACTGTGACATACCAATGGGAGTGGCTAATCCGCTAACAGTTTCAGGCAGCCAGCTTTCGGCTTCAACAGCCTTCAACTTTAGCTTTGAAGCATCTAATGGTCGTCTGAACAAACAAGCTGACGGTAACGGCGCGGGTGCATGGGTCCCAAGGTATTACTGTGTTTAAATCATTCTTTTATGCGCAGGTTCTGAAAATATACAATTTTTATTTCTATTATCTTATTCTTGTCCGCGTGATTCATGCTTTGAAATGGCGTAACTCGTTTTTCCGTTTTATCAACTATCAACAAAGCTTCATCAATGCAAACATATTTTAACTGGTATGTTTTTTTTCCCATTTATTGCGCTGTCTATGATATATACATTTCTCTCTTTAGATATAAAATACATTTCTAATTAACAAGCCGCTATTTAATGAGTATTTACTATTACTAATTGCAAAATTTAAGGTATTCGGACAATCAACAATGGATTCAAGTTAACTTCGGACATCCCGAACGTATAGCTGGTGTTCTGACGATGGGCCGTGCAGATGCCGACCAGTGGGTTGAATCATTTGTTATCGAAACAAGTCTTGACGGGAAACATTGGTATCAGTACACAGATGCCAATGCCGCCAAATCACCGACTGTGTTGCCAGCTAACTTTGATCAGAACACAGCAGTTAGGACCATGCTTGACAGAGAGATTGATGCCAAGTATGTAAGAATCAGCCCAAGATCGTGGCACAATGCTATAGCATTACGATTTGAAGTTTTGTCTTGTTATGGGCCCGTACTGATGCAGACAACATTGGTTCCCCCAGTCATTAGTGGTGGTTTCCCAACAGCTCAGCCACATCTAGGATCAGAGCAGACACCGACAGCGAAACCTCCTATTTCAGGAACAGAAGTCCCAACTGCTGCACCAGGTACCTTTACAAATTCTTTAATCAAAACTTACTTTAAATCTTTTCGAAGAATAAAAACACAATAATTCTTAAATGATGATTTATTTTCTATAAGAAATAAGGATTCAAGGGAAACTAACAAAGAAATTTCAAATTGTAATCACGTTCATTTCAAGTTTTCAACGTATTGGCAAAAAATGCCACATTAGAATTCATGGCCTTTGGAATTATCTTAAAAGCTTTGAATTGTTTGAAAAATCTCTCAGCCCTCTCAGAAATATCTAAACTATTAAATAATGGGCGAAGATTTACGTCCTATTTTTTTAAAAAATGTTTCAGTATGTTTGGAGCCAATGGGTATAGATAATTCTCTGATGGTGCATGACAATCAGCTTAAAGCTAGCTCTGAGCTAGACAAACCATCTGGCGCTGCTGCTGCAAGATTGTACAATGAATTTGGCGGCTGGTCTCCAAGGTAACCGTAGAGCAACTACCAGCACTTACAATTTACTAACAATTTATTTGATAATCTATGTTATATGTGTATAAAAACCTCTTATATAAAGTTCACTATTTGCTGAGGAACCCTCTGTAAAGGAATAACTTCTTAGCAACAACACTAACATTTTTATCACACGTAGGATTCCCCTTTCTATAATAATATCTCTGAGCAACAACTAAGCTCTGTGTGTCCAAATGGTGTTGATCTGCAGAGGTTTTACTATCAACACATTATGTTTTAGCATAAATTTAGAAAATTTTCAATACATTATCAAGCCATCCTATAATTCGTGAAAGTGAAAATAGATATTGTGAGGCATTTATGCTTACTTTTTTGTAATGTTGTAGCACTGCTGCTGGAAAACCATGGATCCAAGTCGATTTTCTCCGACCTAAATACGTATCAGGTATCCTAACACAAGGTCTACCAAACAAAGATAGATGGGTATCGCAGTTTTATTTGTCTACGTCATTGGATGGGTTCTCATTCAAACCGTACTCGGAGGTACCTGGAGGCACTCCTACCATATTTAATGGTAACACGGATAAAGACTCGATTAAAAAGAATATGTTCAACAGAAATGTTGAAGCAAGATATGTAAGACTGACTGTGATCGAAGGGGGATCAGCTGGCATTGGACTAAGATTCAATGTGATTGGCTGTTACAGGTATAACTTGCATTCTTATGTTGAAATGAATTTCAGCTGCAATATTTCATAACTAAATCGACTAAGCACAATAAGAAGGACTAAGGATATGTTTGTATTCTATGAATATGTGTTTAATGTACATATGTTTGTATAATAACAGATATAGTTTTGCCGTGGTAAGATCCGTAATGTTGGGCAGTTATCATTTTATGAGAAAGTCTTAATACATTGATATAATTCTTAATCAGATTAAATATTTTAGTTAAAATTTAAGTGTATTGGTTTTATATACAACAAGATATATACGTCACGTGTATATTTCAGCGCTGTGCCGACACCTGCTCCTAATACAGAAAAGACCCAAACACCGACTGCAATACCTCCATGGGCAATGACAACACTGGGTGTAACCCAGATCCTTCCAGGTACAAATCTTTCTAAACCTCATTTTTTATGGTTCTGCAAAATCACACATTATAACTAAAGAGTTATTTGAACAATATAATATGTAGAATAACTTTATATTGATACAATATATGTAATATATGTACATACAAGAACGCGTTCAAAATAATAAAAATACAGTATGCAATTATTGCATAAACATATATGTGTAATACATTTCAAATAATATTAAAACTTGAAAAACAAAATGGTAAAATGTTTTTGTTTCAATCAGATTGTGGGAAAAAGCTTAATCCTTATTTCAACACGTCTCGGGAATAGTAAGATTAATTTGTAATAACAAATAATAATACAAAACAAAGTGATGTTATTATTTTGTCTTTTGCAATCATTGATCCCAGCACATTTAGTGTTTTGTTAAAGATTGAATAACACTTTAAGCGGCGCTAGGGGGCGTGTGAATAACACTTAAAGCGGTGCTAGGGGGCGTGGGCAATTGATGCACCTTTACATTATTTTTCATGAACGACTTAACCAAACTGAGCAGCTTTTATTTTAGCCGCGTCACGACATAACTAACATAGTGGGTTTGCACAGTCTGATCAGGATCCATGCTGTTCGCTATCAGTTTTTCTACTTGTTATAGGGTTTGTAAGCGAACAGCATGGATCCTGATCAGACTGCGCGGATGCGCAGGCTGGTCTGGATCCATGCTGGTCGCAAACCCATTATGTTGGTTTTGTCGTGACGCGGCTCATTTGATTCTGTTGTTCTCATTGCTTTCAAAACTGTTTCCTTTTTCAATGTTTTATAATAAAATGACGAAGTAACATATGTACATATGATGATTTCTAATCTTTTTTAAAAAAAATAAAGTAAGGCATCTTGACCGTTTGAAAAATAATATATCTGTCATTTTGTCTTAATTTAGTCTGCACGATACCGATGGGCATTGGTAATCATTTGATCATCACCGCCTCACAAATAACGGCGTCGTCTGCCCTCGGACTTGGTCACCTTCTGTCAAAGAGAGAAGCGACTGGTGTCAAACTGCCTTGGACTCCTGAGTAAGTCTTGTGCTAATTTTCTATTCATCTAGATTTAATTTGTTAGTTGAAGAGAAAAAATAGTATAGCAGAATAATTAGGATGACGTATGCAATTTTACTAAATAACGACTAATTTTTACTGTTTTCAATGACACGTCGTAATGACACAGCTTTGTGACCATATAAGAAATTGAGGTCATTACCCTGGAGAGAAGCCTTGAATGAGCCACTTAATTCGACAGTTTCTTTTTTTATTTGCAGCTTTGCCATGTTTTTAACTACTATTAACTCGTATTTGATTTAGTATTCGCGTTCAAGACTATGTTGCCATTCTCTCACTTCTGAGTTTGTTCAGGGTATAAGCTTGCTATACACGTTCCTGGGGCAATATATAACATATCCACTCATGACAGTATAATAATACATGTATAAAATGTTTGCAGACCTGATGATAAGCAGCCTTGGATTCAGGTTGACTTCCTTGAACCAAAAACCATTTCCGGTGTTATCACCAGTGGTAGCTCATACAAAGCAGAGTGGGTCACCTCATACCAAGTTTTCACAAGTGTCGATGGCAAAGACTTTACGCCTTATTCAGACGTCATTAACGGAACATCGCCAAAGACGTTCAGCGGAAATAATGACAATAAAACAGAAGTAACCCGTCTTTTCAATCGTAATATCATAGCTAGATACATTCGCATATACCCGAAGACATGGCATAAAGCAGCTTCTCTGATATTCGAAATTCTCGGCTGTAATCCATCTGAACCTATTGCTACTACTACAGTAGCTCCAAATCTTGTGAGTGGTCAGACTCCAACAGCTCATCCCGGTCAGGGCGTAAATGGAACACCTACCGAAATACCACCTGCAGTTACCGGTGAACCATCGCAATACAAGACTACTTCTAGGTTTGGCCAGATGGTTTTCCCACCGATGCCGAACTTTGATGCTCCCCCAAGAGGTAATACATTTAGATAAATGTCAATCTACTGACGCATTGAAATAAATCAGGTGCCAAACATTTTCTTAAAAAAAATGCAGTATTCGCTTTGTCTAGATCTTTTCTTATCATTGTTTATTTCTTCGTATTTTTAATGAGGTTCAAGTCGTAAATTTACCACGATAATTCTATTCACAGTATGTCTTACACCCATGGGTCTGGAAAATGCTCTGATAGTTGGAGGCAGTCAGATCACAGCCTCGTCATCACAAGGAGAGAACTTCAAACCAGAGAATGGTCGCATATACAGCGGATCAGCCTGGGCACCAAGGTAGGCTACTTCATGTTTAACAAACATTTTTGTTTATGCTCTGATATACACTCTGATCAATCTCTTTCTGTATTCAAATACAGTGTATTATTAGCGTTTTAGATTTTATCTATTCTTTTTCAAGTACATGCATTTTTCAAAAGATAAACCAACGTATAACTTTTCTTTTCAGCGCATCTGACAAGCAACCTTGGATCCAGGTAGATTTCAAGAACCCAAAACTTGTGAGTGGTATCCGTACACAGGGAGAAAATGGCGGTCAAAGATGGCTGACAAAATACTCAGTAAGCATAAGCATTGATGGAAAGACATTTATCCCATACTCTGATAAACTCGGAGACAGCAATGCAAAGGTGTTTACGGCCAACCGAGATAACCACAGCATCAGGCGCCATCTTTTCAATCGTAACATCACTGCTCAGTACGTACGTATATATCCGGTTGCATGGCATGGTGCATCTCCAGCGTTCCGTTTCAATATCCTTGGATGTAATCCCGACATTCCACAGACACCAGTAGTGACGACAATTGCACCGGAAACAACCATTGCTCCAAACGCTTCCTATGGATCACCGACAACACCAAGCAGTTCTGGAAACGGAAGTACGGCAACAACGTCTGGCTACAATAACCTTGTTACAATACCAGGACTTCCAATGATACCCCCGTCATGTAAGAATCTCTTTCTTTCACCATTTTGTTATTATCAAACAAAAAACTATGATAAAAGTCATAAAACACAAAGAAATTTCTATTTTCTACAGTTTTGTGTTTCATTCTATGTTTGAAAAAAAACTTATCTCAGTAATAATTATGGTCATTCTTATAACAGTCTGTAAGCTACCAATGGGTGTTGAAAACCATCTGATTGTAAAAGATCAACAGCTCAGTGCTTCTTCGTCAAAAGATATGTTTACTGGACCAGAAAGGGCTCGTCTATATGGTGACAAAGATGGAAGTTTTGCCGGCGCTTGGGTTCCAAGGTATATTCAAACTACATACTTCTTAACACAATTATAAATTCATGGAAATTGACCATGGACGTAAAATTGAAATAAGACCGTCGTAAAGAAAGTCTTTATTTATCATTCTCCTTTATATGTAAGTCACATAAGTGTTGTATATTTACAACAGAAGAATTACAGTATACCGCGTGCTATCGCGTTATATTTACTTTTAGTTCATAGGATTCGACAACGTGGAACAGTGTAGTTTCTCCATTAAAGCATGTAATGAAATAGAATCAAACGTATCTTATAATCAAAGAGAACTTTAGCATTAAGTGCTAACGGCTAGATGGGGTGCCAGAAAATTAATATAGTCTACGGAATCACATTTGTAATATGTAAAACTTAAATTTTCTTGTAGCAAAAACAACTTGAAACAGTACATTCAAGTCGACTTCCTTGCTCCATATTACGTTGGAGGCGTGATTACACAAGGAAGGGCAGAGCTACCTCAGTGGGTCACGAAATATGAGATTTTCTACAGCACTGACGGCAAACACTTCTCATCAGTACCAAGATCAGTCTATGATAACGCACCAATGGTTTTCACTGGCAACACTGATAATATTACACCTGTCACGCACGAGTTCCCGCTAATATCTGCAAGATGGATAAGGTAAACATTAGGAAAGAGAACACCGTATGAAAACCAATTGCATCATTCTTCGGATATGGTGACGTGATTTTGTTATTTTGATATAGTTAAAATAAAGGTGTTTACAATAATTTATGTGAACATTAACTTATATTTTATTTAATCTAAAGAAAGGGTAAGTTGTCTTGATAAATTAACTCAATGCAATCTTAACTTTTTATCTTATTCGTGAATAAACTAAAATCTGAATATAACCACACCGCGCAGTGTCAAAAATATACCCATTGTTATATTGTTTTGGACACATATTGCATGGATTAAGAATCAGGATGAATTAGGTCATAAAATAGGACTAGTTGAATAAAAGAACTATCTAAACATGTCAGTTAATAAAGCCAAAACCACGTTAGATTGTTTTATGCTGACGTATCAATTTCTGCATGTATTATTTTAGTGAGTATACATGTGCATTTTATATAAGTTTTTGCGATTACTGTGATGTAATGTTGCAAAATCTGTATCAATTTTTGTGATAGTCGTTACCTTTCACGCAATTGTTTTATATATTTAGAAAAGTTAAATATTCAAGGTAGGGAACATAGACAATGTTATGTATGCAGTAGACACGTATACTGGGCCACAACTTAGTACATATTGAAAAAAAAAACTTATACAAAACCCCTATCACTCCCTATCACTGATAATAGAAACGATACAGATCAATATACATTCTTGTTCAGAAGATGATACAATTTCGATAAATATTGTTTCATTGTTTTCTGTCGATAAAAAACAATGTATTAGTATCAATAGGTCAATTATTGGAAGTCCTACATTTGTACCTAAGGACAATCTTTATACATAACTCTTAAGATACCGTTACATGATATGATATACGGACAATGGACATGTCCATAAATGCATATGTTTGTTGATAACATGTAAATAGATCATCATTTTGACAAGTTAAGCTACCAGCATTGTTCAGGTCAAATATATCTATCACATGACAATACTCAAGCACTGATATTGCTCTTATGCTTATATTAAGAAGTTAAAGAAATTTACATGTTGTTTTGTTTTACCTCGCCCCCAGTATAATCAATATGTAAACGGAATCTAGTCACCATATCCGCTGGATAATACAGTTGGTTTCTAAATAGTAAATACCATCCATTCAGTAACTTTCAGTCAAATTGATAAATTGCCAATTTTTGCCTGTGTAGATTTTGATAGAGAGAAATACATTAACATTATCTATTATTATAATCAAACTCATAAAATAAAACATTAATTAATTTGTGTATACCCCACTTATAATTAAACAAAATATTTCAAAAGAATTAAGGTGATGTAAGCTTAGAATGTATCTTCATTTATTACAGAATTCATCCGCTTGAATGGCATGAAGGGATAGCAATGAGAATCAATCTTTTAGGCTGTATGTCCCCATCAAGAACACCTCTTACAACTAGAGCCCCATTGACGACTCCTGCAACATCTCCAGGCAAGTCTACGGGAAGTACCACGCCCGCTTCCGGTGTCACAGCCACCGCTTGTGCATACTGGACACCTTGGGTGAGCTCAAGCAAACCAGATATGGTAGGGGAATATGAGACTGCTTGGGAGCTGCGAAACATGATAACCATGTGTGAAATGAACTATGTGACTGTCACAGAATGTAGAACCGTTGGAACACATATCCCATATGACCAAGCTGGCGAAGAAAATGTTGTCTGCAACAATGAACTTAAAGGTCTTGTCTGCTTTGCACAAAACCAGACTGACGGAAGTTGCATGGACTATGAGATTAGAGTATTCTGTGACGAATGTGCTTCCACCACATCGAACCCACTGACGACACCTCAGCCTAACACGTGTAAACCAAGATGGTTACCTTGGATAAATAACATGACACCAACGACAGATATGAACTATGTTGAACATGAGTACATGGCTTTAAATAAGCAGAAAGAACTATGTAGTGATGGGCGTATAACAAGAATCGAATGTGAAACAGCAGGAGGTATTCCATTTTACAGCGCTGGTGCGATTGGAACAACATGTGATATAACCAGTGGATTTACATGCAGAAACAGTGAAAATTACCCAGTTCCGTGTGAAGATTATAAAGTCAGATATTTCTGCGAGTGTGAGCGTAAGTATGATAGACTTTGCTCATTGTTTTCAAGCAAAGACATACTAAAAAGATAAACTATTCATGGTTGCTTCAGGCATTACAATAAATAATATATATAATTCTGTCTTATATTATTTATGGTTTCTTTTAATGTTTTTTTTTTCCATTTAATCTTACAGCCTCGTTATCTACTACATTAGCACCAGGATTACTCAATGGACAGACCCCAACAGCCCAACCAGGCATGCATTCTGGAGAAACACCAACAGCTCAACCAAGTCTTCAGCCAGGTCAATCGCCATCAGCCCACCCAGGACTTATTTCCGGACAAACACCGTCTGCTAAACCAGGCTTGCAGCCAGGAGAAACACCGACAGCTCAGCCAGGACTCATTTCTGGCCAATCACCAACCGCACAACCAGGACTTGTTTCAGGACAGTCTCCAACAGCCCAGCCAGGACTAATATCTGGACAGTCACCAACAGCCCAACCAGATCTAATTTCCGGACAATCACCATCAGCCAAACCAGGTTTACAGCCGGGAGAGACACCAACTGCTCAACCAGGTCTTGCTTCAGGTCAGTCTCCAACTGCTCAACCAGGACTTATATCTGGACAGTCACCAACAGCCCAACCAGGTCTAATTTCCGGACAATCACCATCAGCTAAACCAGGTCTACAACCAGGAGAAACACCAACTGCTCAACCAGGACTTATATCTGGACAGTCACCAACAGCCCAACCAGGTCTAATTTCCGGACAATCACCATCAGCCAAACCAGGTTTACAGCCGGGACAGTCACCAACAGCTCAACCAGGCCTTGTATCTGGACAGTCACCAACAGCCCAACCAGGACTTATCTCAGGCCAATCACCGACTGCCCAACCAGGACTTGTTTCTGGCCAATCACCAACTGCACAGCCAGGGCTTGTTTCTGGACAATCACCATCTGCTAAACCAGGATTACAACCAGGAGAAACGCCGACTGCTCAACCCGGACTTGTTTCTGGCCAATCACCGACTGCCCAACCAGGACTTGTTTCTGGCCAATCACCAACCGCACAGCCAGGGCTTGTTTCTGGACAATCACCATCTGCTAAACCAGGACTTATCTCAGGCCAATCACCGACTGCCCAACCAGGGCTTGTTTCTGGACAATCACCATCTGCTAAACCAGGACTTATCTCAGGCCAATCACCGACTGCTCAACCAAGTCTTGTTTCTGGCCAATCACCAACTGCACAGCCAGGACTTGTTTCTGGACAATCACCATCTGCTAAACCAGGATTGCAACCAGGAGAAACGCCGACTGCTCAACCCGGACTTGTTTCTGGCCAATCACCGACTGCCCAACCAGGACTTGTTTCTGGCCAATCACCAACTGCACAGCCAGGGCTTGTTTCTGGACAATCACCATCTGCTAAACCAGGATTACAACCAGGGGAAACACCAACTGCTCAACCTGGTCTTATTTCTGGCCAATCACCGACTGCTCAGCCAGGATTTATCCCAGGACAATCACCGACTGCTCAACCAGGGCTTATATCCGGACAGTCACCAACAGCCCAACCAGGACTTATTTCCGGACAAACACCATCTGCAAAACCAGGTTTACAACCTGGAGAAACACCGACTGCTCAACCAGTACTACAACCAACAACATGTAAAGTTATTACAAAATGGTCTACTTGGATCAACAGAAACACTCCATCAATAGATACTGACGAAAAGGAGTTCATGACTGATGCAGAAAAACTTGCGTTCTGTGGGTCAGGTAAACTTCTCTCCGTCGAGTGTCAGACAATAAACAAGATACCTAGTTACAGTGCTGGTGATCTTGGAACAACATGTGACCTTGCCAACGGCATTGTGTGCAAAGGAATGGATAATTACCCTATTGGTTGTCAAGACTACATGATCAGATACCAGTGTCAAGAACAAGTTTGTGGAGGTATAACTGATTTATAGAAAGGTTACATAATTTTGTATAGTCCTCTAAAAACAGCTAAATACTATTTAGAAATATGTTTCAAACCTGCATTCAACATAGTATAACGCGTCATTGCGAAAGAAAATATATACATGTTTAATGCAAATAGACATGTAACCTCGTATGAAAAGCAACGTGTTAGCATACATTCGAATGAGATCTAAATAATGTATTGAAGAAAATAAACATTATTTAATTAAATGTTAAGTTTGCTTGATGTACATTATAATACTAACTCATTTGCATTACACAGCATTAAAATTTAAATACATGTTTTCAGCTCCAACAAAACAGCCAAGTCCCGGAACTTTGGCGCCAGGTCAGCAGACAACAAATCCGTCGCCTGGTCCGGGTGCTTTCACAACTGCAACACCAACTGGTGTTCCATCCACTGTTTGTAATACTGTCTCTAGATGGAGCAGTTGGGTCAACAGGGATAAACCTACTGCAGGCGATGGTGACAAAGAGGTAAGAAATATCAGTATATCATTTGTTTGTTATGTCCAGGATGACTTCTAAACTTATTATTACAATATATAATTTTTACATTTAATGTTGTTTTTTTATATAAAATATGCTACATTTTTCAAATTTTCGTTTTTATAATTATAAATACGACATTTAATAGTCATCTGATTAGCGTATTTATACATAGAAAATCATAATCATGAATTAATATTTATTTTAAGTTTTTAACACCTGAAGAGTTGAAAAAATTCTGCGGCACAGGCAAAATTGTCACTGCTGAGTGCGCAGCTGCTGATGGCACTCCGTACTACAATACCGGTGAAGTAGTTGACTGTAACCCAACTTCTGGTTTATTCTGTGATAACTTCAATAATTTCCCACTGAACTGCCAAGATTACATGATAAGATACCAATGTGAAGAAACAATTTGTCACGGTAATTTACTTTGCAATACTTCTGTTTATACCCTTTATGTGTCACACAAAACATGTTTTACTTAATTGATGGAAACAATTTCTTTTATAGAAAAAAACAAAGGCAAAGTTTTGATCACATTACTAATATCATTTGTATTTGTATAATTATGCTCCAATATTTGGCATTAACTTTTACATAACAATGTGCCAGGGAAAAAGTAACAATAAGTTTGTCTTTGTAGGACCAACAAAACCGCCTGGAATTAATGACAAATTCTCAACAGGTGTACCAACCGCACAACCTGGTCTGCTTCCCGGGGAAACACCAACTGCCCAACCTGGTCTCCAACCAGGCCAGTCACCAACAGCACAGCCCGGCCTTCTACCCGGACAATCACCAACAGCTCAACCAGGGCTTCATTCTGGAGAAACACCAACAGCACAACCTGGTCTTTTACCCGGACAATCACCAACAGCTCAACCAGGTATCCTACCCGGACAATCACCAACAGCTCAACCAGGGCTTCATTCTGGAGAAACACCAACAGCACAGCCCGGCCTTCTACCCGGACAATCACCAACAGCTCAACCAGGTATTCTACCCGGAGAAACGCCAACAGCTCAGCCTGGTCTTATTTCTGGACAAACACCAACAGCTGCACCAAGTCTTATTTGCAAAACCGTCGAAACTGGCAAACGTTGGTCGATGTGGATCGACAGACACACAATTCAACCATTAGGTGGTGATGCAGAAAAAATGACAACAGAAGAGCTTAAACGGTTTTGTCAACGAGGAACAGTTGATGCTATAGAATGTGAAACTCTTGATGGAAAATCTAGTAAAATCGCAGGAGATATCACAACTTGCACAATAGAAAATGGACTGATTTGTGATGAATTCCAGAACTATCCAATTGGTTGTCAGGATTACAGAGTTCGATACCAATGCACAGAAAAAGAAACGATTTGTCAAAGTAAGTTATATTTCAAATATATTTTTCATTTTGCACAATTTGCATAAATATCTGAAATGATAATAACGAAACACTAAAATGAACAATTTCTTCGCTTGCAAATCAAGTATAACGCAACTTATTTTAACAACATATGAAATAATTAGCTCTGTTTCAATATGATTTACAATTTTGAACAGTATAGTATCAAATATATTGACAACCATTGCAGCACCAACGGCACAACCTGGTCTTCAGCCAGGACAGTCACCAACAGCTCAGCCCGGTCTTATCTCCGGCCAATCGCCAACAGCCCAGCCAGGTCTTCAGTCAGGTCAATCGCCAACAGCTCAACCAGGTTTAGTCTCAGGACAGTCACCAGGTCAGCAACAGCTCAACCAGGTTTAGTCTCAGGACAGTCACCGACAGCTCAACCAGGACTTATATCTGGGCAATCACCATCAGCTAAACCAGGCCTACAACCAGGAGAAACACCAACAGCTCAACCTGGCATGCATTCAGGTGAAACGCCAACTGCCGAGCCAGGCCTTATCTCCGGACAGTCACCAACTGCTCAACCAGGCCTTCAGTCAGGTCAGTCTCCAACAGCTCAGCCAGGTCTTGTCTCAGGACAGTCACCGACAGCTCAACCAGGACTTATATCTGGGCAATCACCATCAGCTAAACCGGGACTACAACCAGGAGAAACACCAACAGCTCAACCTGGCATGCATTCAGGTGAAACGCCAACTGCACAGCCAGGACTTATCTCCGGACAGTCACCAACAGCTCAACCAGGACTGCTTCCAGGACAGTCTCCTACAGCACAACCAGGTTTAATTTCCGGACAAACACCATCTGCTAAACCTGGCCTTGTTTCTGGACAAACCCCAACAGCCCAACCAGGATTGCATTCAGGCGTAACACCAACAGCTCAACCTGGTCTTATCTCAGGACAGTCACCAACTGCTGAGCCAGGTTTGGTCTCAGGACAGTCACCAACTGCTCAACCAGGACTTCTTCCTGGACAGTCACCTACTGCACAACCAGGTTTAATTTCCGGACAGACACCATCTGCAAAACCTGGCCTTATTTCTGGACAAACCCCAACAGCAGAACCAGGGCTGCATTCAGGTGAAACGCCAACAGCTCAGCCTGGTCTTAACTCAGGACAGTCGCCAACAGCTCAACCAGGTTTGATCTCAGGACAGTCGCCAACTGCTCAACCAGGTCTGCTACCAGGTCAGTCACCAACAGCCAAACCTGGCCTTCTTCCAGGACAGTCTCCAACTGCTCAACCAGACTTGATATCCGGGCAGTCACCAACTGCTCAACCGGGTCTCGTTTCAGGACAAACACCAACAGCTCAGCCTGGCTTGATCTCTGGACAATCTCCATCTATCAATGTTTGTACAAAGAGCCACTGGAGTTCATGGGTAAATCAAGACAATCCAATGATGGGTGATGGTGATTATGAAAGTCTTTCACAACAAGAACTTGCAGCATTTTGTATCGGCGGAGTTGTGTCAAGTATTGAGTGTGTAACCGAGGACGGTATTCCATCTTACAGTTCTGGTGAAATAACCTCATGTGATCTTAGCGACGGATTCGCTTGCAGAAATGCCGAAAATGCCCCTGTTCCTTGCTCTGATTACAAGATAAGATATTTCTGCAAATGTCAAGGTAATATTAAGATACTATTGTTATTACGCTATTTGTAATGATCACGTTCAATAGAAAATGCATATTTCAAGTCCGTAACTTTAAATTTTGTTTTAAAACATTTTTTTTTCACCCGAATGATTTCAAATTTGTATACACAAACGATATTTTGTTTATGATAAACAAGTGAAAATGTACATTTAAGTACAAAATACGTTTTTCTTATCATAGATGTTGCAACGACCACAATTGAACCACCATTTAAAGTTCCTGTGGAGCCAACACTTCACTTAAGGTGCGCTTGGTCTCCATGGCTGAACGGTGACAGACCAAATTTTGGAACAAATGATGTAGGAGACCTGGAAACAATCGCCGGTTTGAAGACTAAGTTTGGTTTGTGCAAGAACATTGTAGATGTAAAATGCAGAGTAGCCCAAACAAATACTCCAGCATCAGCTGCTGGTCAGGTCGGAGTAGTATGTGACTCTGTCAATGGTCTTAGATGTTATAACAGGTAAATTTGTAATAAATCACCTTTATGTCAAATATCATTTGCCTATAGACATAAGTAGCATTTTAGACATATCTAGCATACCGGGTATTTGTGTATAATTAGTAAAGAAACAAGTTCATTTATAAAAGTGTATATGATTTTGTTTTTGTTTTTGTTTTGGGTTTTACGTCACATCGACACAGTATAGGTCATATCGCGACGTTTCAGCTTTATTGGTGGAGAAAGACCTCAGGTGCTCTTCCGTGCATTATTTCAGGCACGAACGGGTACCTGAGTAGAACCACCGACGTTCCGTAAGCTAGCTGGATAGCTTCCTCACATGAAAGAATCCAAAGTCCCTGTCGGGATTCGAACCCACAGAGGTGAGGAGCAAGTGGTTTGAAGTCAACGACATATATGAAGCATACTCACGATAGTCAGTAGTTATAAAATATATTGTTTTTGGACAAGTTTATATGTACAACAAACTTTTTCTGGTCCTTCTATCAATATGTAATGTTAAACATTGAATACTCGATCAAATTTAATAAAGTTTTGATGTTTTCATTACTTCCTATTGAAGAAATAAAAGAAATAAAAAATTATCAATTGTCAGATAATGTATCTTAAGTTTATAGAAACTATTATTACTTCATGACTAATGTATACATGTTAATTTTTGTCAAAAGTTGATAAACCTAAAGAATCAACACTTAAATAAAGTTTCACGTTGAGATTTTCTTAATACAGGGATCAGCCAGGAGGCAGTTGCCATGATTACGAAATTAGCGTGTTCTGTTGGAGCCCTGAATGTTCTACGTATACCGGACCTACACCAACACCTGGTACCGGTCCAAGTGTTACACCAATGATCATCACAGGTATGGCAACTGTTTAAATAACAAAAACATTACCCTTAAATTGTTTGAATACATCTAAGTACCGAAAAAAGATTTTAAAGACTTCAATTTACATTTGCAGCAAAATGAAGGAAAAGGGAATAAAAATAAACAAACCATGATTGTCAGGTAGTAATACAAATACAACTGCCAAAATTGTTCCTGTTACAAAGAGTATTGAATAAGAATATCCTTAAATAAATATTGACCAAATAAATCATATCCTTTTACTTAGTATCAAGAAATATAAGCAATATTTAGAACAAAATCTTTTAAGACAAGACACATACATTTTTTCCTTTTCTTACACAGCTGTATGTCCACCTGGTGAGGTATGGGAATCTTGTGCCTACAAATGTAGTGAACTCTGTGAAGGGTATGCAGAAACTACCGGCCTTTGTAACACGGATAATCCATGTGTGCCTATGTGCAGAAAGCCTGACGCCAACAAAGGATGTGCTGTCGGTGAACTTTTGAAGGACAAGAACACGTGTGTTAAGAAAGAAATGTGTCCATGTCTTAAACCGGACGGAACAGTTGCACAGGTTTGTTTCAAGTTATGTTCGAGGCAGTTATCGAATCATATTAATACCGGTTTACTAGTATTTATATACATGTATTCTGTTAGGTAAAACTAGTCATTTTAGATTTTTTTTACTTTATTAAATAACTTTGAATTGTTAATGTAAGTATATGATTAAAAATCATTTACTCATTTACTAAAGCTGTAACCTTCACTGCTATTGTCAAGTATTATTACTGCATAACATCATTTATAATATCATACAATGATAAATTAATTAAGGCTTACGAAACCTGGTCGAATCCCAAAGACGACTGCTCATTGTGTCAGTGTGCCAACAACGAGGTTCGATGTAACAAGTATGATAACTGCTCCGCAGTACCTCATCCTTCCACAACAACAACAATTGCGCCACCTATGATTAACGGAAGTGTACCCACTATAAGTAAGACGTTATTTCCCTTGCAATGCTTTAATTTAATAGTTGAGTAAAATGTAGATTGTACAACTCGTAATACAACATATGTTGCTAAAGAAGTGCTAAATAACACACTTTTATTATTTAATGCATCTTGGATATATACACCAAATAGAAAAAGTTTCATTTATTGATAATAGTCATAAATATAGCTTTTTTTCAAAGTTAATGGCAAAATCATTTACATCAAAGTCATTTATTTAAAATCTGAATCATTAGCAATGAAAAGTTAAGCATGATAAATGTAATCTAACTCTAGGACCACAAATTACTCACCCTGAATGCGGATGGACAGCATGGATAAACAGTGATAGGCCTACTGTGGGAAGCGGTGACTTGGAAACTCTATCCAAAATACGTCGAGTCCACTCCTTCTGTGCCAACCCTGCAATGATTGAATGCAGAGATGTTCACACACGTACACCTGTAAGCGATATCAAACAGAAAGTATCTTGCGACCTCAACACTGGTCTGAAATGCTTGAATTGGGACAATAATGGCGATTGTTCAGATTTTGAAGTTCGATTCTTCTGCCCGTGTCTGTGTAAGTGTATCAATGTTTGTGTGTTTACTTATATATGATTTTTGTATATGCATTATCACCAGAGGCGCTTGTATCATATTGGGATACAAAAAGTAAAAACTGCTAACATTTACATGGTATCATGAGTGAGACAAAAATAAAATTGTAAGAGCACCAACTAAATACCGCTAAATACCGGATAAGGCGCTTGAATGATAAAATGCTAATATATCGCCTTTTCACCAAACAAAATGAACTTTACAACGTCTAAGTAATCTCTTCACGCCGAATTATATACGATCATGAGAGTAAATTATAAAAGTCAGCGAAAAGAGCGATAATATTTCTAGTTTGTGTTGTGATTATGATTTCTGCAAGCGTACTGCCCCAAGACTGAAGTGAGTTAAATCCGATAAATGTATCTTACTTCAGTTATAAGCTTAGAAACATTCCGCATTTTTGAAAATAAATGAAAATGAAAAAAAGACATTTTAATAATCGTGCGAAAATAAATTTGTTTCATATTACTGAAAATGTATCAACATTGATGCATAAAAGTTCACATTTTCCAGTACTGATCGAATATTTAACATTCTTGTATTTTAACAGCAACAACTGTGTCTCCAGCAGCCCAGTCAGGACAGTCTCCAACTGCCCAGCCGGGTCTCATCTCAGGACAGTCACCAACTGCTAAACCAGGCCTGTTACCAGGACAGTCACCCACCGCCCAACCAGGTCTTATTTCTGGTCAGTCACCATCTGCTAAACCAGGCCTGATTTCTGGACAAACTCCAACAGCACAGCCAGGCCTACTACCAGGACAGTCTCCAACAGCTCAACCAGGTTTAATTTCTGGCCAAACACCATCTGCTAAACCAGGACTTGTTTCTGGTGGAACACCAACTGCACAACCAGGTTTGATATCAGGACAGTCACCAACTGCTCAGCCAGGACTTCTACCAGGACAGTCACCAACTGCTCAACCTGGTCTTATATCTGGACAGTCACCTACAGCTCAACCAGGTCTACTACCAGGACAGTCACCATCTGCTAAACCAGGCCTGATTTCTGGACAAACACCAACAGCTCAACCAGGACTGCACTCTGGTGAAACACCAACTGCACAGCCAGGTCTACTACCAGGACAGTCTCCTACTGCTCAACCAGGTTTGATCTCTGGCCAAACACCATCTGCTAAACCAGGACTTCTACCAGGACAATCACCAACTGCTCAACCAGGTCTACTTCCAGGACAGTCCCCGACTGCACAGCCAGGTCTTATCTCCGGACAGTCACCAACTGCTCAACCTGGTCTTATATCAGGACAGTCGCCAACAGCACAACCTGGTCTTGTATCAGGTCAATCACCAACAGCTCAACCAGGTCTAATATCAGGACAGTCGCCAACAGCTCAACCAGGCCTACTACCAGGACAGTCCCCGACTGCACAGCCAGGTCTGATCTCCGGACAGTCACCAACAGCACAACCTGGTCTTGTATCAGGACAGTCACCAACTGCTCAACCTGGTCTTGTATCAGGACAGTCGCCAACAGCTCAACCTGGTCTTGTATCAGGACAGTCACCAACAGCTCAACCTGGTCTTGTATCAGGACAGTCACCAACAGCTCAACCTGGTCTTGTATCAGGACAGTCACCAACAGCTCAACCTGGTCTTGTATCAGGACAGTCACCAACAGCACAGCCAGGTCTGATGTCCGGACAGTCACCAACAGCTCAACCTGGTCTTGTATCTGGACAATCACCGACAGCTCAACCTGGTCTTATATCAGGACAGACACCAACAGCACAACCAGGTCTACTACCAGGCCAGTCCCCGACTGCACAACCAGGTCTTATCTCTGGACAGTCACCGTCTGCTAAACCAGGTTTAGTCTCTGGGCAAACTCCAACAGCTCAACCAGGAATGCACTCTGGTGAAACACCAACTGCTCAACCAGGTCTTATTTCAGGTCAGTCCCCAACTGCTGAACCAGGTTTGATTTCTGGCCAGACACCATCTGCTAAACCAGGACTACAACCAGGGCAATCACCAACGGCACAACCAGGACTATTACCAGGGCAGTCCCCTACTGCCCAACCAGGTCTTATCTCAGGACAATCACCATCTGCTAAACCTGGCCTGGTTTCTGGACAAACTCCAACAGCTCAGCCTGGATTGCACTCCGGTGAAACACCAACAGCACAACCGGGTCAAATTTCAGGACAGTCACCAACTGCTCAGCCTGGTCTTATATCAGGACAAACACCTACAGCAGGACCAACCCTTTGTGGCTGGACAAACTGGATGAATGGCCATAAACCTGACGACTTCTCTGGAGAATCTGAATTATTTAGTGACTTAAGGGCTAAACATCAGTTTTGCCAAGATATGGATATCCAGGGTATAGAGTGCAGGGTTGTAAACTCCCATTTAATGATCAACCAAACTGACCAAGTAAATGTTATGTGTGATATAACATCTGGCGGCCTTTTATGTTTTACTTTTGACCAACCGTCTGGTCAATGTCTGGACTATGAAATAAGACTTTTCTGTGAACCAAAAGGTGTTGATTGTTCAGCTGTTCCGACTGCCCATCCAGGTTTAATCTCTGGTCAAACTCCTACAGCTCAACCAGGACTACAGTCTGGTCAGTCACCAACTGCTCAACCAGGGCTCGTATCTGGCGGTCAAACACCAACTGCTCAACCAAGTGGCATGTCAGGCGGTACTCCAACTGCTCAACCTCCAATTAAAACTGGACAGACGCCAACCCAATCCCTCTGTGTTGATGGCTGGTCATCATGGATTAACCGTGACACACCTCCAAGTGATGGAAAGGAAGTAGAGTTCATGAATGCCACAGAGAAGGCAGCGTTCTGTAACGGCGGTAAAATATCTTCAATTGAATGCGTTACCACAGATGGAATAGAAAGTTACAGCACTGGCGAGGTATGTAACCTACTACATTGTTTATATTACCGAAAATGTTGCTAAATTGGCCGTTTTATACAGTGCGATAAAAGTTTGTATAATTTAACGTTTAAGGTAAAGACTGATTTGTAATTTAAAATTAGTAATTTTTGCGATGCCAAAATTAGCGACATCAACAGTTCGTACTAATGCGAGGTCAAGTATTAGAGAAGAGTGAAATTTAATCATTCGCGAAATGTTTCCTGTTTTACAGTATCTAACCAAAGACACATGCTAAATTATTAGATAACAGCATACTTTTGTTTTAAAGTAATGTATTTATTTTTGTTAAAGAAACAAATCATTCATGCAAAGATTGAATTACAACAATATTCATTTTTTATGAAAGATCCTTGAGTGCAACATCGAAAGAGGCCTTGTATGTGAAGATGCCATGAACGCACCTATACCTTGTAGCGACTACAAAGTTAGATACCTGTGTCAGTGTCCTCCAGGTATGTCAATTTGTTAACATAAATTACAAAACTGTTTCACCATATCGCCTCATATATAGACATTAAAGCAATTTGTAGAAAAAAAAGAATGATAATGAGACAATGCTGAATATACCAAGAATAATGATATACTTTTTAATCGTCGTTACATTACCCCAACTACCAAAGTGGTAAAAGTTATGTTGGAAAAGTTATGTCTTGTCTTTTACCTCTTAAAGAACAAAATGCGCGCAAATATATAATTATTATATAACCATTTTCTAACTAACAGAAATACATTATAATATTTGTAGTGAATAATACTTTTTTTACAACTCTTTCTTAAGATTTGCTTTGATAAAAAGCTGAAACCAGAAGAGCAGTTAAAATTATTTACATCTATATTTAGTTACAACCCGAAAACCAGGACTTGACAACGGAGAAACTCCAACTGCCCATCCAGGTTTACACTCTGGAGAAACACCTACTGCCCAACCAGGATACCAGTCAGGACAATCACCTTCTGCTCATCCAGGTCTCCTACCCGGTCAAACACCAACTGCTCAACCAAGTGGCATGTCAGGTGGTACACCAACCGCCCAGCCTCCAATCAAACCCGGACAGACGCCAACTCAATCCCTCTGTGTTGATGGTTGGTCATCATGGATTAACCGTGACACACCTCCAAGTGATGGAAAGGAAGTAGAGTTCATGAATGCCACAGAGAAGGCAGCGTTCTGTAACGGCGGTAAAATATCTTCAATTGAATGCGTTACCACAGATGGAATAGAAAGTTACAGCACAGGCGAGGTATGAATATAAAATTTTCATTACTGTAAACAAAAAGTTATTTTAAACATTATTGACCATATAACTAACTATAAATGTAGTAATGTGTTTCATTTTCCACAAGAAGCTTAGATATTTTGATATGTACATGTACCTTAAGATAATTATGCAGGGATATTTAGATATTTAAACAATTTTATTTGAAAAGTAAATATATTTATATTGTAACCATGTGTGACTTGTGTTATGAATGAGTGCATATGTACTTTCATTACTATAAATACATGTATATGTCAGAGAATTTATTATTTGTATAAGTCGTCTCTATGCTGCGTTTTGTTTTATTTGCTGGAAATCTGACTGTCTCACGCTCGAGTCACACATTGGGTGAGATATTACAAGACACGTTTGCACCTTTAAGTAACGATTTAAAGATGGTCTTAAGAACTGAAAATCCTGACTGAATTTCTCTTTCATATATAGATCCTTGAGTGCAATATCGAAAGGGGTCTTGTGTGTGAAGATGCCATGAATGCACCTATACCTTGTAGTGATTACAAAGTGAGATACATGTGCAAGTGTCCTCCAGGTATCACAAATATCTTGATTACATACATTGTGTCACATTAATATGATAGAAATATGATGATTAAGAAAATACCACAGATTTTTTTTGTCATTCACGATATGCATAAATTGTAAAGAACATGATAATTTCTTACCAGCCGATTATTATCACAAAATAATGTTGTTGTTGTTTTTTGTAAATAATCAGGAAATTTGATACAAAATAGATTGAAATTAACTAAATGAAGAATAAGAATTATGATTCGCCCCATTAAGTTTTAAAATATAAAGAAATGAAAATTATTTTTTACACAGTAACAACACGAAAACCAGGACTTGACAACGGAGAAACACCAACAGCCCATCCAGGTTTACACTCTGGAGAGACACCTACTGCCCAACCAGGATACCAGTCAGGACAATCACCAAGTGCTCACCCAGGTCTCCTACCCGGTCAAACGCCAACTGCTCAACCAAGTGGCATGTCAGGCGGTACACCAACCGCTCAGCCTCCAATCAAACCCGGACAGACGCCAACTCAATCACTCTGTGTTGATGGCTGGTCATCATGGATTAACCGTGACACACCTCCAAGTGACGGAAAGGAAGTAGAGTTCATGAATGCCACAGAGAAGGCAGCGTTCTGTAATGGCGGTAAAATATCTTCAATTGAATGCGTAACCACAGATGGAATAGAAAGTTACAGCACTGGCGAGGTATGAAAATAAAGTTTTCATTACTGTAAACAAAAGTTATTTTATACATTATCGACCATATAACTAACTATAAATGTAGTAATGTGTTTCATTTGCCATATGAAGCTTAGATATTTTGATATGTACATATACCTTAAGATACTTGTGCTGTTTACGCAGGGATGTTGAGATATTTAAACAATTTTACTTAAGGGTTAATATATTTATATTGTAACCATGTGTGACTTGTGTTATGAATGAGTGCATATGTACTTTCCTCACTATAAATATATATGTCAGAGAATGGATTACTAGTATTATTATAAGTCGTCTGTATGCCGCGTTTTGTTTATTTGCTGGTAATCTGACTGTCTCGCGTAAGAGTCACACATTGGGTGAAATATTACATGACGCGTTTGCACCTTTAAGTAACGACTTAAGGAGGTTTTTAAGAATTGAAATACCTGACTGAATTTCTCTTCCAAATGAAATACCTGACTGAATTTCTCTTCCAAATATAGATCCTTGAGTGCAACATCGAAAGAGGCCTTGTATGTGAAGATGCCATGAATGCACCTATACCTTGTAGTGATTACAAAGTGAGATACATGTGCAAGTGTCCTCCAGGTATAACAAATATCTTGAATACGTACATTGTGTCACATTGATAGGATATAATTATGATGATAAAGAAAATAACACGGATTTTTTTGTCGTTCACGATATGCATAAAATGTCAAGAGCATGCCAATTTCTTACCAGAAGATTGTAATCACAAAATATTGCTGTTCTTTTTTTGTAAATAATCTAAAAATTTGATACAAAATAGATTGAAATGAACTTAATGAAGAAAAAAGAATTATGCCCCATTAAGTTTTAAAATATAAAGAAATAAAAAATATTTTTTTCACAGTAACAACACGAAAACCAGGACTTGACAACGGAGAAACACCAACTGCCCATCCAGGTTTACACTCTGGAGAGACACCTACTGCCCAACCAGGATACCAGTCAGGACAATCACCTTCTGCTCATCCAGGTCTCCTACCCGGTCAAACGCCAACTGCTCAACCTAGTGGCATGTCAGGCGGTACACCAACCGCCCAGCCTCCAATCAAACCCGGACAGTCTCCAGCCCAATCACTCTGTGTTGATGGCTGGTCATCATGGATTAACCGCGACACACCTCCAAGTGACGGAAAGGAAGTAGAGTTCATGAATTCAACAGAGAAAGCAGCGTTCTGCAACGGCGGTAAAATATCTTCAATTGAATGCGTAACCACAGATGGAATAGAAAGTTACAGCACAGGCGAGGTATACACAATTTTATTTGAATACTAGTATTCTTAATTTTACTGTTTTAAATGATTGTTATATATTTTATTGGCATTCTTCAAAGCTAGTCACTTATAAGGAAATCATTAACGATATTCTTTAAAATCCTTTAAACAACAATTACATATCAGCAGTGTCGTTTCAGTAATGATTTATGTTTTTTACTAGATCCTTGAGTGCAACATTGAGAGAGGTCTCGTGTGTGAGGATGCCATGAATTTTCCAATACCATGCAGTGATTACAAGATCAGATACCAGTGCCAATGTCCAGGTAGTTAAAAAAACTAGTGCACACATTTTTATGACAATGATCGATGTAACACACATTTTTAGATAATACTCGGGATTCTTCTTATTTCATGCATCCAGAATTAGTAAGAAATAAATAAAAAAATATTTCATCACCCAGCCTGGTGCGAACATGACCGCTATAATTATTTCAAATTTTGTTCGCTGTATATGTACATTATTCTTTGACTTGCCTTCGTGTATTGACAATAGAATTAAAAAAAAAACACTGTAATACTAGTACTCCTTGAAATAAAAATTTGTTTTTCCGTTTAGTGTTGTATATTATTCATACATGATTATATTTTAAAAAAGAACTCTCAAATCAGTTTGAATTTATTTTATATGTTATCAATGTGTTTCAGTAACGTCAGCTTTACCACCAACAACCACAACTGCCATGCCAACTCCAAACTCCAACTTCCCAGGTACCTGACATTATTTTTTCTTGTCCATCATATATCATTATTTTATGCTCGTGTCATTCTTTGTTTTAACTAAATACTTTGTATATTTACCTTACGCTTAAAGTGGTATAACATCTGTAAAATGTTCTTCATCTTGATATATTATCAGCTCCTAAGCGATTTTTACATACAATACTCGAAGTTTTAAAAGTTAATTACTGCTTTATCCAGGTCTACAGATCATTATTTTTTTATTATTATTATCTCTCATAAACCGACTCAAGAAACCGAGAGCGAACCTGTCACTTTTCATTTTTGTTTTCATTGCTTTTCCCCAAGGAATCTCTTCAATCAAGCTTTTTAAATCAAGATTAAGAATTATCCATTGCATTGGGCAAAACTCGTATACTAATAAGGTACTTATTATTTTTTTGAAGTTGTGTGCACAAAGGAGATGGGATTAGAACAAGGCCATATTAGAGACGAAATGATTACAGCATCATCGTCACGTGACGGAAATATCAATCCAAAGAATGCTCGACTCAATAGTTTCGGAGCTTGGGTTGCCAACACGAACGACAGGAACCAGTACCTACAGGTTGAAGAAGCTTTTTAAACATTTTACAATCCTTAGGTTGAAATAAACTACAAAACACTTTTCTCTCATGCTTTGAAGCTATCATTCTAGCCAGCTTACGGAACATCAGTGATACTACTCAGAGACCCGCTTGTGCCTAAAAAAATGCACGAATGGGGCACTAGAGGTATTTCTCCATCACTTAAGCTGCGAAGTCCCCATATGAACTTAATACTGTAAACAGCAATTGTTGAATATAATTGCAAACCACTTGCATACATCTGAAAATGCTTGCCTACATTGTGTTTAAAGTATTATCTATGAAATGTTCTTACGAAATATTTAAGCCAGATAAAGATGATAAGTAGATTCAGTGATATACATAACACGTAGACACTATAGATGTTCATATCTCTGGATTTAAAATGTTGTTCTGTTAACAGGTAGGATATGAATTGACTCGTCATCTCGTTGATGGGCAATTTTAAAAATAAGTACCATGTAAACATGTTTACTCTTTTATGTTTACAACTTGACATAAATGTTACAAATATATTTCATTTTCTATCGCACATTCAGGTGAATTTCCTTGCACCTCAGCTTCTAACAGGAGTTATTACACAGGGAAGACACAATGTTCCGTCGTACGTCACATCATACAAAGTGTTTTACTCTACAGATGGATTCCATTGGACAGCATACCAGGACAAAGGTGTTGATAAGGTAATGAAAGCATTCCTTCAGTTCGGCATAACGTCAGAAAATGTCATATATAGCTTTGCTGAAGAATTACCCTGCTGCTTGATTTTATAACAGACTTTTTTTACAGTTTACTCAAAGACATAACTTTTTTACACAGATCTTCACAGCCAACAAGGACTCTGACTCAAAAGCCACAAACTGGTTCGAGCACCCTATCCGAGCACAGTACATTCGTATCTCACCACAGACTTGGCAGGGTGTTATTGCAATGCGCCTTGAAATATTAGGCTGTTACCAAGGATATCCAAGTATGTTGGAATTTATAAGTGTTTGAAATAAAAACTAATTGTATCTAGATCATTTCTATTGGCCAATTCAATATTGTAACACTTAGATGTTTAGGAAAAAGATTATAAAAATGTCGCTTAATACATTCCGGAATGTAAGTATGTAATGTCACTAATGTGAGATGTTCATTGTGAATTTAATGAATATCAATATCTAAGTCATTATAATAAGTTTGCAACCTAAAGTATAGAGATTTTGCCTCTGTCTTTAATTGGTGGTATTAAAAAATAGGACAATGAATAATGTGAACATAAGATCAAAATTTAATGTCTAACTATGTTATGTTATATAGATGAAGAAAAGAAGTGACATTTTTGTTTAATTTCAGCTGTAGCCCCTCCACCAACAATGACACCAAAGGCACCCGTAATCGGTAAACTATCTATATTTATATCATAAATCGTGTTTGTTATTTTACTCCTATATTAAGATATGGTACAAGTTAATTTAACTTTATTTCATTTGTTCTGATTTATATGATATCAGATCTTTAAGGTTTTTTTTCATTGAGGTTAACATCTAAGTAACAGAAGATGAATGAACGTACATATACGAACATTTACCTATACTCTGATATTTTCAATTTTCGTTCTATTAAGTCTTATCATTTAATCTACAGCTGATAGTTGTATCGTCTGGGATAGCTGGGTAAACCAAGGTCATATTACACTGACATCTGGCGGAGACAGTGAACCAATCGCTGACGTGCAAGCTGCTTCTCACATGTGTACCAGTCCAGTCAAAATTGAATGTGTCCGTGCCAATGACGAGTTACCCTACTCCCAGACCGGGCAAACTGTGAAATGTAACCTCTGGGACGGTTTGGTCTGCTTTAACGCGGACAATTCACCACTATGCTACGACTACAAAGTCAGACTCGGCTGCTTAAAGAACACCCCTGAATGCAGTATGTATATCTTCATAAAGTTCAAATCTCTCTAATTTTGTATACATGTATATATTTGTATTTTGACACACATTGTAATTATAGTACTTTTGAAGCATATTGAATATTCAAAATATAATACTTTAACTGTGGGATGCGACTCGCTGCCTTTTGATCTATGTCGGAATATTTGTATATTAATCACAGTCAGTTGATATGATTAACTCCCTTTTTATTTTAAATGGTAATATAACAATAACATGTCCTATGCATAAAAGTTCAAGATGTGTGAGTAAATCACTAAGGTTTTCTCAAATTAACAATTGTTTTTTGCACAAATGTTTCTTATTGTCAATCTTCTTCAGCAATGACAACATTGACACCACCTGCAATCTTCACTGGAGCTCAACATGGAACCACTAAACCTGTCACAGGAACGGTACAAAGCAAGATACTGCCTTGCTTCGAGGGCATGGATACATCAGCTTGTCCCAAGGAAGGATGCAATGACGGTTTCTACTGTAATGGAATACAGTGTGTCAGAAAGAATGAATGTTCGTGCTTGGTTGATGGCAAGGTCGTCAAGGTAACCTTTAAATTAGGTTAACTTTATCTTTGAGTTTATCAAAATATCTCCAACAATAAATGCTTTAAGACAAATTTGAAAATATGAAATTATTTGCCTTATTGTGGTATCCTCCTTCACTAATTAAAAATTCAAATATTACATAATTTATTTTAAAGGGGGCATAACATTTATTATAACATTCCTGACTAAATCCGTTTTACCTTTACAGCCTGGAAGCTTCAAACAAAATAGCAACTGTGACACATGTCAATGTATTGCCGGTGAAGTGATGTGTACACCAAAGAGCTGTCCAGCCTGCAATGCTGTAAGTATTTTTGTATCTCTGAAATAATTGAAATATTGTGTTACTGTCTTACATCGAAGTTTATAATGAATATTTACACATGCATCTTAATGATGCCTATAGAATACACTAATCGTCTATTTTTGTCTATAAATGGATCAATGATATTCTTTCATTCATTGATGAAAATAAAGTTCAATTAGCATTTGATCAAATGTCAGTTGGGAAAAAAATCATTTTGTTTTGTTATCGCAGGGCTATTCAATGACAATTAACAAAACTACTTGCCAATGTGGTTGTGAGACTTGCGAGACTGGTGAATTCCGATGCGGTGACGGTGTGTGTATTTCAAACGGAAAAAGATGTGACGGAATCATCGACTGCATTAATGATGAAGTCGGTTGTGGTGAGTTTGATAAGAAGAGTAGACAAAGTACAATGAACTTTAGTTTAGAAGTTTAGATGAATTAGAAACCTAAAGTGTAAACACTTATTATTTTGTGATCAAAACTAACCATGGATGATGTAAATCCATTAATTTGTGTAAATCTATTTCAATAATATTGTGCTGAACTAAAAGCTCTGGTTAAAGTACGCTCAATGTGATGTCTTCTTGTACATGTGTACTGTTAAAAAACAGGTTAAATAGTTTGAAAATATAACAACACCATAAATTAATCAGGTATGTTATTATTTTAGTATCAACACCGATGTTTACACCACCAATGGGTTTCACTGGAGTTCCTACAGCCAAGCCTATGACAGGATTCAATGGTCAACCATTGACAAAACCACATGACAAATACTCATCTGCTGCCCCAGGTAATTACAATACATATTTCATATTGTTTATTTGTAAAGTTAAAAGTATATGTAGCCATAATTTGTGCATGAGTAATATCAATTTCTTGGATAAAGCTTACTTTGCTTCATATTTCAGTCATGTGTCAGAACCACTGGTCTAGCTGGATCAATCGTGATAAACCAGATTCTGGTGACGGCGACAGAGAAATCATGACAACGAAAGAACTTGAAGGAGTATGTGTCGGTGGAAAGATCACTAGCATTGAATGTATCACATCCGATGGTAAAGAACAAAACTTTTTATAATTTGTTATGCTATATACAAAAAGAAGTATGGGAAACGACATTTTTGACACATTTGTGATAGTGTTGTTTATCTTTGAATAAATAAATGTCAAATAGAATTTATGTCAAATAGTGGTTATTTCTTTCTGAGCAAATTATAAGATTTGATAAATTTTCTGAGACCATGAGCTCTTTTGGTGTTATGAATAGTTGTTCTTTTAGGGGCCTGAGTTTTTGTCATTTCTGGTAATATGTTTTTTTTTAGATATAAATTGTAATACTAATCTCTCCGTTTTTCGTACAGGTATACCATCTTACAGTACCGGAGAGATCATGCAGTGCTCCCTTGAAGGCGGCTCTGTTTGTTTGAGCGACGATAACTTCCCAGTAGCATGTAGTGATTACAAGATCAGATACTTCTGTACATGTGATGGTACGTTTATATATCTACAAAATTACTATTTAAATGAAGTAATCGAAACACGTTTATAATCATAGTAACTGAATGTTTTAGTTACTTACAAAAGTACTATGTTCATTTGTTGTCTTTGCTAAAGCACCGGTTTATCATCCACAGGCTTTAACTCTTGCTAAGGCTCTTTATTGTATTAAAAAACTACTTGACTGTTACTATTCATCAAACTAATAAAATTTGTAAATGTTCGTAATTTAATAAGATGAACTTAAGGTAATAGTTTTGTTATATCTATTCCTTGTAATAATTGTTTTAATTCGTGCTTATTTAAAATCTCCAGAAACACCAACTCTTGGACCACATGGCATGACCACACAGACACCATCAGCCAAGCCACCACTAGGAGGTAATTTTGCCATATTAATTTTACTTTTATCGTGATCTGTAGGTGCTAAACAAGCAAACCCAATTTCAAACATCCTATCATAATAACTCTTGGGTATAATGCAAATTGTCAGATGATGTTGAACATATTAATAAAGATAGTAATTAAAGACGATAACGGATTGCAGAGTCTTATACAAATCTAAGCAGTTTTTTCGTATAATAACCTGTTGTAAGTGAGTAAGGATACTCTCTTATTAGTTTTCTTGATACCGGTATTTTAATAGCTATTGTCGCATTAATTCAAAATAAGAACGAGTTTGGGGAATGTAAGAGAATGATACTTCCAGACTTATTACAGACTTAAAAGATAAAACAATACTTATGTGTGTTGTTTTGTTGATTTTATCAGGAAATACACCAACAATGTCATCAGGTCTTACAACACAATTATCAGGAGAGACAACAAAGGCACCAATACTGTGTCAAAGTCGCTGGTCTTCATGGATTAATACTGATTCACCTTCTACAGGAGACGGTGATAGAGAGGTAAATTTACATAAAATATGAAAAACAAGATCAACAAGGAAATGTGGCGTTCATTGAATCAATCGGTAGTCAAGTCAAACTTGATGTGTTAATTATGATGCAGTACTAGATAATTGTTAATTAATGTTTATGAGGAATAAAATAAAACAGATTAAATTATTATGACGCAGTACTAGAAAGTTATTGATTAATAATTACGAGAAAAATACATCTGGTGACGTTTTTGCATTAACTTATCTACTGTTAAGATATAAAACAAGTTAATGAACACATTTGATTGTTTGTGAAATCTGTAACAGAATTGTATGTGAAATATCATAAAATATGTGTCCAGTCTGTGTCTGTGCAATGTATTCAATATGTTCATACTTGCAATAATACTATCTGTTTTTTATCTGTACTAGATATGGTCCTCGGCTCAACAGCAGGCATTCTGTTCTAATGGACACGTCACAGGTATCGAGTGTGTAACCGACAGTGGCATACCGTCATATAGTACCGGAGAGATCATGCAGTGTTCTATTGAAGGTGGCTCTGTTTGTTTGAACGACGATAACTTCCCAGTACCATGCAGCGATTACAAGATCAGATACTTCTGTACATGTGATGGTATGTATATATTTTTGTTTTTGCCAATTTTCTAAAAGCCTGTTTATATTCACATGTCTATTATTTAAGTCTTGAAATCTTTCTTATAAACTAGTTTGTAGATAACCGACGAATTTTCGTTGAGAATACATAAAGATTATTCAATTATAATAACTAAGGGTTTAAAGGAACATTGAAGTATGCCTGTGCCAGACTGCATATTAACTGTGGCACTGAAAAAAGATAGATAATTTACGTTGTTTTTTTTATAGCACAACCAACAAACAAACCTTCTCAGATTTCTACAGAAACACCAACATTGCAACCGACTCTTGGAGGTAAACTTTTGTTTAAATATCTCTGATACCTCTAATTTCAGTACTTACATGATTTTGTAACTTTGAATAGAATTATGAAATGCTTTCCTATAACAACTGACTAAAAAACTGGTTCTGTCTAGGACTTCACAAAGAGACTCTTGAAACTGTTTAAAATATACAAATATTTGTATCCAAAGACCATATATTCTGATGTGTTGTTTTTGTTTTGTTTAGTTTTCTTTTGGCATTAATGGCATATGGATTTTTGTATTTGTGATAGAAAATGTATACACAATTACATGTACTAGCTTTTCTTTGCATATTTAGTTGTGTAAAATTTCAAAGCATTCTCTATAGTTTGTATACGTGTATTTGCGAAATGAATCCGAACTTCTCAACTGTATAATATGTGAGACATAATAGTAATGTTCGTGATAGAACTATCTTTACTATTTATAAAATCCTGACACTTGCTTTTGGATTACTGTGGATACAATGTGAATACCATTGGTTTATTATTGTATATCAGGCAGCACAGTATCTGTACCTCCACCGCTGTCTTCTAAAGCACCAGGAGTGCCAACAAATGCACCGTTCCTTTGTCAGAACAGATGGTCTACATGGATTAACACAGACACGCCCTCTACTGGAGATGGCGACAGAGAGGTAATGATATTTTTGTTAATGTTTGAATAATTACTTTAAATAATGTACTTCATAAATGTCCCAATGTACGTTTTTTATACCTTGCTTTTAGCTTCAGAAGAGGTGTCTTATTTGTTTTAATTTATGTTGGCTTATGAAATTAACCTAAATAACTAGACTATATTTGTGTATATATTAATAGTGTTACTAGTAGTAGATTAGGTTTAAAATATCTTCGTCTTATTTGTGTAGATATGGTCATCGGCTCAACAACAGGCATTCTGCTCTAATGGACACGTGACTAGCATTGAGTGTGTAACTGACAGCGGCATACCGTCCTACAGTACCGGAGAGATTATGCAGTGTTCTATTGAAGGTGGCTCGGTTTGTTTGAACGACGATAACTTCCCTGTACCATGCAGCGATTACAAGATCAGATACTTCTGTACATGCGATGGTAGGTTTCTTTTTTGTGCTTGCTCAGTCTGACCAAGTGTACACCTAACGTGTTTTAGTCTATGGCATTTGCAATTTATATGTAAGTACTGCAATCAATTAGGCTTTGGCTTCCTCTCTTAACTCTTAATAATTCAGAAAGGTATATATTTGGCAAAAAAATGTGATAATATTCTATAGCAGAATCGTTCGTTCTTTCATTCTTTTAAGGACTTGTTTATACTGTCTTTTTAAACTAGTTTGTTTATTCTTCGGAAATTTGCTTATACCGGTATTTTTTATATATAATTTAAAGGTATTTTCTTGCAATCTGCAAAGACTTGTCGGAATATGTTATATTAACCCTGGTGACACTGATTTTACTTGCGTTTTTTTAGCTTTACCGACACTTGGACCACATGCAGTATCTACAGAAACACCTACTGCGAGACCACCATATGGAGGTAAGTTTGAGTAGAGACTATATAAGCTCGCAAATATTAAGTTATTGACGATTTTTGTTTGCTTTATTTACAGTAGGTGTTTACAATTAAAATGGACACAATAGTACAAGGAAATAAGCCTGAAAATTGAACGCATTTTTCGTATCCCTTAAGTATGTATAAAATTACATGTAAAAGAATCTTTTTTTGCAACAACATTTGCTTAGGCGAAAAGTATTTAGATTACCTAAACACATGTTTTTGCAAATATTTGTAAGCTTTTTTTTTAATCAGATATGTGATAGTTTGTGTGTGTGTGTTTTTTTTGTTGTTGTTTTTTTCTTGTTGTTATTACTAATTTCGTTAATTTTATGTCGTTAGATTCTGGCTCTACGTCAGTGATACCACCACAAGTATCTACACGTGCACCTGTTCTCTGTCAGAACCAATGGTCAACCTGGATTAACAAGGACGTTCCAACCACTGGTGATGGTGACAGAGAGGTAATAATAATTCATTTAGTTCATTACTTTAAGTTAGTTTTCAAATTCATATACGAATATTAAAAACTTATACTGTAAACATTGAAACTTTTCCTTTCACGGTGCCTCGGGTAGGCGAGGTTCTTCTTTCATTCAAATCACATACATATACCATTTGTGTATGGAGGGCGATCGTTGCCAAAATTCCAGACTTGTAATGTGTTCCTTTTGAAAACTACTTTTGAAAATGCAAACATGTATGTCTAGCATTTTTTATTGCATTCGTGCACAGCAAATGATATGCCTCTTAATCCAATCTTTTAATTGAAGGCACCCGCTTTTAAATAACAAGTTTACATGTAAATCTTAACAACTGACCTAACATGGAGAACAACAACACATTTACAAGTTCCTATCTACCATTGCATATAATACATAAGCATGTTTACACACTTGTAGATATATATCTGTACCTGAAAAAACACAAATGAAATGTAAAACTCGAATGCAGAAAATATAATTTAATAAAACGTGTTCCAGTCGTAGAACTACAACAGTACGTTTACACAGTTACATGTTTAAAATGACAAAAGTCGATTCACAAAGTTAAACGATTCTAAGTCATGCATGACGCCCCGCCTAGCTCTCTCTCTGAGTATTTACGATCTTCTATCACGGAAATGTACGGACAGGTATAATACCCGTCGCCTCTCTCCTATTTCTCAATAAAGTGAAGGAAAACACGGCGTCCATTCTAACTTTTTTTTATTTCTATAAAAAGTCCAATATTATTGGTATCAAATGAAAGATTACTCCATAAGCTTTCTATTAGTGCCTCGGAAATAAAAATGAATTAAATAGATGTATTGAATTTTTAGGTTTTTTTACTCTGAAAATAACACTCTCAAATTGGTAAGAAAAACACGGCGTTCCCTCCAAACTTTTTTTTAAGTTCGTAATATATTTTGATAATTTTGGATTGAAATAAAAGTGTGCTTCATACGATTTATGATATATAATTATATAATACCTAAAATTAAAAATGAATTAAATCAAATTGAATTAACTTTTCGTTAAAAAGTTTATCATGTTACTTTCTGTAAAATAGAGAAAATAAGAATCCCTAAAGAACGCTCAAAACGACAAAATTGAGAATGTTACATGCCCGGTTTGATTGAGCCTGCTCATGGACGGTAATGGAAAGAGCAAGTTATCGTCCACGCCCCCTAGCACCGGCTTAAGCAAAATTCAACATGAACTGGTACAATTTTGAAACATCCGCAGATGTGTTAATATGGCGATTATCATGGAACCTTCAATGTGACACGTAAGTGCCATAGCATGAAAAACGGCATATGATCCCCAAGTAAAAAAACACACACTCTGAAATTCAGTAAGAAAAACATGACGCCCCCTACTTACTTTTTTTATTTCTTGGTCAATTTTGATAATAAACTAGATCATCAAGGAAAGGCGGCGTTGATAATTTTAGACTCAAGTAAAAGAATCCTTTATGAACTTTCTAGTGATGCCTTAAAAATTAATTATGTAGAAGTATTAAAAAAAATTGTTTCTAATTTATCGTTGTTTATTCTTTTTCTCTTAAATCCACACTCATATATTCGGGAAAAAAATAACGTCGCTTCCTTTAGATACTTTATTCTAAAAGGAAATTGAATATTGAATGAAATTTAAGACCATAAGCTTTGAACAAGTATATTAAAAATCTGGAAACAAAGTGATCCCTCGGAAGCATTAATCACAACAAAATTACATAAGAATTGCAGATTCGGTTTAATTGAGTCTGCACATGAGGGATAATGAACGAGTGCAACATCCCTCACGCCCCCTAGCACTGGCTTGAACGGTACTCAACTCTCAACACTTAATAGCGCTGGCATCAATGATCCCGAAGGACCAGAAAAACACTGAAGTGAAGTACGGGGCAACTTTTTACAGCTGCCACACGGCACTTGACACCTGCTGTTATGAAGTATTAAAATCTGGAAACAAAGTGATCCCTCGGAAGCATTAATCACTACAAAATTACATAAGAATTGCAGACTCGGTTTGATTGAGTCTGTACATGAGGGATAATGAACAAGTGCAAAAAGTTTTTATAAATTCATACTGAAAATACCTTATTAAAGATTGTACATATGTGCTACGGATAAGTATTTTCTTGATTTCGGAAAGGAAATCTCGGTGGCCGCTTTAAAATCCTATTTTTGCAAATACTTGCATAGGTTTTGTTGAAAATGAAATTTGTGCCAATACATTTTTCAATGATACCAATAAGAATATTGGATGGTTTTTACATTATCAATAAAATTACTCCCTTGAAGTTGGTCATTGTTTCCCCTAAAAATTTCCAAATCGCCGATGTTTCTCAGGAGTATATGATAAACAAGATCAACAAGGAAAGGCGGCGCTCAATGAACGCAACCCTACATGACCCAGCAACAAGAACAAGTGGCAAGAAGCCCAGGCGGACCCCAAACAAAACACAGGACAGGGCACTAGGCATAGCACGGACAGGCTAATCACTAAAATGATAAATAATTTGTAACTGATAAGAACACGATGTTAAATAATAAGGTAATGCACAAGTTATCTTCATCATAAATGGTAAAATCAGCAATTTTCAAGTGATGTTGCTAGTGACAAAACTTTTGTAACAAATGTAACATATATATGTTATGAAAAATGCCGTATGTTGTCCTTCTGTTTTATTTAAAAATATGGGAGAGGCGCCGTTTTATACCTGTCCGCAATAGAAGTTCGTAAATACTCCGAGAGGGGCGGGGCGTTATGCTTGACTTAAAATCGTTTAACTTTGTGAATCTACTTTTGTCATTTTAAACATGTTACTGTGTTAACGTACTCTTGTAGTTCTACAACTGGTAACACGTTTTCTTAAACTCTATTTTCCGTATTCGAGTTTTACATTTCATTTGTATATTACAGATCTATAAGTGTACAAACATGCGTATGTATTGCATGCAATGGAAGATACGAACTTGTAAATTTGTTGTCGTTTTAGATGTTAGGTCAGTTGTTACGATATATATGTAAACTTGTTATATAAAGGCGGTAACCTTCAATTAAAAGATTGAATTAAGAGGCATACAATAAAAATGGTAGGCATACAAGTTCGCATTTTCAAAAGTCATTTTAAAAAGGAACACTTTACATGTCTGGAATTTTGGCAACGAACGCCCTCCATATTTGTGAATTTCATTTCTCTTCCTAGAAGCTCGTTTACGTATTCTTGAAATATGTAATCGTTGCAAGTTCAAATCCTAAATGTTCAGTTCAAAATATCCTTTTTCTCTTTCCGCTTCTATATATTTTCCATGTCTCATAAAATTTCCATACACCCATCGTTATTGGTATTTAATAAGAAATCAATTACATCTATTTGTCTATATTGCTTAATTCTACCAGATATGGACAAAGGCTGAAATATCTGCATTCTGCTCTAATGGACACGTCACTAGCATCGAGTGCGTCACCGAGAGTGGTATACCATCCTACAGTACCGGAGAGATCATGCAGTGTTCTATTGAAGGCGGTTCTGTTTGCTTGAACGACGATAATTTCCCTATACCATGCAGCGATTACAAGATCAGATACTTCTGTACATGTGATGGTACGCATTATTTTGTTAATTTAGATATAATAAATATAAGCGAAAAAAGAAACGGATAACTGATTTTTTCATTGCGTTATTGATTTCACTTTGGAAAAGAAAAGCTAATTACAAAGTAGAATTCGTTACTCCTTACTTATCCCTCATTCATTATTTTTCATTGAACTATTCAGTTCCTTTAATCTATAACAAATGGTTACGATTTTTAGACTTTCACCAAGTGCCTTAATTCATTTTTAGAACAACCAACAAATAAACCAGCAACGTTGGCAGGCCAGCACCCATCTGCAGCGCCACCTGCTGTAACTACGACAATGAAAGGTCAGGATCTAGGTTCCATCATATACATATTTTTAAGATTCATGAAATGTCTGCTAGTAAAATTCTTACACAGAAGTCTTATTTCAGACTAGTTAGTACAGAAATGATTTACAAAATTATATGGAGCGATTGATATTTTCCAATATACATTTTCTAATCTATTTATTCATTTCAACTAATACAAACATGTAATTCAATTGAATACAACATGAAAAACTAAAATAAATAAACCTGAAATACATTTTAGCACCACCCACGATGTCTACAACAAAATTACCACCGAAGGTTTGTGTCCAGTCGCATTGGTCTAAATGGATCAATCGTGATAAACCGGATGTCGGAACAGGTGATATCGAGGCTATGACACCGCAGGAAATGAGCGTGTTTTGTGCTTCCGGTCGTGTCTCACAGATTGAATGTATCACTGACTCTGGAATCCCATCATACAGCACTGGAGAAATAATCTCATGCTCCATCAATAACGGACTTGAATGTTTGAACGACAACAACTTCCCAGTTCCATGCAGTGACTACAAAGTCAGATATTACTGTGAATGCGGACGTAAGTATTTCATTAGACTTCTGTATTCTGTAAATTAATTTTAACACTTAAACCTTTTGTAGTTATGCAATGAATTTCTACATCTTTGAATTTGAACAGTCCATTCAAAATGTTAGGAGTTTCTGTAATGAAATGCAAAGATTGAGTCACCAACAGTCACATGTATAGAGCATGGCCAGATTTCGTGCATGTCTAGTTTGGTATGTCCTTGTACTGGTTGCAAAGACTAATCACTTTCGGTCCAAGCATGTAATTAGTTTAAACATAAAAAATGTCAACATAAACAATGAAGTTAAATACATTAATAATACAGAAACAAAGATATTTTATAATTCCTAACAATTTTGATGTGTACAATATTAATAAGAAATCATAGATTGAAAGTAAACACTTTGTTATTGTAGGACATAATTACATGTAATTATAATTCTTAACTTAGTGTATTTTTCTTAGGTAGATTGTAGTTTAAAAAAAGCATACAATTTTGCTTATCGGTTATATGAAGATGTGTCCATGATGTTATTCCAATCTTATGATGTTACTTAACTCTTAAACATTTCTCTCTTTAATTTAGCCCCACTACACGTCACCACACTAGGACCAGGTTTGGCAAACCATAACACAGCAGTACCAGGTATTGTTCTTACGAAATTATTATATACATTTGTATGTACTATGTTCTACAATATTAAGTATTTCAAAAAAAAAAATATTTTCATTGTTCCAACATAAATCTTTTTTTCGGATACCGTTGATGACATACATTCAAATAGAGATATTCTACCTTATTAAAAGTATACATTTGTATCTTAAATACCATAAATCCTAACATTTAATAACTTTAATTCACTGTTGAATAGGTAATTACACAAAAAGAAACAACAAATGTCAGAAATTTATACCAAAAATATTTTTTATAGAATTGCTAATAACGGACGTCCTGTTCGCATTTTTAAGTGTTTAAATGTCTGAAATATATTGTCATAAATATTTTCTATCGTTACCTAGCAACTGAAGCTCCTTGCATACCAGCTAACTGTCCAGTAGCAAGCAAACCGACAGTTAAACAGGGAGAAGTGTTACGCGTTGTGTACGATGTCCAAGGATGTTGTGCTAATTACGAGGTATTCTGTAAACCGGAAATGTGCACACCGCCAACGCTCGTATGTCCACCACCAATGATAATACAAGCTGCTAATCCCCATGATTGTTGTCCAACCTACAGATGCAGTACGTTATACACTTTTTTCTTTCCGAATTTAGAACAATTTCATAAACATTTCTGTAGTTTTTGTGATAAAAATGATATTGCATAGTCCTTATAGTTTTCTAACACGTTTGTTTTTTGCGCCCTGTTTTTTGTGTTTTTTCTTGTTGTTTTTTGGAACACATACACAATTCTGCGTACATAATGGAAGTCTGAAGCATTGCGCAGGCAAATACTAGTTGTGTTGTTATAAAATAAATGATTGCTATTTACTTTCCAGTGTGTCCATCATCGTGCCCACCGATGAGGAAACCTCAATGCCTACCTGTAAGTATATTAAATACTTTTGCTCTTTTGCGGATGCAATAAGTGTGTTTGGAAAGTTACGCGCCTGTTATTCTATATACCTATCATTTACTCTGTCTGTTTAATTGACTGGAAATGCAATAACAGTTTAGAGGTATTAATTCAAGGATAAATATTTGCATGAACTTGCGCAAGATGTTTCCGTTTTCAAGCCGGAGTAAATTTATGGCATCGACCCAAAATGAAAATCCATTATCCCCCTTCCCCACATTAAATGTATTTTTAATTGTTTAATCTGAAAAAGTTGCTTTTTATATATGTTTCAGTATACCGTTGCTATGGTTACATTTTATATATATTTATTTGCAGGGAATGGAGATGGTTGAAGTTAAGTCTGATTGCAACTGTACACAGTATGCCTGCTGTAAGTGGTCCTTTTTTAACCATTTGTTCAACATAACACACTAGCTTTGTCAACGGTATATAGAGTTCACCCAACCTTCAGATCCGTGCTGTGCGGTCTGACAATGCGCAGCTGTTGACTGCGCATCTTAGTTATATTGACAACAAACTCCGAACTCTTTTCCTTAGTAAATATCGGTGGACTTCAAATCAGAATGCTTGTATATAAATTCAAGAAGATAAGGGATTATTTAGTGATATATATTTTAATGTTTTTCAATTCATATGTCAATTTTAGTATGTTATTTGTAATATTGTCTTTTTATAATACCTACATGTAATATAGTAGTGAACCTCCTGTTGTTATTCATGTTGCGTGTCGGTTTTTCTCTTGTTTATTTTTTTAAACCAGTAGGCAAGGCGGAAGTATTACAAAAATATGGCATTAACTACTGTTTTAGCAGAATTGTGAATAACATGTATTTTCTTTTAACAAATATGAGAACTAACTGATACATAGAATTATCATGTTAATATTTTTATTTTTTATTTTTATTTAGTGAACAAGCCATTACCTACACCACCAATGACCCCACGCACGTGCAAATACACAGCATCCATGGTAACTGTGAACGGTACAAACCAACCGATCATTACACCAACGGAACAAATTCACCAGGTACCTACCTATTCTTGCATGTCTCGGACTTCTTTGTGGTGATGTTAACTTGTACATTTGTCAATTTGTGTGATGATTGTAATATCATATAAGTTTTGTTACTGTTGTTGCTTTTTCTTTCATCAAACTAGGTCAGAACACAACATTTTAATATCAAAGTTTTTATGTATATCCTTGCTGAACTTAAAGTTTTTATTTGTTTCGACGATCCTTATTAAATGTTGACACGGTTTGTCATTTATTACAACATTTTTGTATGTTTTTCAATAAAATACAATTGCAAAGAGAATTTTGATCGGTTTTTTCCCATAGTGCTTCGGAGTATATCGGAAGTTAAACGTTTCTGTTCATATTATGAATAAACAAGACAGTTTATAAATATATAATATATGTCTTTTTTTGACTCTTTTTCACTATACAGTATATTCATACTTGGAGGAAAAATCGGGAATAACTAACGGCAATGCTGTACCACATTGACGTCTGTCTGTTTAAGAGTTTTCGGTTACAACATTTGTTGGTGAATTGTGATGTTAAATTCACACTTTTACTTTTGTAGATCGGAGACACGTGGTCTGATGGTTTATGCAGACAGTGTCTGTGTGAAGAAAGGTCGGGTGCTGCGGAGATTTCGTGCCATGAGGAAACATGCCCCGCCTGTCCTGCTGTATGTATTTTATTACTCATCAAAAATGTTGTTTAAGAATAAGTTGGTTGAAAACTTCTTAATTTTCCGTTTATTTCAGTTGCACAGTAACAAATTAATTCGACAATAAGTTTTACTTTATAAGAAGTCAATGTTTAGCGTATTCTTTATATACTACATATTGAGATATATAAAACCAATGAAATGATGATTGTTTTATTTTAAATTTTATGTTTTCTTTTATTCAAAGGGATACAAAAAGGTTGAGAAAACAGGTAAATGTTGTGGAGAATGTCACCAGATTGGTTGCCTTGTCAACGGAACAGTATACAGTGTAAGTAGGCGAAATGATTGTATTATAGATATCCGCAAGTTGTATTTTTATTATATAAATTGTAATGCAATATCTGCAAACTGTAGAAATAATTAATGTGTGTCTTAACTTATTTTAATTAGGTGTCTATTGTAAGAAACTAGAACTACTGCAGAATTCAGACACCGGAAATGGGTTACGTAATATAGCAGTTTCAAATGCATACAGATTTTAACTCATTTATTTAATTCCTTTAGGTTTACAATTATTTTAAGCAAAAAAATTTGAATAAAATCGTGAGATACAAATTGCATAGAATTTTAATTAACAACTTTATCATAAGTTGGGCTCGTACTTGTAAAGATACTTATTTTTCCTCTTTAATTAGGATGGCGAGGTAATACCGACCAAGAAGAAGTGTTACACAAAACGTTGTAACTACGACTTTGACCTGGATCTATATATAGCAACAGAAACCCAAATACAGTGTACAGCATACGAAAAACTACCATCATGTGCCCAGGTATGATCCTTTAATTCATTTATAATCCCGGTATGTACCTGTAGAATTTAGTACATTGTGCAGCCCCTGTCTCGAAACTATTCGTATTTACTTTCGTTATTTGAATAATTTTTGTTTTGTTTTGACGGATTGGTGTATTTGTTGCTGAGCCTATTAAATAATTTCATTTCAATTTTCTTTTATTAGCTTAAAACACAAACTTTCAGTTCTTGACTAACACTGTTATGTAGATCTTTTTGTACATATTATGAATTAAAAAAAATCCCGCCAATTAATCATTCGTCTGTTTATCTGTTGCAGAACGAATCCTCATATGACAGCACAGGTTGCTGCATGAAATGTCTACCTACCAGTAAGTATTGTCTATTGAAATTCACTTCTTTTATAGTAAAACAAACTTTTAATTAGAATCGTATCAATGTGACCTAGAAAATTTAACTTTACAAATTATAATTGGACAATAATTTATTTTCAATAATAAAAGTCAAGATTAAAAGTAAATTTATATTTCCGTTGGTCATTATGGTTTAAATTTACTTCCACCGGAATGAAACAAAACTAAAATAAAATCTTGAAATATGAATGTTTAAAGTAACAATTATTTATCGAATTTATTTTCAGTCGGGTTACTTGTATTTTTAAAAAAATATACATGAATTGAATTTGTTTTCAGTTCAAACATTCAACTCGTCCAGCAGCACGTGCCAGACATGCGCACCACGCCTTGTGTTCGGACAGCCCGATAATAGCGTCGGTTATTTCCGTGTTATGGACAATATGGAGCTGTGCAAGAATCTCGCACCAATCCCTGACCTCAAAGAATGCTCCGGCTATTGTGGCTCGAAATCGTCATATAGTCACTTAATGCGCGGATATACCAATGACTGCAATTGTTGCCAGGCAACGAAGAACGAATCAAGAACGATCACTCTTACATGTTCAAGCGGAAGGACAATTAAGAAAACATATTCCGCGCCCACGTCATGTGGCTGTAACGTGTGTTCTGGCGGGAAATGAAGTCACGTGGACTTCTTTATATAGACGGACATTTAACAAAGTGCTTCCTTAACGGACAATGTTATTATTGTTGTTAATATTTAATGTTTATTTATTTTTGTGACTTCTCTTATCATTGTAAAATAAAAACACAAATGTACAATGCAGAATAGTTAATAGTGAAATAGGTTTTAAAGGAGTTGAACATTTAATTCGATTGTGTCGTGATTTAAATTTGTTAAGTTATCAATTGTTAAGATCTTTTATTGTCAAACATTTTACTTTGATGAGGGAATAAAGCAATTTCAAATGAATATTCATCTCCGTTTTTCTTTGTTCCTATTATAAATATTAAATAACTATTAGTACATGACGTATGTGAACTGATTAAGATGTTTGAATTCATTTGCACATTTTTCGATTAGGGCAGCACCAAACAATACAATAGCGATGTAGGCCTAACTTGTATCTGCCCGGAGTCTTGAAAAAAAAACGCCTGGAAAGACTTGATTTCCCTAAAATCTATTATATTGTCCTACAATTAGTTTGTGATACTTAACGCTTTGAAACAAGATAGAAGACAAGCAATGAACTTATTGAGCACATAGTTATCAGATGTAACTTTTAAACAGTTTTGCCGTATGACAAAAGAAGACATCAATATATTCAATCCAAATCAGATTTAATGTTTCAAACATCTAATTTTTTGCTGTAGCGCTAAATATGTATAATTTCTTTGTATGGTCCATATAAACCTTGAAATGACGGGATATGTAACGTTAAGTGGCGGACAATATAGCGTTTACAGTCTATCCAGCAAAACAATGAAAAAATTACACGAAATACATAGCTAGATGTATTAACGGGCCGTTGTAAATTTCAATATCAAAATCCTTATTTAGGCCGGATGGTTATGGAATAGAGAATAAGTTACTATTGTATCTTTATCTCAGAGGGTTGAAGTAACAATAAACGAGGATCACATTATTATATGTATAGCAAAATTAGTATACTTGTATATTTCAAAAATGCATCTTTAACGTCAAGAAATGCAATATTTATAAATTCATAACGTGCACGTATTAAAGAACGTCCATGACCATAAATGAGCGCTATGCATTGTAAAAGTGAAAGGCTATAGGTTACATGAGCATAGCTCGGAACGATAAAAATTACCTGCAGTGAATGGGTTTTGAACAACTACAGAATCATTAAATTTTGGAAATGTTATATCAACCGATGACATTTGTCTGTGAAATGATACCATCAATCGCAATTATGGTACCTTCTTTTGTACATTTGTATAAATAATATTTCGTTAAATCTTACATTAAAGAAATATTAATTTTCATTCATCAAACCACAGATATCAGTCATTGATGATCGGTGCATGTATATGTATCATAAATGGTAGAGAATTGAGAGCAACACTTGGCCTTGTTCCTCAAAACATATATTAAGCGTGCATCACATTAAGCCTCAGTAATCAATATTTTTAACTTCCTTTGAAAGATCAAACATGTGTTTAATTATGTTCTGATAATTGATTTAAGGCGTGTTAGATGTTAAACAACTGTAGAAAGTAGCTAATTGACACAAAAGAAAGTAAAACGTTAACAAAGTAATATTTTGGTTCAATACAAAATACTTAATTACTATAACAACACAAATTGCCAAAGAGCAACATATAGAAATGAGTACCTTTTTGGAAATGATTGTAACTGGACACAAAAATATAATGTTTTAAAATATAAAGATGCCAGCATTTTGGGGGCTTAATGGCAACAGCAATACTAATTAAGTTCGTTGTATTGGAAAAGAGAAAGTTAAAAAAGGGTTGAAAAGAAAGTACTTTTTTAACAAAAACAACTATATACGTATATTCTACCATACTCGAAAATAAGCTTACTGATTGTTCATTTCATTAAATAAACAGTAAAATCTATTTGCAACAGTTGTATTGATTCTTTCCAAAGAAACCACTCTCTGGCAGCACTTCTCGGCAAAAGCCAAAGTCTTTGTGTCTTCCAGTGGGTTCTGCTCTGCAGAGATTGCTTGCTTGTTTGTTTATTTGTTTGTTTGTTTGGCTACATCACACTGACACAGTATAGGTCATATGGCGATGTTCCAGCTTTACTCGTGGAGAAAGACCTCAAGTGCCCCTCCGTGCATTATTTCAGGCACGAACGGACACCTGAGTATGGAACCATCGAGGTTCCGTAAGCTAGCTGGATAGATTCCTTAACATGAAGGACAAAGTTCCTGTCGGGATTCGAACCCACAGTGGTGTGGGGCAAGTGGTTCTGCAGATATTGTATTGTATTATTATATCAATGCAACGAATAAAGATTTTACCTTGCAATGAGGAAACAATATTACAGACTAGACCAAGTGTGTACAGATGTGTAGAGAACGTTTGCTAATTTAACGCGGACAGAACGGCTATAAATTATGCCCTAAAAACACGGGAAAATCTTGCCGTACACCAGTTAACAGCTAAATATTTGCTTCCTTTTAAATCGAATAAATGCTACCTTTTAGAAAGTATAGTACAGGTCCTTTCTGCGAAATGTATGGTTTTAATATATAAAGTATTGAAATATCTTATCTCTCAATCGCCAAGTGTTAACATTTTAATCCTTTACCTCGATCATATATAGACGTATTTCGACGGCTTTTCGCCCCCCCCCCCCTTTGGAGGCCTCAAACAGTGAAAAAAGACCCTATTTAGGCACCAAACACTGTTTTTCGTTTGAGAAATGTTGATAAAAAAGTGATTACTTTTTCGGCGCCGCCCCTATCAAAAAAGTAAATCAAGGAGTTACCAGAAGGGGGATGTGACCCCGTCTGTTCCGGGGGTTTAAAGGGGGCGGCAGCCCGGGGGGTTTGAAGGGGCGGCAGCCCCCCCCCCCCCTCATCGCCAAGAAATTTTAGACATGTAACAGGCTAAAAATGGCCCCAGGTCGATCGTAAGGTTACGTGTAACCAACGCTGAAAAGCCTATTACGCTATATCAATCTATTGAGAAGTTGCAGCACTTTGAAATCAGTTTTGATGGGGAAAAAAAAACAATGCAAAATAGTGGTTTCTGGCAATTTTGAGACGCCCCCCCCCCGTTGCCATGGTAACAGGAAATTTAAAATTGATCATGCTGTTACAGAGGCTATGGTCCAGTCAACATTTGGGCCAAGTTTATCAGTATTGAAGCATTTCTCACAGTTTCATATCAGTTTGAATTTGTAGCAGGATGCTTTTCACTGAAAACGGCCTTGTTCACAATCGCCAAGAAAATTTTGGACATGTGACAGGATAAAAATGGCCCCAGGTCGATCGTAAGGTAAGGTGTAACCAACGCTGAAAAGCTTTTTACTCTATCTCAATCCATTGAGATATTGCAGCACTTTGAAATCAGTTTTGAAAAACAATGCAAGAATTTTGTGTTTATTAAATATACATTTTTCTTTTTTTGACATTTGACATTTATAAGAATCATTACAATAAATAAAACTACTTACCTTCTATGAATGAACATTGAGAGACAATTAAGAGACAAAGTGAAGTGATTCTGTCTACGTGAAATAAGCAATATTGCAGACACATAAGTTTACAACCAAAAAAGTTTTCAAAAAGTACATGAACAAGATAGCTTTGTGTATTGGAACTTAATTCGAAGCATTCGAATAAAAAACATTAAAACTGTATCAATCGGCAGAATCATATTTTGTCTAATTGTTTTAATAAATAGAGGATATTGAATGAGTTTAAGTTCAATACTGAATTTATTGAAAGAGTTGAATAATATTATTTTATTCAACGAGTTCAATAAATTCATTAATGAACTTACACTCATTCAATATGCTATTTTTTCACATACCAAAAAAAAAGACCGCTTTTTATAAAGTGAAAAAGAGTCATTTTTCATAGACTCGCCTACAGTATAACGCTAACATTTTGCGCGTCTTTACACTATGTTTGTATATTAACGCAAATGACGTCACGTCAAAATATATGCACAGTCGTGCGATACCATTTTTACGGAGTCACAAAATCAGATTTGAATATATATATATGCACATGCATGATAACTGACCAGAATAGTCACTTGTCAAATCTTAAAATATAGACATGACCAATTTTTATCTTCAATAACTTCGTCAAATCAAAAGCTATGAAACTGAAAACTAAAACCGAGTGTGTCACAAATATTGCCTTAAAGAAATGAACATATCCAAAAAAATATCAAACCTAAACTGTCCAGTATCAGTGCCTTTCAGCCTGATAATATTTTGTCTTTAAGATATTAAGCGGATACAGTAGGCTATTTTTGGAAATACAGTAATTGTCGTATTATTATTATTATTATTAATTTGCAATTAAGCCACCGTCCTGGGAAGCTCATAAGCGCTACCTTAACTTTTTTTCCCTGTTAAAAGTCATTTTCAAACTTTCCGTTAAAGAAGGCTCCTTTCGAATTTTAATTTCTATTTATCTTTTTCGTTTTGTTTATCACATAAGCGATCAAGTCAACATGGCGCTGCTTAGATTTCTGAAACGGCGACTCAGTTTTCTTGGGCTTGTGTTTATTGCAACGATCTTTTGGATATTTTATTTGATTCTTTCAGCTCCTGCAGCTTCTGGTAATTATTTCAATGCACTGTCAAGCATTTCCTTGTTATTGATTTAAGTATAGCACTCACAAAATGAAAGTTGCTAACCACAAAATAAAAAAAATAAATAAATAAAAACAACCAGAAGAATAATATGGATTGTATGCCCTTCTTTGTGTTATTTTTGCATTAATTTTGAATTTTAAATTTAATGCCCTTCCAGTGTTTGTCACATACAGATCAAAACATTTGAAATATGGACAGGTGTCTGGGATTAAGATTGCAAAACTTAAAAAGGCACATATCTATGACTTTAAAAAAAGGAAGTGGCTAGTCTTACGGGCCCATATGTCTAGCCAAAATTTCTAGCATTATGTGACATGCGCACAGCTAGCCAAGACACACTATAATATGAAAATAGGTGCTACCTATGGCGCGGAAAGCTCTTATGATTTATGATTTAAGCATAACATGTTTAGTGTACATGTTAACCAGATCTATCATGCAATTCGTTAATATGTAAATGCAGGTTTTTTGTACAAATAAATTTGTGGTGTTCAACCTATCATCGGAAGAGGGAAGGCTGCGCATGCGTCAGCGTTTGGAAAATCCCGTCCGCCATTTTCTGTTAATCTCTATTTTAATCACATATGTTGTTTTTACGTTATTTTTTATGTGCTTATTTATCAAAAAGGATTTAAAAGTAACTTTTTACATTTGTCATCGTTACTATAGTCTTATGAATGAAATGAATGTTTATTTTCTGATTTTGTACATCATTCTTTCACCGGAAGTGTTATTAACCCATTACTTCATATACACGCCTTTTAACGCCTTTTTCACCCCCCCCCCCCTTTTTGTTGTCTCAAATGGTGAAAAAATGCCTTATTTAGGCCCCCAACACTTGTTTTTGTTTGAGAAATGTTGTTAAAAAAAGTGACCACTTTTTCGGCGCGGCCCCCCAACTAAAAGATACATCAGGGGGTTGCCAGAAAGGGGATGTGCCCCCTTCTGTTTGGGGGGTTTGAAGGGGGGCGGAGTCCCCCTCATCGCCAAGAAAATTTTGGACTTGTGAGAGGCTATAAATGACCTCAGATTGATCATAAGGTAACGTGTAACCAACGCTGAAAAGCATTTGACTCTATCTCGATGCATTGAGAAGTTGCAGCACTTTGAAATCAATTATGATGGAAAAAATCAACGCAAAATAGTGATTTTTGGCAATTTTGAGATGTCCCCTCGTTGCCATGGTAACAGAAAATTTAAGCCTGAGCATGTTGTTGCAAGGGCAATGGTCCAGTCAACATTTGTGCCAAGTTTGATTAGTGTTGAAGCAGTTTTTATAGTATTATAGCAATTTGAACTTGTAACGGGAGACTTTTCAATGAAAACAGCCATTTTTCACAAAATGCTTATGAAGTAATAGGTTAAGCATGCGTCTGCTAGCAATAGTCTGAATTATTTAGACGCTCATTAAAAGAGCTGTGATATCTATATTTAGCTCAAAAGGATTTCAAAATGGCGGCGGCCAGTTAACTAAGGATTTTTTCACAGCTCATTAGGTATAGATATATATTTTTTTGAAATTTTCATTTACTTTTAATTTGAATTGATACGCGTCATACATGTTATCTAAGAGCGCTACAGCCCTCGCGGGGCCTTCCTCATATTATCTAGACGTTTGGCACTTTTCAAAATTCTATGAAAATTGTATGAAAGTCGAAAATGCGTATGTAAGTTTATGTTTAAAACGAGGATTTTAACCAAGAAACAGCAATTGTCGTCGTGTGTTTACTTTTTAGAGACTTCAATCTCCATGTTGGCTTAAGAAAGTATAAATATCGATTGTTGTTATCTCCAGACGGCGAGAAAAAAGTGTTGAATGACATCAATTGAAATCATTTACATAATTATTATAATAATCCTTTTTAGCTCGACTTTTCTATGAAAAGGGGAGCTATCCTACTCGCCCCGGCGTCGGCGTCGGCGTCACACCTTGGTTAAGTTTTTCGTACCACCCCACTTTATTTCAGAAGTATTACAAGTATGGCTTTGAAACTTACCATACTTGTTCACCATCATAACCTCCATCTACAGACAAGAGTACATAACTCTGTCAAGGTTTTTGACAGAATTATGGCCCTTTTTTGACTTAGAAAGTGTATTGAGCTTGGTTAAGTTTTTTGTACCACCTCACTTTATTTCAAAACCATTGGAGGTATTGCTTTGAAACTGACCATACTTGTTTACCATCACGACCTTCATCAACAGACAAGAGGACATAACTCTGTCAAGGTTTTTGACAGAATTATGCCCCTTTTTGACTTAGAAAATACATTGAATATGGGTAAAATCCACTTATTGCCTTAACCCTTTGAGATATTGCTTTTGAAACTTTTAATGCTATTTCACATCATTACCCCCATCTGTACGCAAGAGAAGGTAACTCTGTCAAGGATTTGTTTTTAAAAATTAAGGCCTTTTATCGACTTAGAATCTTGGTTAAGTTTTTAGTACCAGTCCACTTTTTGACTGAACTGTTTGAGATATTAATTTGAAAGTTGGAATACTTGTTTACAATCATGATTCCCAAACATGTCCAGGAGAAGGTAATTCTGTCAAAGATTTTATTTGAATTATGGCCCTTAACTGTCAATGTTTTGTATTATAGGCAAGCACTAAAAAACTTAAAAAATCTAAAAAAATTCATTCCTATCCACTTGTTCACTTTACCATAAATTATGTCATATAAACATTGCTGTAATATTCAAGGGTATCAAACAACTAGTTCACTTTAAAAATACAGAGATTCTTGTATTGCCTTTTACTGCAAAAACTTTTTTTATTGGCAAGCAATAAAAAAGTCGAGCGCGCTGTCTTACGGACAGCTCTTGTTGTTTCAATAAGTTTAATTTTCAACGCCTTTATAAATGAAAAAGCACCAAAAATAATTGTTGTTGGGCTCTGATTATTTACTGACCAAAAGTAGAAGTATGGCCATTATGATTATTTAATCCATGTACTTAATTAACAAAAAATGATTTAACCTTTTCCCTCACATAGACGTGTTTTGACGGCTTTTTGCCCCCCCCTTTTTTTTGAGTCGTCAAACAGTGAAAAAATGCCCAATTTAGGCCCTAAACACTGTTTTTCGTTGGCCTCAGGTTGATCTTAGTGTAGCTAGTAACTGACACTGAAAAGCCTATTACTCTATCTCAATTCATTGAAAAGTTGCAGCACTTTGAAATCAGTTTTGATGGAAAACAAACAATGCAAAATAGTGATTTTGGGCAATTTTGAAACATCCCCCATTGCCATGGTAACAGGAAATTTACGTTTGAGCATGCTGTTGTGTAGTCAACATTTGTGCCAAGTTTCATCAGTATTGAAGCATTTTTAACCAGGTTTTCCGAAGGAAAAAACTGGTTATTACTATTAGATTGAGGTATGTCGGCTGGCGGCGGATGGGCGAGCGGGTATTCGTAAACAATTTCTTCTGTGCGCAACTCCTTCTACATTTCTCAACGGATTTTGACCAAACTTTCACAGATGCTTTGTCATCAAGTGCCCTGGCACATATTGTCGGGGTTTTGCGATTGGATAATATTTGACCTAATTATGGCCCTTTGTTTTTTTTCCTTATATAGAATATATAGTGAACAATTTCTTCAGTGCTGAACTTGTCCTACATTTCTCAATGGATTTTGACCAAACTTTCACAGAAGCTTTGTCATCAAGTGCCCTGGCACACATTGTCAGGGTTTTGTGGTTGGATAATATTTGACCTAATTATGGCCCATTGTTTTTTTTTTCCTTATATAGAATAATTATATAGTGAACAATTTCTTACCTGCGCAACTCTTCCTACATTTCTCAACGGATTTTGACCAAACTTTCTCAGAAGCTTTGTTATCAAGTGCCCTGGCACATATTGTCGGGGTTTTGTGATTGGATGATACATGTATTTGACCTAATTATGGCCCTTTGTTTTTTTTCCTTACACAGAATATATAGTGAACAATTTCTACCGTGCGCAACTTCTCCTACATTTCTCAACGGATTTTGACCAAACTTTCATACAAATATACAATGTACTTTGTATGATTGCATTATGTAACTTTGATACTTTTATCAAGATTACAATGCTTGCATTTTCTTTGTATTCTTTTTTTTTTTACAATATGGCAGAACATCTTTATTAAAGTAAACATACAAGGACAAATGCTAGTTCTTGCTTAAAATCCTGGTTGAAAGACACAAAAAACATGTGCATTTTCGACTTTCATATAATTTTGAAAAGTGCCTCCTCCTAGACAATACTGCTATTAGGGCCCGTATGGCTAGACTCTTCTGTTAGGTCTATGGGCAGAGAAAATGTTCGTCAATCCCCTGGATTAGACCCCTATTTATATTTCAGAAGAAAAACTTGTATATAACACACTAAAGAAAATGGAATGAACCTTATATGCATACCCCCAGGTCTATTCCAGGATATAGCCTTCCACAACTGCCATAATTTTCCACCTCAGGCGAAAATAGTGACTGTCAGCATACATGTCACTTCACAAACACATTTAAAAATCATTCATAAATATTGATGCTTATTTGGAGTCAACTCATCCCTTGGTCATCTTGTCCCAGAACTTGTCATCTACCTAAGCTGTCCCTGTTTTCGAATTGCCAACCCGGTCTGTAAATACTATGCAGAAGTATTGCTTATTAAACACAAGTTGTTTTTTATTGATCATAATTGGATTATCACATCTCTTTATGCTTATCCATGCATTAAACCATTGTGTCTGAGTGGTTTATCACACATTTAACCATAATTATAGCTGTATACAGAACAAAGCAGAATCATTTATTGTCATTAATAATTTAATATAACCTGGCATATTTATACAGAATGTACATGTATAGTGGTGTATATAAACTTTACAAGAAGAACAAAATAAATAGATACATGTACATGTACCTATTATGTATAGTTTGGGAGTTTTCATAATCATATAGACAAATGATATTATAGGCAAAATTAAAACTGTTCTATAGAATTTCTTTAAACTTAGCATGTTGTTGAAACATTTTTAGTGGAACAAATTTGGGTATTATTGTTCACACTGTAAATCCATATAAATATTAATTGAAAAACATTTGCCATGAATATGGTACAATGTACATTTGATGATTTGTATAATTACACATGTACTTATTATTCAAATATTGAAAGATTCAACAAAAAATAGCAAATACCTTTATGTCATCATCATGGGCACAGCCATTAGCGGTGACCCAATGAACAAATGTAACTGCAAATCAAATGTCATGTGACCACCCACCTTGAAAAAAGATATATGTAAAACTTTAAGTTAATTTTTGGATTTTGTTGAAAGCATATTGTGTTATAACATGGCTGTCATATATCATCACAGATTCATCATACCACCATGGGGTATTGCCACATGATCAAGGAAAAGTCTTGAAGAAAGAGGTTGTTAGTGTAACAAGAAAAGTAATGGTGGAGCATCTACAACCCAAGAATGTTGTAAATATAGAGGTATGTCTTGTTATTAATTTAAACAATAATAATATCTTAGTATCATATGTTTTGGTTGGGAGCCGAATATCCATCCCGAGGGTTCCCTGCCCATTGGGCGGTAAGGAGGCTTGCCATAGGAAACAAGAAGTTGATGTGCTAGTAGATTGATTTAAAACACTCAAAAATGCAAATTTTCTTTTAAAAAATATTTTGTTTTTAGCCTACATAGCTGAAGAACATAATAAGTTTGTTGCTGCCTTAGGATGCTAAATTTGATAAAGTCTCGTATATTTAGCATGTTGTGTTTAGAAATGGGAGAAAACAGATAAAGTTCAGGCTTCGCGAAACTGCTGAAAAATTTGCCTGACAGACATTCGGTCAGACAAACTTTCAATTTGTCTGACTGAAAGAACTTTTGTCTGACCGAATTTTTTTTCCAAATATATGTATATGGTAATACCTTTGTGTTTTTTAGCTCATCTGTCACAAAGTGACAGGGTGAGCTTTTGTGATCGCTTTTCGTCCGGCGTCCGTCCATCCGTCGTCCGTCCGTAAACTTTTACTTTAAATGACATCTCCTCATAAACCACTAAGCCAATTTCATCCAAACTTCACAGGAATGTTCCTTTGGTGGTCACCTTTAAAAATTGTTCAAAGAATTTAATTCAATGCAGAACTCTGGTTGCCATGGCAACCGAAAGAAAAAACTTTAAATATCTTCTTTTAAAAAACCATAAGAGCTAGAGCTTAGATATTTTGCATGAAACATCTTCTAGTGAGTGTCTACCAAGTTTGTTCAAATAAAAGCCCTGGGGTCAAAATTGGCCCGCCCCGGGGGGTCATTGATTTTCCCTATATGCATATAGTAAAAACTTAAAAAATCTTCTTTTAAAGAACTCAAAGAGCTATGGCTAAGATATTGAGCATCAAACATGTTCTAATAGGTGTCTACCAAGTTTGTTCAAATAAAAGCCCTGGGGTCAAAATTGGCCCCGCCCCAGGGGGTCATTGATTTTCCCTATATGCATATAGTAAAAACTTAAAAAATCTTCTTTTAAAGAACCAAAAGAGTAGAGCTAAGATATTTAGCATGAAACATGTTCTAATAAGTGTCTACCAAGTTTGTTCAAATAAAAGCCCTGGGGTCAAAATTGGCCCCGCCCCGGGGGTCATTGATTTTCCCTATATGCATGTAGTAAAAACTTAAAAAATCTTCTTTAAAAGAACTCAAGGAGCTATGGGAAAGATATTTAGCATCAAACATGTTTTAATAGGTGTCTACCAAGTTTGTTCAAATAAAAGCCCTGGGGTCAAAATTGGCCCCGCCCCGGGGGGTCATTGATTTTCCCTATATGCATATAGTAAAAACTTAAAAAAATCTTCTTTTAAAGAACCCAAAGAGCTAGAGCTAAGATATTTAGCATGAAATATGTTCTAATGGGTGTCTACCAAGTTTGTTCAAATAAAAGCCCTGGGGTCAAAATTGGCCCCGCCCCGGGGGGTCATTGATTTTCCCTATATGCTTATATAGTAAAAACTTAAAAAATCTTCTTTTAAAGAACTCAAAGAGCTATGGCTAAGATATTGAGCATCAAACATGTTCTGATAGGTGTCTACCAAGTTTGTTCAAATAAAAGCCCTGGGGTCAAAATTGGCCCCGCCCCAGGGGTCATTGATTTTCCCTATATGCATATAGTAAAAACATAAAAAATCTTTTTTTAAAGAACCAAAAGAGTTAGAGCTAAGATATTTAGCATGAAACATGTTCTAATAGGTGTCTACCAAGTTTGTTCAAATAAAAGCCCTGGGGTCAAAATTGGCCCCGCCTCGGGGGTTCATTGATTTTCCCTATATGCATATAGTAAAAACTTAAAAAATCTTCTTTTAAAGAACTCAAAGAGCTATGGGAAAGATATTTAGCATCAAACATGTTCTAATAGGTGTCTACCAAGTTTGTTCAAATAAAAGCCCTGGGGTCAAAATTGGCCCCGCCCCGGGGGTCATTGATATTCCTTATATGTGTATAGCAAAAACTTAAAAAATCTTCTTTGAAAAAACCCAAATAGCTAAAGTTAAGATATTAAGCATGAAACATCTTTTAGTGAGTGTCTACAAAGTTTGTTCAAATAAAAGACCTGGGGTCAAAATTGGCCTTGCCCGGGGGGTCATTGATTTTCTTTATATGTGAATAGCAAAAACTTAAAATCTTCTTTGAAAAAACCCAAATAGCTAGAGTTTAGATATTAAGCTTGAAACATCTTCTAGTAAGTGTCTACAAAGTTTGTTCAAATAAAAGCCCTGGCCCGGCCCCAGGGGTGTCATTGTTTTTAACTATATGTGTATAGTAAAAACTTAAAAAAAATCTTCTTTTAAAAAGCCCAATGAGCTAGAGCTTAGATGTTTAGCATGAAACATCTTCTTATGGGTGTCTACCAAGTTTGTGCAAATAAAAGCACTTGGGTTAAATTGGCCCTGCAACGTTGGGGGGTGGGGGTTGGGGGACCTATATACAGGTGAGCGACCTCAGGGCCATCATGGCCCTCTTGTTTAAAGACATAGCAACTTTTAAAGATTTGCAACACAATTTTATTCTCTTAAATAAAACATCAGAAAAAAATTAGAATGTAACACCGACATTTTCGTCCGAGTACAAGGTCATTGAAAGTCATATGTATCTAGAATTTGATTGGACACTTATAATGAAACGGCGAATCAAAACTCGTTTTACATTTTTTATTCAAGGGAGAAAACTCGGTCTTGGATATATCCCAGTATTCGTACCGGACATAAGGTCCGGAACTCGGAAAAAAAATATCTGACCAGCCTGATTTTTGCCGGACATGTCCGACGGTCCGGCAACTTTCAGAATGATTAAAAGAAAGTTTCTAGCAGATTCAGAGCATTTTTGCCCTATCACCAGGAGTCCGTACAAGGTCTCATTCACAATAAAAAATTAGTCTGTTATTTTTTCTTACAATATGCAACAATCATAACAGCAGACAAAAAAAATCTAATTGTTTAAAATTTTGAGGAAAATTAAACTATTGTGACTTGTTTCTATGCTAGGAGTCCTTCAAAAGCCCCAAGATTTCTTAACTAAAGGTAAATTGCATCATTGAAAGGAATTGTGTGAAATTGAGTGACTGATCAGTTTTGCTGCAGAAACTTTGCATCTAAATGCACATATCTTAGTCACTGTGTCATGACTCATGGAATACCTTGACATTAAAATGACTTCTTTATGAATCAATGGATTGATCAGAACCAGACATGGTACTGTAGAATGCTTTAGATTCGAGTTGTCAAAACTTCCCATTTTACTTGTCCAAAAAAGTCAATTTTCCTTTTATTTGTGTATTCATGAATTGGCTTGATCATCATAGAAACATAGACAGAATTGGAGTAAAATATCGTTTTCAGTTTTGCCAATATTTAAACAGATAATCATAATGCAGCTGCTGTTATTTAATAGATTCTTTTAACTTTACAAAATAATCAATTGACATGATGCCAGGTGTAATGTGTTCACTTGCTAATATCCCAATTAAAACATTACATAATGCACAATACATAATGTACAAATTCAATACATAATTGTACTTATCACACATGCTATTGATTACATACATTTCCACTTTAATTATATAAATGAAGCAAAGTAACCTTTAAAGATGTTTGAGCACTTGTGAAAAAAATGAAACCAAAACTTTTAGGAGGAGCATCCATGGCTTACAGGATAAGATTGTCAATTTCAAACCCCTTAGCCCTCACTGCTATGGAATTGAATCCTGTCTAGGACTTTGGATTCTTTCATGTGAAGAAGCTATCCAGAACGCTTATGGAAGGTCGCTGGTTCTTCTTAGGTGCCTGTTTGTGTCTGAAATAATGCACTGAGGGGCACCTTAGATCTTCCCCCAACAGCAAAGCTTTAAGGAATTTTCAAATACTTTATAATGTCTGACATTTACAATATCTATGGATTCAAAATTTATACAAAAAAAATCATATGCATAGTTCAAGTTGTAGTATGAGTACATGTATATAAAGATTATGTATAACTTAACAAGTCCTTTTCTTTTATTTATTTATAGAACAAGGGAGAGAAGCAGATCCAACCACCGAAGGATGCCGATATTTCCGGGAAAGTTATAGAGGTACCGGAAAAGCAAGTTATACCTCGACCTCCCCCTGAGATAGACGGAAACATTGCAGGCAATGTTGTTAAACCATTTGGTGATATCAATAGAGTTGTAGTTAATGAAAAGAGCGGGCAAAAAAATGATTCAGACAAAGTTGAAGGTAGTCCAAAAGCAGCGGACATAGATAAGTCTGTCGAAATTGTGAAACAGTTTAACGGTACAAAGAATGTAACAGAAAAAGAATCATCAAAGAAACTTAATGAAACAGTTAATATATCAAAAAACGTTACTCATCAGCCAGTACTGAAACAGGTTGAAAAGCAAGTGATAAAGCTGGGGCAAAGTTTTAAAAATAAGACAATCGGAGATTGGGAAACAGTGAAGAACAAAACACTGGAAAAGTTAACGAATTTAGGCGTAATTAAAAAAACTGAGTATATAAAATTGATATATACTCCAGTGAAATGGATTTTGAATATATCATTTGAAGACATAGGTAATATAATGAAAGACACGCAGTACTTTCAAGTTAAACAGAATCTAACAGAGATGGAGTACCATCCGTTGATGTCTCCGAATTCAACACAGAAGTTAAATGTTACGGAAGTAAAATATGGACTTGGGTATTGTGATTGTAAGGACCTGGAGTGTATGTGCTGTGTACGGGTGTACAATAAGTGGATGAGATTAAATAATACAGCTTGTTCTTTAATAACATTCTCATCTAAATCTCAGGTATGTTTAAACATTGTTTAACCTATTCATTCTATAGATATACACCTTGTAGGGGACTGGGGAAAAGGAATATTGCCTTCTCTTTGAAGAAAAAGGTGAATTTTGTCTCATTAAAGGAACTCATAATGTTAAGTACTAGTAATAACTACTGTACATGTATTTTGCAAAAAGCAAATTTCAATATGATATTGTTAAGGGCAGTTAAAATTTAAAAAGAAAATAAACTGATTTTTTTTCTTCAAAAAATAGGATAGGGAAATGGGTGAAATTTTGTCTCAAAAATGGTAAAATCCCTTAATAATTAGTATTTTAAGACATAAAAAAGGAAAGACAAAAGTCAAAGTTACCTTTGTCATAAATTTTCATATTGTTTTGCATTAATGTACTGTAAATGCCACCAAATTCTAACTCTGATTACAAATCATCTGGAGCTTATTTATATATTTGTCATGTACATATACTGTACTCCTTATGTCAAAGCTTGTTACATATTGATAGTTTGAAACTTACACATTGCTGATTTCAAAAAAAAATAAATCCTTTTTGAATCAATGAATCCAATGCTATAAAATTAAGTGTTTCAGATTGAACTTTGGTTTCACCATTGCTTGTGTGTGGGGTGGAGTATGAAAGATTCCATTATCTCTCATGAACTGATACAGTTTGACTAAGTCTGCAATTGTCCCTGTTAAATTTATTTTTTCACTCTTGGTCAGTCTTGAGGAATCTCACTTTTTCCTGAATTTGTATTGGACCACAAAATCTGTTGCATCTGTATAAAGTCCAGAATGCACATAAATGCATTGTTATACAGCAATAAACTTCAATCGCTAGCTCATATGTTCATCTTTCTTTTCATAACGTGATAATATCTAGTCAATATACAAATACAGATATATATATATAAGTCACATATGTCTCATTGTCTAAAAATCAATGACATAAAATGCAGTGAAGTTTTATGTATTTGTAGGAGCTGCAGTTTGTTTATTCCATTGATAAAATGCCTATTTTCGATAGAAAAATTGCAGGTATGTATTTTATTATCATGAAAAATCATTATGCACAACATAGAGCAAATATTGACAATTGAAATATACATTGAAAAATTCAATATTGATTAGATTCACTACTATTTATAACACAGTCTGTTGCTCACTTTCAACACTGAACTGTCTGTAAATAGCATGGTACTGTGACATGGGATCTTTGAAGATAACTCCTATAAAAGATTGCTGGTTTTACATTGTATATATATATTTTTTTGCCTTACACAGTGCAGTCAGGGTTCAAGTAATCATTTACATGTTTGACTACATATGTTAGGAAGATGCCTCTATATAAAGGCAGATAGAATTTAAGTCTCGAAAATGAAAAATTTTTTTTTTTAAAGCTGTATGTTTTTAGCTCACCTGTCACAAAGTGACAGGGTGAGCTTTTGTGATCACTTTTCGTCCGGCGTCCGTCCGTCCGTCCGTCCGTCCGTCGTCCGTAAACTTTTTCTTTAAATGACATCTCCTCATAAACCACTAAGCCAATTTCATCCAAACTTCACAGGAATGTTCCTTTGGTGGTCACCTTTAAAAATTGTTCAAAGAATTTAATTCCATGCAGAACTCTGGTTGCCATGGCAACCGAAAGAAAAAACTTTAAATATCTTCTTTTAAAAAACCATAAGAGCTAGAGCTTAGATATTTGGCATGAAACATCTTCTAGTGAGTGTCTACCAAGTTTGTTCAAATAAAAGCCCTGGGGTCAAAATTGGCCCCGCCCCGGGGGGTCATTGATTTTCCCTATAAGCATATAGTAAAAACTTAAAAAATCTTCTTTTAAAGAACCCAAAAAGCTAGAGCTAAGATATTTAGCATGAAACATGTTCTAATGGGTGTCTACCAAGTTTGTTCAAATAAAAGCCCTGGGGTCAAAATTGGCCCCGCCCCGGGGGGTCATTGATTTTCCCTATATGCATATAGTAAAAACTTAAAAAATCTTCTTTAAAAGAACTCAAAGAGCTATGGCTAAGATATTTAGCATCAAACATGTTCTAATAGGTGTCTACCAAGTTTGTTCAAATAAAAGCCCTGAGGTCAAAATTGGCACCGCCCAAGGGGGTCATTGATTTTCCCTATATGCATATAGTAAAAAACTTAAAAAATCTTCTTTTAAAGAACCAAAAGAGTTAGAGCTAAGATATTTAGCATTAAACATGTTATAATAAGTGTCTACCAAGTATGTTCAAATAAAAGCCCTGGGGTCAAAATTGGCCACCGCCCCGGGGGTCATTGATTTTCCCTATATGCATATAGTAAAAACTTAAAAAATCTTCTTTTAAAGAACTCAAAGAGCTATGGCTAAGATATTTAGCATCAAACATGTTCTAATAGGTGTCTACCAAGTATGTTCAAATAAAAGCCCTGGGGTCAAAATTGGCACCGCCCCAGGGGGTCATTGATTTTCCTTATATGTGTATAGCAAAAACTTAAAAAATCTTCTTTGAAAAAACCCAAATAGCTAGAGTTAAGATATTAAGCATGAAACATGATTTAGTGAGTGTCTACAAAGTTTGTTTAAATAAAAGACCTGGGGTCAAAATTGGCCCCGCCCCGGGGGTCATTGATTTTTTTATATGTGTATAGCAAAAACTTAAAATCTTCTTTGAAAAAACTCAAATAGCTAGAGTTTAGATATTAAGCATGAAACATCTTCTAGTAAGTGTCTACAAAGTTTGTTCAAATAAAAGCCCTTGGGTCAAAACTGGCCCGGCCCCATGGGTGTCATTATTTTTAACTATATGTGTATAGTAAAAGCTTTAAAAAAATCTTCTTTTAAAAAGCCCAATGAGCTAGAGCTTAGATGTTTAGCATGAAACATCTTCTTATGGGTGTCTACCAAGTTTGTGCAAATAAAAGCCCTTGAGTTAAATTGGCCCTGCAACATTGGGGGGGGGGGGGGGGGGGGCTATATACAGGTGAGCGACCTCAGGGCCATCATGGCCCTCTTGTTGGTGTTCATCATCAGTTCAAAAAAAGTTACTCATTGGCCATGTAACTGAGTAATCTTTTTCTTTTTTCATTTTTGCATTTTGTTCAGTTATATATATTCGGTATTTTTATATGGAAGTGAGTCAAAAGTACCACTTTGGTGACAGTGAGACTATTTCACATTTAGTGCTGTTTTCTTCCGGTCATAAGCATCTTGCATGTGCTATAAACACATGATTGCACCTTCTTCAGAAAGATAAAAAAAAAAGTATTCATTTCTGCAACTTAGTGTCAGTGTGCCTATTTCGAGATATCAAAGCTTATAAACTTATAAGTTGTTAATATGGCTTTAATGTTAAAAACATAGCAGAATAAGTATTTCTAATGGCATATTTTAAAGTCTGCAGTATGTAAAAAAATGAAAACTTAATAATTATTTCCCGTTAAATTTCAGCTGAATTTCCACCAAAGATTTGTTTGGAATCTTCGTCTAAAGTTGCGGGCATTTGTACGTTGTTTTCTAATGTAACAGCGAAAGTGAAAGCAGATAGTGATATTCATAAAATACATTTATCTGGATGTTTAGAGTATGATTTAACACTGTACAATAGAACTGTTAGTTCGTTTCCCGTCGGATGTTTCGAGATTCCAGGACGACAGTCGACTCACAAGGAGGAAAATCGAGCTCAAAATCTCGGCAATTTTATGCCATAATCATTATCAATATTGTGTAGTTGTCTACGGCTTTAACTTATGTAATTGGGATTATTAATATTTTTCTACCATGGTGCATTTTATCAGTCTTTCTGTCTTTTGTAAGTAAGATACTGTATAATTATATTCTGTAGAGCAACGTCCTTTTGAAGACAAATATTGTGTTGTTGTTCTTTTTGCAGAGAAAAGTAGTAATGCTCTTTTAATGTATTATGATGTCTTATTTTGGGAGGAATTATTGTAGCTGTGAAGAAGTACATGTAAGTGCTCTGTAGAGGTAAGTTTGTGTAGGTTGCTCTGAAAGGTAATGTTTAATGTTCCGTAAATTTTACGTTTCTCGACATCAATATTCTCATAAGGTACGTTTAGATCAAGGGCATCTCAAGCTAATTTGCCAATTGTAAGATATTTGATGCACATATATATATCATATACATGTAAATGATTATTGAATTGTTACAGTGGATGGTTGACATCTTTAGGATCTTAAAAAGGCATTGCATATTGGAAATTTATCTTAAACACACATGATTTTTTTTTGTCTGACTTAATAGAGATTGTTCTGTCAAATTTTGATTCCATATACATATATATATTATATACATTGTATACATTATATAATTATAGTAAATTCCTTTTATGGATCATGCTGGACAGATTTGGTAGGAAACTTTACCGAAAAGTTACCTCTAGAATAGAAGAATGGCTTGACTTTAGCTTATTACTTCAGATTGTAAGGCAGCATTTAAGAAGCTTTCTTTATTAGGACTGCCTTGTTTGCCTGCAATTTATGGCTGTAGATTTATGTCTGCGGTGTTTTTCATCCATAGTGTCCCATGGATTTTGTAAAATCCACACTGGGGGTACTTTATTTGAAAGTAACAAAACCTCCTCGTTAGTTAACTTTGTTGAGAAAATTGCACCAGAAGCAGAAATTCCACGTGCCACGTGACGTTTTGTGATCTGCATGAGGCAGGAAACGAGTACAAAAGGTGGTCCAGTTTTATTTTCTGCCATAATGTTTTTGATAAAAGTTATTATTTTAGATGAGATACTCTCAGGAGGAACCCTGTGCTAGAGAATTTTTTTAAGTAAATAAGGATGAAAATCTGATTATTCAAACACTCAATTTCACTTTCTGTAAAAAAAGAATGAGAGTGTTCTAAACTTTAGATTGAAAATTGATAAAATAAGAAAAAAAATATGATAGAAAATAAAATTTGGAATGCCTGTTGTGTTGAATTTTTGTCCAAGACAGGTCACAAAATGTCATGTGGTAATTAGGCACCATGATATTCAGTGTTAGTTGAAATTATTAAACTAACGAATAAGAAGTAATATACTTTATAATTGCTCTTTTTGTAAGCTCACCTGAGCAAACACATTAAGCAAGCAAAGTTTAATAATATACATAATTGTAATATAATATACATAATTGTAATATAAAGATAACATTATATAGATTTATCTAGTCATATCAACAATAGGGTCATATATTTATTGACCTTTTAAGAATATGGTAACTCATTCTGGATAATTATGTGATACAATTTATGTAGAAATTTGAATCAAAATACATGTGTATCACATTGTACAATGATGAGGAGTAATTTGCAATGAATGTAAGCATGTATGCATTGTCTATTTTTTTTTTTTTTTTTTCAAATGGTTTCATTTTGTTACTTTCAGTAATCATTGTTCTTTAGTAACTTACATGTACCTTTAAATTGACTACATGCATTTAAAAGTTCCTTGGTCCTCCCATATGTTGATAATTTGTTAAGATTTCACAAACTTTGCCTCTTTCCATACATGTATGGTATACTACATGTATTTAGGACATTATTTGCCACCTGCTATATATTTATACTATTTCAAATTTAAAAGAGTTCAGCTGCCAAGAATTTGTGATAGTTTAGTACACATCCACTTTGTTGATTGTTTTGATGAACGCAAATTTTTAATATATACAAAAATATTTGACAAAACATAAATTTGTTCTTCTTTAATTTATGTATTTGTCCCTCCTTTATATATGTAAGTAACAACGTGCCTTTAAAAAATACAATGTCCTTTGATGATGTCAGAGGTTCGACAAACAGGTATAGTGACCGCCCGAGCAGGCACTATTACCCTAAATTTTTTAATCAACCACTAGAATTCAGTTGTGTTTAACCATGAGGAAGATTTTACAAAATGCACATTATACAAACTGACTCGGCTTCAATCAGGGTAACTGATTCGTCAGTATTATGCTATTATGTCAAGTCATTGCTGTGTAGTATTTCTTAATTATAATGATCTTTTAATGGGTGCTTTACTTTAAATAGAGACTGTAAAATATCCAAATTTAGGGGTATAAAGCTAAGTATATCTTATGATTTTTTTTAATAAAATTTATGAATAGTAAAACTATGTTATTTACAAAATCTTATAGGCGATTCTCAAAGAATTAACACACATGCATCTTGTACATAACAGAATAAAATGTTCAGGAACAAATTACTATACTGCTATTTTAAGTTGGTTTTTAACCATCTGGCAATGATGTTATTGCTGGGGGGATTGACTCTTAGCAAACTTACAAACATATTTCTTTCATACAGGTATTTTGGAATTATTCTTTTTCAGAATTCAAATTCTGTTATTTTTTTAGTAACGTTTACTACTTAACATCAGTAGCAATTTTGTTACTGTATTACTATAAAAGGAACATAGAAATTATTGTTAAAATAAGCTAAACATATCAATTGTTACCTGATTTCTGATATATTTGTGAATTAGCCATTTATTTCATTTTAGTATGTATGTTATTGTACTGAATGTATATGTCGTAAGGTTCCTCTTTCCTAACAAAGGGGGGATTGTTTCTGTCTGTAATGACACAGAAACAAATATAACAATTTGAATGGTAGAATGAAAACAGCTTCACAACTTCTTCGTGGCACAAGCCAATGGAAGTATATTTTCAAGTATATAATTATGTATAATTATGTAATATACAGTAATGAAAACTTGTAAATTTTGACGCACAAGCTAAAGTGTTGATACATTCTTCATTGTATAAAGTTGAATTAAAAAATATATAGATACAAGTACTAAATGAAAATTGGATATGTCCGAAATATAGTTGCTTACTCGAAGTTGAGACTTAAATTTATTGTTTTGGCAAGATTTTTGTCATAAATACAAACTTTTTTCAAATTGAAGCAAAGTGATAACTTTTGTGATAATTTTGAGATCGTATTCACCATTAAGAATATTCAATATTTATAAATATGGAAAGTTGATTGAGGTTTAAGATATAAGTTGAATTTCTATTTACACTGTTATAGACTTCTTGCCCAATCAAATATTTGATTTTGACAATGATGTTTATTCTTCAATTAAAATGTTTTCATAATGACATTGACACAATATTATGTCCATTTTAGTTTCTTTACTTAAACCTTTTATCTGTTTGAGTTTGTGTAATCATTTTGCCCACATTTATATTTGGAACAGTCCATACAAAGTTAAAGAGATTTCAGTATTAAAATACAAAATTACACCTATCAACAGTATACAGCATGGTCATACTGCATGGAAGTGTAACTGGCCTGGCTCTATACTTGTGACAAAGACTAATCTATTCCAGTTCCAACAGGTTAAGAGCTATTTTTTTCAATATTTTGTTTATATGGTGTGGGTGTGTTTCTGACATACTGTTTACATAATGACATTGATATAGTATTACTTGTTTAATAAGTCTTTACTTTAAAGCTACACACCCTTTAGGTAGGTGAAGGTTTCAGAAAATCAAAGTTTTATATGAATATATAAAAATGTTTAGTATTGTATTTATACAATGTACTTACCAATCCATTTAACCTTTTTTAACGTATATGTCATTTTGTGCAAAAAAATACAAGTGGCGGAAGTGCTTCTGAGGTCTTTCTCGAAAGTTGCCATATCACAATTAAAAGTGTTGATGTGACTTAAAAACCTAACCCCAAATATAAGCACAATCTACAGGTGTTAAAATTTATTGTTTTATGTTGTTTAAAGAAAAAAAATTAAAATCTATGCTCAAACCTATCTCTTAATCTGTGCTTAGCATTTATATGAAATTCTCTATTCTTTCATCATTCTATTTATAGGTGTCAAGTGGGTAAATTTTACGCCTCTGTTAGAACCTTAAAAGTATACAGTATTTGCTTAGTAGTTTTGTTAAATTAGGAATAATTTTATAAGGCATTTTTATGCCCCCGCCATGTAATGGCCGGGGCATATAGTGTTACCCTGTTCCGTCCTTCCGTCCTTCCGTCATTCCGTCCTTCCGTCATTCTGTCATTCCGTCATCATCAGTTTCCGTTCATTATCTTAGTAACGGTTGCACATATTCAACTCAAATTTGGCATATGGATATGTCATGAGAAAATACAGGTCAAGTTCGAATTTGGTCATGGTTCGATGATTTTTGGCAGAGTTATGCCCCTTTTACTTTGAAAATAGTATGAAATTTTCAGTTTCCGTTCATTATCTCCCCAATGGTACAACACATTCAAATCAAATTTGACATATGGATATGTCATAAGAAAATACAGGTCAAGTTTGAATTTGGTCATGGTTCGATGATTTTTGGCAGAGTTATGCCCCTTTTACTTTGAAAATAATATGAAATTTTCAGTTTCCGTTCATTATCTCCCAACGGTACAACACATTCAAATCAAATTTGACATATGGATATGTCATGAGAAAAATACAGGTCAAGTTCGAATTTGGTCATGGTTCGATGATTTTTGGCAGAGTTATGCCCCTTTTACTTTGAAAATAATATGAAATTTTCAGTTTCTGTTCATTATCTCCCCAACGGTACAAACACATTCAACTCAAATTTGACATATGGATATGTCATGAGAAAATACAGGTGAAGTTTGAATTTGGTCATGGTTCGATGATTTTTGGCAGAGTTATGCTCCTTTTACTTTGAAAATAATATGAAAATTTTCAGTTTCTGTTTATTATCTCCCAACAGTACAACACATTCAACTCAAATTTCACATATGGATATGTTTTTGGAATGCCCAGGCCAAGTTCGAATTTTGGTCATGGTTCAATGATTTTTGGCAGAGTTATGCCCCTTTCACTTTGAAAATAATATGAAATTTACAGTTTCTGTTCATTATCTACCCAACAGTGTTACATATTCAACTCAAATTTGATATATGGATATGTCAAAGGAATGGGCAGGTCAAGTTGGAATTTGGTCATGGTTCGATGATTTTTTGGCAGAGTTATGTCCCTTTCACTTTGAAAATAATATAGATACATCTTAGGAATAAGCAGTTTAAGTTTGAATTTGGTCATGGTTCAATGATTTTGGACAAACTTATCTTTCTTGAATATTGGAAAAAATTTGAACTTTCAGTTTCAGCACTCATACTTTTGTGGAAATGTATGTAGCCATTATTTTGGCTACAAATATGAAATATGCTATTTTCAAAAGGTTAAGACTGAATAATTTCAGTGCCTTGAACATTGTATGAAAATGGTTTGTGTAAACGTTGAAAAGTTTTAAGGGCTTTGAACTTAAAATGAAAACAATAATTTGTGCAAACAAATT